AGAAGCTGTAGTGTGACTATATGGGTTGGAGGAGCGGGCTGATGTAGAAGCTGTAGTGTGACTATATGGGTTGGAGGAGCGGGCTGATGTAGAAGCTGTAGTGTGACTATATGGGTTGGAGGAGCGGGCTGATGTAGAAGCTGTGGTGTGACTATATGGGTTGGAGGAGTGGGCTGATGTAGAAGCTGTGGTGTGACTATATGGGTTGGATGAGTGGGCTGATGTAGAAGCTGTAGTGTGAATGTATGGGTTGGAGGAGTGGGCTGATGTAGAAGCTGTAGTGTGACTACATGGGTTGGAGGAGCGGGCTGATGTAGAAGCTGTAGTGTGACGGTATGGGTTGGAGGAACGGGCTGATGTAGAAGCTGTGATGTGACTACATGGGTTGGAGGAGCGGGCTGATGTAGAAGCTGTGGTGTGACTATATGGGTTGGATGAGTGGGCTGATGTAGAAGCTGTGATGTGACTACATGGGTTGGAGGAGCGGGCTGATGCAGAAGCTGTGGTGTGACTATATGGGTTGGAGGAGCGGGCTGATGCAGAAGCTGTGGTGTGACTATATGGGTTCGAGGAGTGGGCTGTGATGCAGAAGCTGTGGTGTGACTATATGGGTTGGTGGAGCGGGCTGATGCAGAAGCTGTGGTGTGACTATATGGGTTGGAGGAGTGGGCTGAAGCAGAAGCTGTAGTGTGGCTATATGGGTTGGAGGAGTGGGCTGATGTAGAAGCTGTGGTGTGACTACATGGGTTGGAGGAGTGGGCTGATGTAGAAGCTGTGGTGTGACTACATGGGTTGGAGGAGTGGGTTGATGTAGAAGCTGTTGTGTGACTACATGGGTTTGTAGGAGTGGGCTGATGTAGTAGCTGTGGTGGGACTATATGGGTTGGAGGAGTGGGCTGATGTAGAAGCTGTGGTGTGACTATATGGGTTGGAGGAGTGGGCTGATGTAGAAGCTGTGGTGTGACTATATGGGTTGGAGGAGTGGGCTGATGTAGAAGCTGTGGTGTGACTATATGGGTTGGAGGAGCGGGCTGATGTAGAAGCTGTGATGTGACTACATGGGTTGGAGGAGTGGGCTGATGTAGAAGCTGTAGTGTGACTATATGGGTTGAAGGAGCGGGCTGATGTAGAAGCTGTGGTGTGACTATGTGGGTTGGAGGAGCGGGCTGATGTAGTAACTGTAGTGTGACTATATGGGTTGGAGGAGCGGGCTGATGTAGAAGCTGTGGTGTGACTATATGGGTTGGAGGAGTGGGCTGATGTAGAAGCTGTAGTGTGACTATATGGGTTGGATGAGTCGGCTGATGTAGAAGCTGTAGTGTGACTGTATGGGTTGGAGGAGCGGGCTGATGTAGAAGCTGTAGTGTGACTATATGGGTTGGAGGAGCGGGCTGATGTAGAAGCTGTGGTGTGACTATATGGGTTGGAGGAGTGGGCTGATGTAGAAGCTGTGGTGTGACTATATGGGTTGGATGAGTGGGCTGGTGTAGAAGCTGTAGTGTGACTGTATGGGTTGGAGGAGCGGGCTGATGTAGAAGCTGTAGTGTGACTACATGGGTTGGAGGAGCGGGCTGATGTAGAAGCTGTAGTGTGACAGTACGGGTTGGAGGAGCGGGCTGATATAGAAGCTGTGGTGTGACTATATGGGTTCGAGGAGCGGGCTGATGTAGAAGCTGTGATGTGACTACATGGGTTGGAGGAGCGGGCTGATGCAGAAGCTGTGGTGTGACTATATGGGTTGGAGGAGCGGGCTGATGCAGAAGCTGTGGTGTGACTATATGGGTTGGAGGAGTGGGCTGTGATGCAGAAGCTGTGGTGTGACTATATGGGTTGGAGGAGCGGGCTGATGCAGAAGCTGTGGTGTGACTATATGGGTTGGAGAAGTGGGCTGAAGCAGAAGCTGTAGTGTGGCTATATGGATTGGAGGAGTGTGCTGATGTAGAAGCTGTGGTGTGACTACATGGGTTGGAGGAGTGGGCTGATGTAGAAGCTGTAGTGTGACTATATGGGTTGGAGGAGTGGGCTGATGTAGAAGCTGTAGTGTGACTATATGGGTTGGAGGAGTGGGCTGATGTAGAAGCTGTAGTGTGACTATATGGGTTGGAGGAGCGGGCTTATGCAGAAGCTGTGGTGTGACTGTATGGGTTGGAGGAGCGGGCTGATGTAGTAGCTGTGGTGTGACTATATGGGTTCGAGGAGTGGGCTGTGATGCAGAAGCTGTGGTGTGACGAAATGGGTTGGAGGAGCGGGCTGATGCAGAAGCTGTGGTGTGACTATATGGGTTGGAGGAGTGGGCTGATGAAGAAGCTGTAGTGTGACTATATGGGTTGGAGGAGTGGGCTGTGATGCAGAAGCTGTGGTGTGACGAAATGGGTTGGAGGAGCGGGCTGATGCAGAAGCTGTGGTGTGACTATATGGGTTGGAGGAGTGGGCTGTGATGCAGAAGCTGTGGTGTGACTATATGGGTTGGAGGAGCGGGCTGATGCAGAAGCTGTGGTGTGACTATATGGGTTGGAGAAGTGGGCTGAAGCAGAAGCTGTAGTGTGGCTATATGGATTGGAGGAGTGGGCTGATGTAGAAGCTGTGGTGTGACTACATGGGTTGGAGGAGTGGGCTGATGTAGAAGCTGTAGTGTGACTATATGGGTTGGAGGAGTGGGCTGATGTAGAAGCTGTAGTGTGACTATATGGGTTGGAGGAGTGGGCTGATGTAGAAGCTGTAGTGTGACTATATGGGTTGGAGGAGCGGGCTTATGCAGAAGCTGTGGTGTGACTGTATGGGTTGGAGGAGCGGGCTGATGTAGTAGCTGTGGTGTGACTATATGGGTTCGAGGAGTGGGCTGTGATGCAGAAGCTGTGGTGTGACGAAATGGGTTGGAGGAGCGGGCTGATGCAGAAGCTGTGGTGTGACTATATGGGTTGGAGGAGTGGGCTGATGAAGAAGCTGTAGTGTGACTATATGGGTTTGAGGAGTGGGCTGATGTAGAAGCTGTGGTGTGACTACGTATACATTGGTTGGAGGAGTGGGATGATGTAGAAGCTGTAGTGTGACTGTATTGGTTGGAGGAGGGGGCTGTGATGCAGAAGCTATGGTGTGACTATATGGGTTGGAGGAGTGGGGTGATGTAGAAGCTGTAGTGTGACTATATGGGTTGGAGGAGTGGGCTGATGTAGAAGCTGTGGTGTGACTATATGGGTCCGAGGAGCTGGCTGATGTAGAAGTTGTAGTGTGACTGTATGGGTTGGAGGAGTGGGCTGATGTAGAAGCTGTGGTGTGACTATATGGGTTTGAGCAGTGGGCTGATGTAGAAGCTGTAGTGTGACTATATGGGTTGGAGGAGCGGGTTGATGTAGAAGCTGTAGTGTGACTATATGGGTTGGAGGAGCGGGCTGATGTAGAAGCTGTAGTGTGACTATATGGGTTGGAGGAGCGGGCTGATGTAGAAGCTGTGGTGTGACTATATGGGTTGGAGGAGTGGGCTGATGTAGAAGCTGTGGTGTGACTATATGGGTTGGATGAGTGGGCTGATGTAGAAGCTGTAGTGTGAATGTATGGGTTGGAGGAGTGGGCTGATGTAGAAGCTGTAGTGTGACTACATGGGTTGGAGGAGCGGGCTGATGTAGAAGCTGTAGTGTGACGGTATGGGTTGGAGGAACGGGCTGATGTAGAAGCTGTGATGTGACTACATGGGTTGGAGGAGCGGGCTGATGTAGAAGCTGTGGTGTGACTATATGGGTTGGATGAGTGGGCTGATGTAGAAGCTGTGATGTGACTACATGGGTTGGAGGAGCGGGCTGATGCAGAAGCTGTGGTGTGACTATATGGGTTGGAGGAGCGGGCTGATGCAGAAGCTGTGGTGTGACTATATGGGTTCGAGGAGTGGGCTGTGATGCAGAAGCTGTGGTGTGACTATATGGGTTGGTGGAACGGGCTGATGCAGAAGCTGTGGTGTGACTATATGGGTTGGAGGAGTGGGCTGAAGCAGAAGCTGTAGTGTGGCTATATGGGTTGGAGGAGTGGGCTGATGTAGAAGCTGTGGTGTGACTACATGGGTTGGAGGAGTGGGCTGATGTAGAAGCTGTGGTGTGACTACATGGGTTGGAGGAGTGGGTTGATGTAGAAGCTGTGGTGTGACTACATGGGTTTGTAGGAGTGGGCTGATGTAGTAGCTGTGGTGGGACTATATGGGTTGGAGGAGTGGGCTGATGTAGAAGCTGTGGTGTGACTATATGGGTTGGAGGAGCGGGCTTATGCAGAAGCTGTGGTGTGACTATATGGGTTGGAGGAGCGGGCTGATGTAGAAGCTGTGGTGTGACTGTATGGGTTGGAGGAGCGGGCTGATGTAGTAGCTGTGGTGTGACTATATGGGTTGGAGGAGTGGGCTGTGATGCAGAAGCTGTGGTGTGACTATATGGGTTGGAGGAGCGGGCTGATGCAGAAGCTGTGGTGTGACTATATTGGTTGGAGGAGCGGGCTTATGCAGAAGCTGTGGTGTGACTATATGGGTTGGAGGAGCGGGCTGATGTAGAAGCTGTGGTGTGACTATATGGGTTGGAGGAGTGGGCTGTGATGTAGAAGCTGTTGTGTGACTATATGGGTTGGAGGAGCGGGCTGATGCAGAAGCTGTGGTGTGACTATATGGGTTGGAGGAGTGGGCTGTGATGCAGAAGCTGTGGTGTGACTATATGGGTTGGAGGAGCGGGCTGATGCAGAAGCTGTGGTGTGACTATATGGGTTGGAGGAGCGGGCTGATGTAGAAGCTGTGGTGTGACTATATGGGTTGGAGGAGAGTTGAGGCAGGTACTGAATGTGAGATAAGACAATATGGGTGGAGCAGTTTGGGTCTGATACAGAAGGGTTTCGGAAGATAGAAAGGATTCTGGGTTTCATGTTGTATGGTAGAAAAGGGATATCGGCTATGGTACTGAATGTAAGGATTAGTTAACAAAACAAAATTACACTCTCATATTTGGCATTTTATAAAATGCTCTCTGCTCCAGATCATGGAAAGACAGAATTTTAGTGGATCTGTTGCAGAGTACTTTGCGATGTTGAAGAACGACACGTCATTGCATATGGAAACAGAGGTAAAATTAGTCATAGATATTGTATGACCACTGTATAATATTGACAGTTGTTAGTGAATCTATCACTGTTGTATGGTTAATGTTTAATATATTTTTCGATGACATAAGTCTGTCTGAGTTCAACCTTATCGTTATGTTTTCTACAGGAGGAATTACTGGAAGCATACCAGAAAATTATCAATGAGAGTGTGGAGCCAAGGCTGCCTGAAATGTTCATTAATCTCCCTAATCTACCATTAAAGTAAGTTATAAAACTTGGTTGCATCTTTAGATAAATATGAGATGTAATAATAAATAATATTACATTTCAAAACAATTTCGTTTAAGCAGCGTACGTGACCTGCCGACTAGTACACTAATGCACATAGCCCCGAGTCTGCCATGTGTCTGGTTGAGATTTTATGTTTGCACTTCATTGTGAGTGGGGTTTAGGGTGGAGCCCATGTCGTATGATGGTTCTGTGGCGCAATACATCCCTGGGTCCGCGGATGGCTCAAGTCCCGGTACTTTCCTTATCAATCTGCATCGACCACAAGAAACGTATGTATGGCCAGCTGGTTCTGTGAGTAATCACTGTACAGACTTTCTCTTCTCTAATTGTCCCTCTCTCTATACAAACACAGTGACTGTCCACGCGTTCTTGGTCTTTATAATATCAAGTTTCTATTTCACCCTGTGTGCATGAATGGAATCTTAGGAGACAATCGTCCAACTTTAAGGGAAGAAGCAAGGATGTAGCATTTTAAGCCATATTATAAAAATTAATCTTGACGCGTGAACACATGAATATTGATACAACCGTGCAGGTACAGGTGGTCACGGGAGACCTGCGTCAGGGTCTAGCTGTGTAGTGTATGTGAACACAGGGGTACATGTCATGGGTCTAGCTGTGTAGTGTATGTGAACACAGGGGTACATGTCATGGGTCTAGCTGTGTAGTGTATGTGAACACAGGGGTACACGTCATGGGTCTAGCTGTGTAGTGTATGTGAACACAGGGGTGCATGTCATGGGTCTAGCTGTGTAGTGTATGTGAACACAGGGGTACATGTCATGGGTCTAGCTGTGTAGTGTATGTGAACACAGGGGTACATGACATGGGCCTAACTAAGTATTGTATGTAAACACAGGGGTACATGTCATGGGTCTAGCTGTGTAGTGTATGTGAACACAGGCGTACATGTCATGGGTCTAACTAAGTATTGTATGTAAACGTTGGGGTACATGTCATGGGCCTAACTAAGTAGTGTATGTGAACACAGGGGTACATATCATGGGTCTAGCTGTGTAGTGTATGTGAACACAGGGGTACATGTCATGGGTCTAGCTGTGTAGTGTATGTGAACACAGGGGTACACGTCATGGGTCTAGCTGTGTAGTGTATGTGAACACAGGGGTACATGTCATGGGCCTAACTAAGTATTGTATGTTAACGTAGGGGTACATGTCATGGGCCTAACTAAGTATTGTATGTTAACGTAGGGGTACACGTCACTGGCCTAACTAAGTATTGTATGTTAACGTAGATGTCCACGTCATGGGCCTAACTAAGTATTGTATGTTAACGTTGGGGTACATGTCATGGGCCTAACTAAGTGTTGTATGTGAACACAGGGGTACACGTCAAGGGCCTAAAAATGTATTGTATGTTAACGTAGGGGAACATGTCATGGGCCTAACTAAGTATTGTATGTTAACGTAGGGGTACACGTCATGGGCCTAACTAAGTATTGTATGTTAACGTAGGGCTACCCGTCATGGGCCTAACTAAGTATTGTATGTTAACGTTGGGGTACACATGATGGGCCTAACTAATTATTGTATGTTAACGTTGGGGTACATGTCATGGGCCTAACTAAGTATTGTATGTTAACGTAGGGGTACACGTCATGGGCCTAACTAAATATTGTATGTTAACGTAAGGGTACACGTCATGGGCCTAACTAAGTATTGTATGTTAACGTAGGGGTACACGTCATTGGCCTAACTAAATATTGTATGTTAACGTAAGGGTACACGTCATGGGCCTAACTAAGTATTGTATGTTAACGGAGGGGTTCACGTCATGGGCCTAACTAAGTATTGTATGTTAACGTAGGGGTACATGTCATGGGCCTAACTAAGTGTTGTATGTTAACGTAGGGGTACACGTCATTGGCCTTACAAAGTATTGTATGTTAACGTAGGGGTACATGTCATGGGCCTAACTAAGTATTGTATGTTACTGTTATGGCAATAGATAATATGCCGAACATGCATTACCTGGAGATGTGATGGCCAGGTTTCGACTCATGAAGCGTGAAAGGCACCATGACGTACGTCCCCCTGTGACAAAATAGAACACACAGTTAGACCTATGATGTATACTCCTGTATTAAAATAGAACACACAGTTAGACCTATGATGTATACTCCTGTATTAAAATAGAACACACGGTTAGACCTATGATGTATACTCCTGTATTAAAATAGAACACACGGTTAGACCTATGATGTATACCCCTGTATTAAAATAGAACACACAGTTAGACCTATGATGTATACCCCTGTATTAAAATAGAACACACGGTTAGACCTATGATGTATACTCCTGTATTAAAATAGAACACACGGTTATACCTATGATATATAACCCTGTATTAAAATAGAACACACGGTTAGACCTATGATGTATACTCCTGTATTAAAATAGAACACACAGTTAGACCTATGATGTATACTCCTGTATTAAAATAGAACACACGGTTAGACCTATGATGTATACCCCTGTATTAAAATAGAACACACGGTTAGACCTATGATGTATACTCCTGTATTAAAATAGAACACACGGTTAGACCTATGATGTATACTCCTGTATTAAAATAGAACACACGGTTAGACCTATGATGTATACCCCTGTATTAAAATAGAACACACGGTTAGACCTATGATGTATACTCCTGTATTAAAATAGAACACACGGTTAGACCTATGATGTATACTCCTGTATTAAAATAGAACACACAGTTAGACCTATGATGTATACTCCTGTATTAAACTAGAACACACGGTTAGACCTATGATGTATACTCCTGTATTAAACTAGAACACACGATAAGACCTATGATGTATACCCCTGTATTAAAATAGAACACACGGTTAGACCTATGATGTATACCCCTGTATTAAAATAGAACACACAGTTAGAGCTATGATGTATACCCCTGTATTAAAATAGAACACACGGTTAGACCTATGATGTATACTCCTGTATAAAACTAGAACACACGGTTAGACCTATGATGTATACTCCTGTATTAAACTAGAACACACGATAAGACCTATGATGTATACCCCTGTATTAAAATAGAACACACGGTTAGACCTATGATGTATACCCCTGTATTAAAATAGAACACACGGTTAGACCTATGATGTATACCCCTGTATTAAAATAGAACACACGGTTAGACCTATGATGTATACTCCTGTATTAAACTAGAACACACAGTTAGACCTATGATGTATACTCCTGTATTAAAATAGAACACACGGTTAGACCTATGACGAATACTATTCTATTTTGTCACAGGGGGACGTACGTCATGGTGCCTTTCACGCTTCATGAGTCGAAACCTGGCCATCATCTCCAGGTAATGCATGTTCGGCATATTATCTATTGCCATAACAGTAGACACTGAAACAAAACCCCAGACACCCAGACAAGTCAGTTCAGCTCGTGTTATCTGCAAGTTTAATTGTAAGTATTGCTTTGTGGGTTGGTGGTATGATCAGAATTACCGTTATATAACGGCGCAGCAGCTTTTTGTTGGGGGCAATCCAAAAGTGACGTAGATGATTTAGATCACAATAAGAATGAATCTGGGATTCGAACCCATGATCAATGGGTTCGGACTATCAGCTCTCCACAGCTTTATACACCACCTCACACATGCACTATAGAAGCCGTTGGCGTATATCCCCGTGAAATCTGGATACACTTTCTGTGATTGCAGATCAGCTACGCGCTGAAAGCAAGTCTGCCTAGTTTCCGGCGCAATACGGGATTCCAATTCCCCTACTACACAGCTTATGTCGAGGTAGGAAGTGTTTCCAGCACCTTCACGTGTTACTGTACTTGTAAAACTACTGTACACATGATGTACACATGTGTTGACACTGAAACAGAATTTAGCATAGTGAGTATGTTCCCAAAGTTCGCTCAATTACCCTCACTGGTTCAGATCGTTATCAATCAAATCTAAGTCCAGCTTTTTTCCCTGGGGTTGACAATGATTACAACATGATGAAAGGTGAAGCGATTGTTACACAGAGGGTTAACTATACAGAGGTGAGTACTGTATAGGTGAAGTGATTGTTACACATGGGGTAAACTATACAAAGATGAGTACCGTGTGGGTGAAGTGATCGTTACACAGAGGGTAAACTATACAGAGGTGAGTACGGTATGGGTGAAGTGATCGTTACACAGAGGGTAAACTATACAGAGGTGAGTACCGTGTGGGTGAAGTGATCGTTACACAGAGGGTAAACTATACAGAGGTGAGTATGGTATGGGTGAAGCGATTGTTACACAGAGGGTAATCTATACAGAGGTGAGTACCGTGTGGGTGAAGTGATCGTTACACAGAGGGTAAACTATACAGAGGTGAGTACGGTATGGGTGAAGTTATTGTTACACAGAGGGTAAACTATACAGAGGTGAGTACCGTGTGGGTGAAGTGATCGTTACACAGAGGGTAATCTATACAGAGGTGAGTATGGTATGGGTGAAGCGGTTGTTACACAGAGGGTAAACTATACAGAGGTGAGTACTGTGTGGGTGAAGTGATTGTTACACAGAGGGTTAACTATACAGAGGTGAGTACTGTGTAGGTGAAGTGATTGTTACACAGAGGGTAAGCTATACAGAGGTGAGTATGGTATGGGTGAAGCGGTTGTTACACAGAGGGTAAACTATACAGAGGTGAGTACTGTGTGGGTGAAGTGATTGTTACACAGAGGGTTAACTATACAGAGGTGAGTACTGTGTAGGTGAAGTGATTGTTACACAGAGGGTAATCTATACAGAGGTGAGTACCGTGGCGGTGAAGTGATTGTTACACAGAGGGTAATCTATACAGAGGTGAGTACCGTGTGGGTGAAGTGATCGTTACACAGAGGGTTAACTATACAGAGGTGAGTACTGTATGGGTTAAGTGATCGTTACACATAGGGTTAACTATACAGAGGTGAGTACTGTGTGGGTGAAGTGATTGTTACACAGAGGGTAAACTATACAGAGGTGAGTACTGTATGGGTGAAGGAATGGTTACACAGAGGGTAAACTATACAGAGGTGAGTATGGTATGGGTGAAGTGATTGTTACACAGAGGGTAAACTATACAGAGGTGATTATGGTATGGGTGAAGGAATCGTTACACAGAGGGTAAACTATACAGAGGTGAGTATGGTATGGGTGAAGCGATTGTTACACAGAGGGTAAACTATACAGAGGTGAGTATGGTATGGGTGAAGCGATTGTTACACAGAGGGTAAACTATACAGAGGTGAGTATGGTATGGGTGAAGCGATTGTTACACAGAGGGTAAACTATACAGAGGTGAGTATGGTATGGGTGAAGCGATTGTTACACAGAGGGTAAACTATACAGAGGTGAGTATGGTATGGGTGAAGCGATTGTTACACAGAGGGTAAACTATACAGAGGTGAGTATGGTATGGGTGAAGCGATTGTTACACAGAGGGTAAACTATACAGAGGTGAGTATGGTATGAGTGAAGCGATTGTTACACAGAGGGTAAACTATACAGAGGTGAGTATGGTATGGGTGAAGCGATTGTTACACAGAGGGTAAACTATACAGAGGTGAGTATGGTATGGGTGAAGTGATCGTTACACAGAGGGTAAACTATACAGAGGTGAGTATGGTATGGGTGAAGCGATTGTTACACAGAGGGTAAACTATACAGAGGTGAGTATGGTATGGGTGAAGCGATTGTTCAGAACAGGGAAGAACATGCGCCCCCTTTTCACGGACACCTGGTGTGATCACTGACTTTCAGTTATCCATTCACATAATTTTCATCCCTATTTTGCCTTTTTCGCCCAATGGAATATGTTTCAGCGGTTAATCGAGACTAGTTATTCTGGGGCGTTGACGTTATATATTTACTGCAGGGTTGGGCAACGTACGCTGAGTCCCTTGGAGAAGAACTTAACCTCTATCAGTCCGACATTGAACTGTGAGTACACCCATTATCTGTATGTACCTCTCCATTTGAACTGTGCGTACACCCACCACATGTACGTACATTCCCCTTCTCTTCAACTGTGAGTTCACTCGCCAACTGTATGTATCTTACTTTTCTCTGGCCTAACCAGTTTACTGCTTCTGGTGTTCTGCTGTTACACCGAGGGCCATGACGATTTCCTCCACTGCGTACTCTGTATTGCAGCATGGGCCGATACAGTCTAGAAATATTCCGGGCTTGCAGACTGGTCGTGGATACAGGCTTGCATTATTATGGGTAAGTCAAATAGTCCAGTTCCTCTTTTATTATTCCAACGTAATGTCATTTCTGCGTTCGATAAACACGTTATTTGATCTCATCCATTTTATCAGCTGTATCAATGCAAACGTTATGCGTAGCGCTGATTTCTTTCAATTATTTGACTTAAGCATATATATGTAAGTTCAAAATAGTCTAGGGTAGATTGATTGTAAGTAATACCCCCATTCCACTAACTATCGGAACCTGATCTGAAGCCCATCTGATCCCATTTTTGCAAAAGTTTCGATGAAAATTCACCTGACATCCTCTTTTTTGGGTCCCCGTTTACCGTAAAATCCGATAGAGATCCAACATTGATTGGGGTAATGGGATGAAAGACTGGTAGCGGCCCATTTTCATCGGCGGCGTCCGATTGATCCGATTGCGGTCGGATTGTAATTCGAGGGTAACCTGACACTAATCTGACACTTCCATCACTCTCCCGACACCAACCCCACACATCGGTTACTATTCGTAGGGTAATCAGACACTGTCCCAATACTGGTCGGATTTGTCGCCAAAATCGGCAGTCGAGTATAAAAGCGGGCTGCACCTCCTGACAGTACTAGACATGGAGCAACTTCATCGCAACGCTGCAGCCCTGGGCTGTGTTTTTATGCTCCAGCAACAAACTATGCAACAAGATGCAGGATGTGGTTGAGCAGAGATTGGGGCCTGAATAGGCCTATTCTCCGTCTCTGCATCTTCAGGAGGAGGCACAGAGGAGTCTTCTGGCACTTGAGATTGTTGAGGAGTGCTGGGAGGTCTCTTCTTTGCCTTCTGTCCTCCAACATTTCTTTTCTTTCTTGGAGCCATCTTCAGGATCTTGGTGCTGTAGTGTCCGATGTAAATCTGCGAAGTGAGTAGTATAGAGTCACCAGGCAGGAGCTGGTTTTGGTTGAGGGAGGTTGAGTGAAAAATAGGGAAGGTGATTGGCTGATCCAAGTCACGTGATCGGATAGGATGACTCATGCATCAACAGCGCGTCGGGAAAGAGCGGGGAATGAAAGGTGTGTTTATAAGACAGAAAAGAATTCGTAAGTAAACAAAAAAAAAAGTAAAGGATATTCAATAGAGCTATGCGTATGGCGTGCTGCCCTGAATAGACAAGCAGCCCAGTTTGAAACGAGCGCGCTTGATAACTCACGTGACCACGTCGTTTCAAATTGTTTATCGGTCGTAATGGTTTCTTTTATTTTAGGCGTTAGAAGAAATTACAATTAGTGTACAACTCACGTAGTCGTTTCAAATTGACCGCGCTCGCGAGAGCTTGCGAGCTGGTTTGATGAATGCAGGGTGTGTGTTGAACACGATATACGCCGGGTAATGTAGGTAGGGAAAAAAAAATGTACGTCTAGCTGGATCAAATCCATCTTATACGGTCTACACGTTGTACACCATGAACGTTGGACAACCTGTATGGAAAAAAAAAATATAGACAAAATAGATAAGACTACGCAATCAGCAAGCTAGCAGTTTACGTTTAGCGCGCAAGAACGAGCTAATGGATAGCAGAGAGACTAAGCGACCGGCCGCCCATAACAATGTCAACATACACTACCCCGGCCTTACAATTAATGTTAACATACCAGCCTCGCCTGAAGCTTCCCATTCATAAATTGTGTGACCAGTGTCCCGTATTTATGATACGTTAGGGAACATGTGTTGTACATTTGTTATTTTAAAAGGGAGTTATTTCAGAGAGGATATATATATGGGTATTCCCCTCATTAAACCTTTCTTCCGATGGTGTCTATTAAACGTATCCGGTATTTAATACATTTGAATGATGTAGGAAAGTATGTGCGTGTAGATGTTGTACCTATATCCGAACACGAATGTATGACACCTTTCAATAGATCAATTACGGTTATAACCACGACACGCAACATGACTATGAGCGTGGTTAGCAGTTCATATTTATAAACACATCGTAAATGACAGATTTCTGATGAATGAACTCGCCCGCACACATGTCTATAGGGTTATGTTCGCCCGAACTGTAAACAGTGACACATTGGATAACAGGAAGGGTGTGTGGAATGCACTCGTCCTTGTAAGGGTAAAATACGCGTTTAAACTCACCATTTAAATGATGATGACATTACTTTTTAGATGTATTGGTATCAGTGAGTGAGTGAATTTAGTTTTACGCCACACTCGGCATTATTCCAGCTCTAGGACGGTGGTCTGTCAATAAACGAGCTTGGACCAGACAATCCAGTGATCAACAGCATGAGCAGCGATCTGTGCAACTAGGAACCGATGGCACGTGTCATCCGAGTCGGCGAGACTGACCAACCGATCCCCGCCGTCAGTCGCCGATAAGCATGGGTTACTGAAGGTCGATTCTATAACCCGGGACCTTCACGGGTGTAGTATGACGAAGACTATATACTAATATGATCGCTTTTTTAACATACTCACAAGTGTGCTTCCAAGAATCCCTGCACGTGTAAGACAGTATAAACTCTACAGTAGTGTAGCCCGACAAACAGTTTTACTCTCGCCAGCAAACGGATTGGACGTGAACAACATGAAGAAAGCATCAGAGATTAGACTTGACCCTAGAGATATATTTAGGAAGACTACGTTGAGAAAATCACAACAGAGAAAGAAACCACAAGCAGCCAAGAAGTCGACGCTGAAGACAAAGAAGAGACAGGTAACACCTAAAATGAAAACGATGACAACCAAACAGGGATCGAAGACAACACCCCAACCCGTGAAAATACAACATGTGTCGGAGGTGAAGGCTGTGGTGGAACGGGCACTTGCTGCCTTGAAGCGTCAACAGAGTCAAGGGTATATAAGAAAGCTTCATACCCTCTAATCGCACACCGTATTGGATCACCATGGGGGTTGCCACCTGTCCGGACTGTGAAAAAATGTTTTCAAGGAGAGATGTCATGTTACGACACAGGAGAAATAAACATAGCATACCGCCGCCGTTACAAGCCCACCCGCCGCCGCAAGTCCACTCGCCATTACAAGCCCACCCGCTAACGCCGCCGCCGCCGCAAGTCCACCCACCGCCGCCGCTGCGTCAAGCCAACCCGCCGTTTCAAGCACATCCGCCGCCGCCGCCGCCGCCGCAAGTCCACCAACCGCCGCTGCTGCGTCAAGCCAACCCGCCGTTTCAAGCACATCCGCCGCCGCCGCCGCCGCCATCGCAAGTCCACTCGTGGCTGCCTCATTTACCATGTATATCTGATCTTCGAGAACAATTCAAGTTCCTGATTCCCTCAAATGCGCTCGTTGTGGGACCCAGTGGTTGTGGAAAGTCTGTGTTTACCTCTCATGTACTCCGGAATGGCCTGATCCAACCCCAACCTACCCGCATCGTTTGGTGTTATACTCAATGGCAGCCATTATATAAGGACTTCGGTGAACAGCTGCCTCAGCTGACCTTTGTCAAAGGAATTCCCTACGATATCTTGGACGAGGATAACTTTGATGCTCGTCAACAGAACGTGTTGGTCCTAGATGATTTCCTGGCCGAAGCAAAGCACGACAAGCGTATTTCGCGGCTGTTTACTCAAACCTCACATCACAAGAATGTATTGATCTTTCTCTTGATACAAAATCTGTTTCCGAGAGGTAAGGAATCGAGAGACATTGCTTTTAACGCGCATTATGTCACCCTGTTTCATTCCCCCATAGATAAACAGCAAATCAAACTCTTCGCTCGTAGAATTTTCACCGAACATATGGATCACTTTATGGCTATGTATGAAAAGGTTGCTGAAACACCCTATGGACAACTCACCATCGATCTAAAACCTACCACCAAAGATAAGGATCGACTGCATGTTAACCTCATAAATGAGGAAAACAGGAGAACAACAGCACAGTCTGAACCTGATCTGCGTAGGGAGAAGTTGACTACAACAGAATCTCTGGATAGTCCTCTGACACAAGAAGAGAGATTGTCCCAACATCAGCTCACTCCAATTGAAACCGATTCAGACACGAGTAGTGCGACATCATTGACTATGGCCACGGCTTGCGCAGATTGCGGGGTGCTGATAGATAACATGCACGATCTACAGCGACATATCAAACACTGGTGTCCGGCCAATAGCCTTCAACCTAAGAGAAAGCGTGCCAGACTCGAGAGTGATGACGATGACAGTGACTTTGACGACCTAGCCTCTTCCCAGAAAGGCAGTGGTCTTGCCGTCAAACCTCCACGTGGGAAGTCAACATTCACTAATATGGAAGCCGAGGAGTGGCAAAATGTAGGCTTACAACGCATCTGGAAACAGGTGTACGATACGTTTCATGACAAGATGAAACTGCAGAAAAAACAGTACGAGCGACAGGGACGAACGCAAGAATGGATTGAGAGAAGATTGAAACTGAGGTGGGAGGATCTAGTGCGTAGTACTCTCAACTATGCGATGGAATATACCACGTACTTTAAAGAGGCACCTCTGTTTCAAAACATGCTATACAACCTGGGAGACATGAATCCTTCCACGGAACAATCCGTTCTCAAAAATAAAATCAAACTCCTCCTAAAACCCAAGATGAAAGAGATCCTGCCTTTGATGGATATGCCGGAAATAGAAAGTGAGACTGAATCTGATAGCGTTGCAGAGGATAACGACGGTGATGACGAGGAGGAGGATGATGATCGTGAGCAGAACGATTAGGCATAAATACCCATCACTACTATATCAGTCTAACAGTCAGAAGAGAATGCCGAGTCAACGCCACGCGTCTAGTTTGATTCATATTTTGAAAACACCTCGTAAACTGAGGCGTTTGAACGATAAGAAACGCCGAATTTTCCTCTACGTGAGAGGAATGGTGAAACTGGGACCTCCTGGACGGAAATCGTTAAGCAATGGATAAAGCACAGACTATAGACAACCATTCAACCTTAAAACAGCGTAGAAAAGGAAACATTCAACAGTGCGAAATGTGTTTCAAAACATGGACTCGCTATTTAAACAATAGGGCCTTCGAGCAGCAGCAGCATGTGTATATGAGTGACTAAACAATGTTCCAGAGTGAATACTATTGTCCATTCGTATCACGGCTTTGTATGGAACCGATTGACTCGAATCAATAAATGATACGAATGAATTGTTTGTTTGTTTTTTCTCATTTTTTTGGCATATTAGTATATAGTCTTCGTCATACTACACCCGTGAAGGTCCCGGGTTATAGAATGGACCTTCAGTAACCCATGCTTATCGGCGACTGACGGGGATCGGTTGGTCAGTCTCGCCGACTCGGATGACACGTGCCATCGGTTCCTAGTTGCACAGATCGCTGCTCATGCTGTTGATCACTGGATTGTCTGGTCCAAGCTCGTTTATTGACAGACCACCGTCCTAGAGCTGGAATAATGCCGAGTGTGGCGTAAAACTAAATTCACTCACTCACTGATACCAATACATCTAAAAAGTAATGTCGTCATCATTTAAATGGTGCGTTTAAACGCGTATTTTACCCTTACAAGGACGAGTGCATTCCACACACCCTTCCTGTTATCCAATGTGTCACTGTTTACAGTTCGGGCGAACATAACCCTATAAACATGTGTACGGGCGAGTTCATTCATCAGAAATCTGTCATTTACGATGTGTTTATAAATATGAACTGCTAACCACGCTCATAGTCATGTTGCGTGTCGTGGTTATAACCGTAATTGATCTATTGAGGTGTCATACATTCGTGTTCGGATATAGGTACAACATCTACACGCACATACTTTCCTACATCATTCAAATGTATTAAATACCGGATACGTTTAATAGACACCATTGAAAGAAAGGTTTAATGAGGGGAATACCCATATATATATCCTCTCTGAAATAACTCCCTTTTAAAATAACAAATGTACAACATATGTTCCCTAACGTATCATAAATACGGGACACTGGTCACACAATTTATGAATGGGAAGCTTCAGGCGAGGCTGGTATGTTAACATTAATTGTAAGGCCGGGGTAGTGTATGTTGACATTGTTATGGGCGGCCGGTCGCTATCCATTAGCTCGTTCTTGCGCGCTAAACGTAAACTGCTAGCTTGCTGATTGCGTAGTCTTATCTATTTTTTCTATATATTTTTTTTCCATACAGGTTGTCCAACGTTCATGGTGTACAACGTGTAGACCGTATAAGATGGATTTGATCCAGCTAGACGTACATTTTTTTTTCCCTACCTACATTACCCGGCGTATATCGTGTTCAACACACACCCTGCATTCATCAAACCAGCTCGCACGCTCTCGCGAGCGCGGTCAATTTGAAACGACTACGTGAGTTGTACACTAATTGTAATTTCTTCTAACGCCTAAAATAAAAGAAACCATTACGACCGATAAACAATTTGAAACGACGTGGTCACGTGAGTTATCAAGCGCGCTCGATTCAAACTGGGCTGCTTGTCTATTCAGGGCAGCACGCCATACGCATAGCTCTATTGAATACCCTTTACTTTTTTTTTGTTTACTTACGAATTCTTTTCTGTCTTATAAACACACCTTTCATTCCCCGCTCTTTCCCGACGCGCTGTTGATGCATGAGTCATCCTATCCGATCACGTGACTTGGATCAGCCAATCACCTTCCCTATTTTTCACTCAACCTCCCTCAACCAAAACCAGCTCCTGCCTGGTGACTCTATACTACTGAAGTGAGTGTCGGCTGACCCTCCTTTCGTAGTCCGTTAACCGTCAGATGTCACCGCTTGCTATGTGGTATCAGTCGAATGGCAGTTTGGTTAATGAGCGATTACCCTCCGATGTCACAACGGATAGCAATCGGACGGTGCTAAATATCATGTTAACCAGATGAGCTTCAGATGACTGTTAATTACCGGACACTCATCTGATTGCCGTCACACGTCCGATAGTTGCACATCACGAGTCTGACACACATCGGACTGACTCGACATTCATCCGACACTGACTCGATTTACGAACGGAAATGGCGTCCGATGGCGAACTAAGCTCTGAGCCTAGTCCCTTCATCGGACGATTTCGCCTCATCGGATCACGCCCGACACGTCGGACACTGACCTGATTGTCGACAAACACAAATCGGATTCATCGGAGTGTGATACGATACTCTTCGGTGGGTTATCTGAAGTAAAAGACTTTGCTTCCGATGAGTGACCGATGAGCCGAAATTCTCTGTGGAATGGGGGTATAAGCGATTATGAAATCGATTACTCATAAATCGACAGCGCCACAACTGTATGTGCAGAGTTAAGACCATGTCGGTCCAGACACATCTGACCATGGTTCGAATGCCTAATTCCACTCGACTACGATCAATGCTTTTGTCAACACCACACCATGAAAGTATTAACACCTACGGCCTGCGTCATTTACTGTTTGTCTCCCAAATCTAGCTAAAACACAGTGGCAAGACTGATATACGAGTAGTAAAGGTTATGCCCAGATCACTCAATCACTCGAGACACTTGTATTGATTCCTGACGGTGTTGTGCCAGGTGGAACCGCGAAGACGCGATCCAGTACATGCTCAACTACACATCCTTCTCCCGGGGGGACATAACGAAAGAGGTCGACCGATACATCACGGGGCCAGGACAGGCATGCGCATACAAGATTGGCGAAATCAAAATAAAAGAGTTACGGAAGAGAGCACAGGATGCATTGGGTAAGGTTGGTTGGTTGGTTTGTTGTTTTACGCCGCACTCAGCAATATTCCAGCTATATGACTGCGGTCTGTAAATACTCGGGTCTGGACTAGACAATCCAGTGATTGATATCATGAGCATTGATCCACGCCATTGGGATCGATAACATGCTTCACCCAAGTCACGTTCGTCGCCAGGATTCATTGAGTAAGGACATAACAAGGGGTAACCCGCACCTTCTACACAGGATGCATTGAGTGAGGACATAACAAGGGGTGACCTGCACCTTCTACACAGGATGCATTGGGTAAGGACATAACAAGGGGTGGGCTGCACCTTCTTCACAGGATGCATTAAGTAAGGACATAACAAGGGGTGGGCTGCACCTTCTACACAGGATGCATTAGGTAAGGACATAACAAGGGGGACCTGCACCTTCTACACAGGATGCATTAGGTAAGGACATAACCAGGGGTGACCTGCACTTTCTACACAGGATGCATTAAGTAAGGACATAACAAGGGGGGACCTGCACCTTCTACACAGGATGCATTGAGTAAGGACATAACAAGGGGTGACCTGCACCTTCTACACAGGATGCATTGGGTAAGGACTTAACAAGGGGGAACCTGCACCTTCTACACAGGATGCATTAGGTAAGGACATAACAAGGGGGACCTGCACCTTCTACACAGGATGCATTAGGTAAGGACATAACAAGGGGGAACCTGCACCTTCTACACAGGATGCATTAGGTAAGGACATAACAAGGGGGAACCTGCACCTTCTACACAGGATGCATTGAGTAAGGACATAACAAGGGGTAACCTGCACCTTCTACACAGGATGCATTGAGTAAGGACATAACAAGGGGTGACCTGCACCTTCTACACAGGATGCATTAGGTAAGGACATAACAAGGGATGGGCTGCACCTTCTACACAGGATGCATTAAGTAAGGACATAACAAGGGATGGGCTGCACCTTCTACACAGGATGCATTAGGTAAGGACATAACAAGGGGGACCTGCACCTTCTACACAGGATGCATTAGGTAAGGACATAACAAGGGGTGACCTGCACCTTCTACACAGGATGCATTATGTAAGGACATAACAAGGGGGAACCTGCACCTTCTACACAGGATGCATTAGGTAAGGACATAACAAGGGGAACCTGCACCTTCTACACAGGATGCATTAGGTAAGGACATAACAAGGGGGAACCTGCACCTTCTACACAGGATGCATTAGGTAAGGACATAACAAGGGGGAACCTGCACCTTCTACACAGGATGCATTAGGTAAGGACATAACAAGGGGGAACCTGCACCTTCTACACAGGATGCATTAGGTAAGGGCATAACAAGGGGGAACCTGCACCTTCTACACAGGATGCATTAGGTAAGGACATAACAAGGGGGAACCTGCACCTTCTACACAGGATGCATTAGGTAAGGACATAACAAGGGGGAACCTGCACCTTCTACACAGGATGCATTGAGTAAGGACATAACAAGGGGTAACCTGCACCTTCTACACATGATGCATTAGGTAAGGGCATAACAAGGGGGAACCTGCACCTTCTACACAGGATGCATTAGGTAAGGACATAACACATTCTACACATGATGCATTAGGTAAGGACATAACAAGGGGGAACCTGCACCTTCTACACAGGATGCATTAGGTAAGGGCATAACAAGGGGGACCTGCACCTTCTACACATGATGCATTAGGTAAGGACATAACAAGGGGTGACCTGCACCTTCTACACAGGATGCATTAGGTAAAGACATAACAAGGGGGGACCTGCACCTTCTACACAGGATGCATTAGGTAAGGACATAACAAGGGGGAACCTGCACCTTCTACACAGGATGCATTAGGTAAGGACATAACAAGGGGGACCTGCACCTTCTACACAGGATGCATTAGGTAAGGACATAACAAGGGGGAACCTGCACCTTCTACACAGGATGCATTAGGTAAGGGGATAACAAGGGGGACCTGCACCTTCTACACATGATGCATTAGGTAAGGACATAACAAGGGGTGACCTGCACCTTCTACACAGGATGCATTAGGTAAAGACATAACAAGGGGGGACCTGCACCTTCTACACAGGATGCATTAGGTAAGGGCATAATAAGGGGAACCTGCACCTTCTACACAGGATGCATTAGGTAAGGGGATAACAAGGGGGACCTGCACCTTCTACACATGATGCATTAGGTAAGGACATAACAAGGGTGACCTGCACCTTCTACACAGGATGCATTGAGTAAGGACATAACAAGGGGGAACCTGCACCTTCGACACAGGATGCATTAGGTAAGGACATAACAAGGGGGACCTGCACCTTCTACACAGGATGCATTAGGTAATGACACAACAAGAGACAACTTGTGCCTTGTACACAGGATGCATTAGGTAAGGAAATAACAATATGCACCTTCTAAACAGGATCTATTTGGTAAGCATTCAACAAGGTGTCTGTAAGGCTGTGTTGTTATTACACCATGTGAGTGATCGACAAGGTGTGTTGTGGTGTTGTTATGACACTATATAAGAGCATTCAACAAGGTGTCTGTGAGGCAGTGTTGTTAATACACCGTATAAGAGCATTCGACAAGGTGTCTGTAAGGTGGTATTGTTAATACGCCGTATAAGAGCGTTCGACAAGGTGTCTGTAAGGTGGTATTGTTATTACGCCGTATAAAGAGCGTTCGACAAGGTGTCTGTAAGGCGGTATTGTTAATGCGCCGTATAAAGAGCGTTCGACAAGGTGTCTGTAAGGCGGTATTGTTAATGCGCCGTATAAGAGCGTTCGACAAGGTGTCTGTAAGGTGGTATTGTTATTACACCGTATAAGAGCGTTCAACAAGGTGTCTGTAAGGTGGTATTGTTATTACATCCTATAAGAGCGTTCGACAAGGTGTCTGTAAGGCGGTATTGTTATTACACCGTATAAGAGCGTTCGACAAGGTGTCTGTAAGGCGGTATTGTTATTTAACCGTGTGGGTGTTCGACAAGGTGTCTGTAAGGCGGTATTGTTATTTAACCGTGTGGGTGTTCGGGAATGTGTCTGTGAGAAAGTGTTGTTGTTATACAAAAGTACAGAATCACCATCCATTTTGTGGTTTGTCTAGAATACTAGCGTAATTAGACCAGACAGATATATTGCGTGTTAAATTGAGAGCCAAAGCAGTAGTTCGAATCAGCAGATGAATGCTATGAATGTATAATACGTCCTGGTGCACAGATCAAAATGTATTATTCACCCAAGTCACGGTCCACGTGATGGACTCTGATATGTGTCAGGCTTTCGGGGGAAGAACTATATGACGTCGTGACATAATGACAGAGATGATATCATTGATGCCATACAATAGTGCTGTTTTATTATTTTGGTTCGTTCTTGTTTCCTCCTGTGCTCTCTTTGGGAATCATACTAATTTATCAGCGCCAGTTACATGTTAGGTTACGTAGGTAACATTTATGTAAAACCGTGATTGTTCATGACCTTGGCACTATTTCCATAGAATTATCTACCTTTGAAAACGAACAGGAAAGCACCTATGGCAGACATCTGACAAAACTCCAACCATATACACATACTGATTCCAGGTGAGCTGTTTGATATCCGGGAATTCCACTCCGTGGTGCTGGAGAACGGCCCCATGCCTCTCACCATCCTGGAGGAGATCGTGGACGACTGGATCCTGCACTACAGGCCCTCCACCGTGGAGGAGACGTGCACAGACGCCGCACACACACAGCACGTCTCTGTTCTTATGTCTCTGTGTCTCATCACACTGAGTCTATCTTAGTGGCTGAGCGACTGGCTTCCCCGGCTGACAAGTGCTCACAATACGATTACCCTGTCTCCATCTTACTCTGTTACTGTGAGGGTGACGGTCTGGTTTGTCCGCCCGTCACATAAAAAGACAATCTCGCCGTCTCAGACTGGGAAAAAACTACATAGTACTGACATCCTGCCAAGAGCTCATAACATGAGTCATGCCCCTTTGGAATAATTGCATCTCATCACTGGTGATATATGACGATATTATATTACTGCAATAAATACCATTTGTTGCTTGGGATACAAATACTTAAATGTTTGGAAACCACGCAGTCCATGGCTCCAGGTGCATGCCTCCCCCCTACTGGTAGACCTATGCACGACTGCCGGAACTCTTCACGGCCACGCCTTATCAATACAATCAGCGACGTCAGTTTGTGTACAGCCACATGTTCCTGGACTCATTCTTGTGTCTCTATATTTATGCAAACCCACGTGATGGCATTGTCAGAATCATCAGGCCACCATTGAAGAAACAAACAAGCGACATTATCAACCTTCTTCTTCTATGCTTAAGGTTTTATAAAGTTGTCAAAGTTCCACACTCAGCGGGCGATCTTACGACAAGGCAGTTCGGGCGTCAGAGAGTTATGGCGTGTGTTTGTGCAGTAAGTGCATAAAGATCGGTGGGTAGTCCAACTTTGTGTGTAAGTTATACCAAAGTGGCTGTCAGATATAATTAATCCCACAACGAGTTGTTTCAAAACGTATCTAACGAGTGAAAGCGACTGAGATACGCGTGGAAACAACGAGTTGTGAGATAAATGGTATCTGACAGACACGAGTGCAAGTAATCTGTACTTAACCTAATATCGCACCTCTATAGCATCTATAATGCATTTTGTCTCTTCTCATGACCGCAGTGGCGCATTACTACATAACACAACGGTCATGACGTGTGACGTCATCCGACTTACTGCTTACTACGCATAAATAATGTGACCCTACACAAAAAAGTTTACGCCATATCTGTGGATTATCAAGGCGATGATGATAATGCAAACTAGATATTATCAAAGAACCCACTGAATGCCGTGATGGACCCGCGAAGATCCGGGGTAGAACAGGTCTTGGGCAACCCATTCTTGCTGGCTGTAAAAAGCGACTATACTTGTCGTAAGGGGCGACTAACGGGATCGGGTGGTCAGGCTCGCTGACTTGGTTTGAAGTATGTCATCTTATCCCAATTGCGTGGATTGATGCTCATGATGCCAATCACTGGATTGTCTGGTCCAGATTGGATTATTTACAGACCGCCGTCATATAGCTGGAATATTGCTGAGTGCGGTGTTAAACAACAAACCAACCAACTAAATTTTTTCACCGCAAAGATATTACCAAATATTTACAACAATATGACATGACTACCGGTGACCGACGTTTACAAAATGGAGTGTTCACAAACAACAGTACGCGGGATTTCCAAGAGGAGGATTTTCGTTGATTGAGGGATCGTATATGGATAAATGTGTTATGTAAGTAAAAAGAAACATTCTGACAATCTGCGTACTGTTATTTGCTTTATGTTTTCCAATGTAACCAAGTGAGTGATTGAGTGAGTGAGTGAGTTGGGTTTAACGCCGCTTTTAACAGTATTCCAGTCATATCACGGCGTGTCAGCTTAATGTGGGAGGAAAGCCCGAAGTGATGCAGGTCTCAGACGTTTACCACTTCGGTGAAACCCACGAGCACGGGTATGGTGCTGACAAACCTAGAAACATAATCGTGCCTAAGGGACGCAACTCTGCACAGCGAATCGCGGTCAGTCAAGGCATCATTAAGGACGGAAACTTTTACGATTTCCGTTGAATTTACCTGATCATTGTAATGCAAATATTTTTAATTCCATAATCCTTGCCTCGATACTCTTCCCATTAATAATCTCAAACACGCGAGCCAATGTATGCAACAATTAGACGAATGGATAGTTAAAATAGGAGAAAATGCTACACAGTGTAAAAATCTGAATTTTGCTTTGTGTACATTTCAACAAGTACAGTTTTCCGAACACAGTGATCGTTTCAACACCTAATATATTTCGCTTGATTTCATCTGGATAAATTGTATTGGTGTTAAAGACCATTTGTCATTTGATTCTAAAATGTGTGAGGAATTCAGGGATGTATGCATCGCAGCTGAGTTTGAAATATACGTGATCACGTGATAGGCGTCTCATAATTGGCACCCGAAACGTGATTTTGTAAACACTATCCAATATGGCGGAACATACACTTCGGCGTTTGTGTTTGTGTATTTTCCAAAACATTCTAACCGATTCTAGGTGACGTTTCAAAATTATCATTAGTGATTAGATGAAAAACAGATACCCAGATACAGATACAGAATGTGCTATTTTTTAATTCAATTCTTCGAGTAAATATCCTTTATTTAGATTTCTAAACACAGAGTAAATAACGCCATGAATGGTAATTTAGAAGTGTGTAAAAGGATTGCGAGATTTACGATGTGCGGAATTTTCATCGGTCACGTTCAATAATTTTGCTTTGCCTTAACTGACAGTGGATGATATCACAGAAAAGGGAGTTTCCCGCCGAATTCAAAACTGTGAAGTGTATTAGTGTGCGTAGTGTATTGAATTTATTCGACTTCGAAGTGAGGGTTGAAGAGGAGGAACATGTATGTCGATGTGGCATCAAGGAGCTTTACCCTTTCAACACAGACGTAGGTGAACATTCGACTGAAGCACGAGCAACTTATCAATGACTTACGATCAGGAAAGTAGTCCGTCATAATCTGACCTCAGAACATCACCATGGAGTACCCAATCACGGATCTAGAATTCGATCTCACACATATGTTTGATACCAGTTCTCTCAAATGGGTTTCTCAGCCACAGGCGTGTTAGAAATGCCAGTGTCAGCATATTGTTCTGGTTACCCCATGGGTATGAATAAAGATCAATTAATTTCAAGCTTAAAACATTCAATTTCTTCGTCATTATCGAAACTGAGTGAGTGAGTGAGTGAGTGAGTATGGTTTTACGACGTTTTTAGCAATATTCCAGGAATATCACGGCGGGGGACACCAGAAATGGGCTTCACACATTGTACCCATGTCGGGAATCGAACCCGGGTCTTCGGCGTGACGACATTATCGAAATTGAAAACTGTTGCTTTATTGTTGAAAGCTTTCAAAAGTCTGGTGAAGAATGTTTCATGTTGTTGACATAGAGTTGTGTGAGACTTTGTTAACGTTGTTTGATATGCTTATCCAGTTGTGTGAGACTTTCTTAACGTTGTTTGATATGCTTATCCAGTTGTGTGAGACTTTCTTTACGTTGTTTGATATGCTTATCCAGTTGTGTGAGAGTTTCTTAACGTTGTTTGATATGCTTATCCAGTTGTGTGAGAGTTTCTTAACGTTGTTTGATATGCTTATCCAGTTGTGTGAGACTTTCTGTACGTTGTTTGATATGCTTATCCAGTTGTGTGAGACTTTCTTTACGTTGTTTGATATGCTTATCCAGTTTTGTGGGACTTTCTTTACGTTGTTTGATATGCTTATCCAGTTGTGTGAGACTTTCTTTACGTTGTTTGATATGCTTATCCAGTTTTGTGGGACTTTCTTTACGTTGTTTGATATGCTTATCCAGTTGTGTGAGACTTTCTTTGCGTTGTTTGATATGCTTATCCAGTTGTGTGAGAGTTTCTTTACGTTGTTTGATATGCTTATCCAGTTGTGTGAGAGTTTCTTTACGTTGTTTGATATGCTTATCCGGACAATGCCTGTAACTTTTTTTAATCCATTACCAGCTTCAAATGTTTTCATTTTGCTTTTTGAAAGTTTTTTCTATATGTATCGCCAAAACATATCTTGCTTTTGAGTGAATATTACCTGTCCTCCATCTCAGTTTACTTACTCATGATTATCTTGCCTTACCCAGGACGTTACACTTGCAGAGTCAACCATCGCGAGGGGAAAGCGATCGTCAAACCATTTACTGTGTGGACGAGGTCAGGTGGACCTTCCAGTGATGATTGTGTTGGGCTATTCGTGTGTTTATCTGTCCTATATCTATATTTTCTCTGAATAAATCTGATTATTACTTATAAGTATACATGTTATACCAGAACATCGTACTGATGACTGAATAACAAGACACAGCTTAACACTTATGCGTTTATTCTCACCGCCAAAAGAAACACGAAACATTAAAACATATTGAGAAGTATGTACGGTAAAATAGATGTCTCCAGTGTGTACCACGATATGCTGCTCGTGATTTCTAAACTTTACACGCTGATCCTGCATCTCACACAGATCATATTGTTGGGGTAAAAACACCTCAGCCTCCATCTGCATGAAAACAAATCTCACCCCCAATAATGCGTCTCGATCACAATATGCCCATCCTCATCCATACAGAGCGTTTCGTGTGCAAAGCCATGTTGTTTGACATGGAGATATGAGCAGGTAGTAAGCATGTAACACTTATTAAGAAAAATCATTTCAAATGTTCCATTTCAAGAGGCCATGTCATGCAAGTCACTGTGTTGTATCCTTGGACAATGTTATTGACTCCACTTGTCCCGCTGTGATATGACTGGATCAGTTGTATGTGAAATCCTCATTAAGCATCATTTACCCTTACGTGGAAAACAAATATAACACAGACATGTATGCATGCATGCCCCAACTCGACGACGTGCTCTAATGTATCGGCTAATGGACATTGTGCTGGCCAAGGCAAGATGTTGTATGGATCCTATGTTATCTTGTTGAGACAGTGTCCGGGCATTATGTTACAAGAACGGTGAGACAGCAAGGTAGAGAGACTGGTCAATGTAACGCTATCCATTGATCACGTGATCTGTCTTGACTTGGCTACAGATGCCGCACTGGCTGTCCACTGATGTTCTTAGTCCGTCATCTGTGGTTTAGAGGGACACGTCAAGGAAAAGAAGGTGTTGATTGGTGAACTGGATTCTCTGGTGCTGGGCGTTGAGATGTTTAAGGAGCTCTGTGGGGTCGTTCAGGTGGGCTATTGTGGTGAATGTGTCGTCTCACTTTCCGGTTAGAAAAGACGTTGAAATGGTGCTCTGGAGAGGGCTGATTCTTCGAAGGATGTCATGAAGATTTCAGTGATGAGTGGAGATAGAGGGGAGCCCATAGGTAGTCCGTGGATTTGTTTGTAGATCTTGTTTTTGAAATGAAAATATGATGTGTCAAAGCAGCTAGAGGCTAGGTTGGTGATGCTGTCTATTGTGAGTTTGGTGTCAAGTACTTCTTGTAGTGGGATGTTGGTGAAGAGGTCGATTACGTCATAGCTGACCATACGAGGTTAGGTTCTTTTAGCCATCTCGTCCACTGTACGTAAGGTACATGTTTCACAGGCTCGGTCTGATGTAGCTACACAACAGTTCTACTACATTGATACATGAGGTGAACGTGCACTTCATCACTCATTACATAATGATACTAGGATAGTTGCATAACGATACTAGGGCAGCTGCATAACGCTACTAGGACAGTTGCATAACGATAATAGGACAGTTGCATAACGATAATAGGACAGTTGCATAATGATACTGAGGCAGTTGCATAACGATAATAGGACAGTTGCATATCGATACTGAGGCAGTTGCATAACGATACTAGGACAGTTGCAAAGCGGTAATAGGACAGTTGCTTAACGATACTGAGGCAGTTGCATAACGATACTAGGACAGTTGCATAACGTTAATAGGACAGTTGCATATCGATACTGGGGCAGTTGCATAACGATAATAGGACAGTTGCATAACGATACTAGGACAGTTGCATAACGTTAATAGGACAGTTGCATATCGATACTGGGGCAGTTGCATAACGATAATAGGACAGTTGCATAACGATACTAGGACAGTTGCATAACGATAATAGGACAGTTGCATATCGATACTGGGGCAGTTGCATAACGATAATAGGACAGTTGCATAACGATACTGAGGCAGTTGCATAACGATAATAGGACAGTAGCATAACGATACTGAGGCAGTTGCATAACGATACTGAGGCAGTTGCATAACGATAATAGGACAGTTGCATATCGAAACTGAGGCAGTTGCATAACGATACTGAGGCAGTTGCATAACGATACTAGGACAGTTGCATAACGATACTAGGACAGTTGCATAACGATACTGAGGCAGTTGTATAACGATACTAGGACAGTTGCATAGCGGTAATAGGACAGTTGCTTAACGATACTGAGGCAGTTGTATAACGATACTAGGACAGTTGCATAACGATACTGAGGCAGTTGCATAACGATACTAGGACAGTTGCATAGCGATAATAGGACAGTTGCATAATGATACTGAGGCAGTTGCATAACGATACTAGGACAGTTGCATAGCGATAATAGGACAGTTGCATAACGATACTGAGGCAGTTGCATAACTATGCTGGGGCAGTTGCATAACGCTAATAGGACAGTTGCATAACGATACTGAGGCAGTTGCATAACGATAATAGGACAGTTGCATATCGATACTGGGGCAGTTGCATAACGATAATAGGACAGTTGCATAACGATACTGAGGCAGTTGCATAACGATAATAGGACAGTAGCATAACGATACTGAGGCAGTTGCATAACGATAATAGGACAGTTGCACAACGTTAATAGGACAGTTGCATAATGATACTGAGGCAGTTGCATAACGATAATAGGACAGTTGCATATCGATACTGAGGCAGTTGCATAACGATACTGAGGCAGTTGCATAACGATACTAGGACAGTTGCATAACGATACTAGGACAGTTGCATAACGATACTGAGGCAGTTGCATAACGATACTAGGACAGTTGCATAGCGGTAATAGGACAGTTGCTTAACGATACTGAGGCAGTTGCATAACTATGCTGGGGCAGTTGCATAACGATAATAGGACAGTTGCATAACGATACTGAGGCAGTTGCATAACGATACTGGGACAGTTGCATAGCGATAAAAGGACAGTTGCATAATGATACTGAGGCAGTTGCATAACGATACTAGGACAGTTGCATAGCGATAATAGGACAGTTGCATAACGATACTGAGGTAGTTGCATAACTATGCTGGGGCAGTTGCATAACGCTAATAGGACAGTTGCATAACGATACTGAGGCAGTTGCATAACGATAATAGGACAGTTCCATAACGATACTGAGGCATTTGCATAACGATAATAGGACAGTTGCATAACGATACTGAGGCAGTTGCATAACGATACTATGATAGTTGCATAACGATACTAGGGCAGCTGCATAACGATACTAAGATAGTTACATAACGATACTAAGATAGTTGCATAACGATACTGAGGCAGTTACATAACGATAATAGGACAGTTGCGCGACGTTACTTAGGGAGTTGCAGAACGATACTAGGATAGTTGCACAACAATACCGAGGCAGTTGCATATCAATACAGGGGTAGTTGCATGACGATACTAGGACAATAGCATAACGATTCTAGGATAGTTGTATAACGATACTAGGGCAGTACATAACGATACTAGGACAGTTGTATAACGACACTAGGAAAGTACATAACGATACTAGGACAGTTGTATAACGATACTAGGACAGTTATATAACGATACTAGGACAGTTGTATAACGATACTAGGACAGTACATAACGATACTAGGACAGTTATATAACGATACTAGGGCAGTTATATAACGATACTAGGACAGTACATAACGATACTAGGACATATATTTGACGATACTAGGACAGTACATAACGATACTAAGACAGTTGTATAACGATACTAGGACAGTACATAACGATGCTAGGGCAGTTATATAACGATACTAGGACAGTACATAACGATACTAGGACAGTTGCATCACGATACTAGGACTGTTATATAACGATACTAGGACAGTACATAATGATACTAGGACAGTTGCATCACGATACTAGGACAGTACATAACGATACTAGGACAGTTATATAACGATACTAGGACAGTACATAACGATACTAGGACAGTTGCATCACGATACTAGGACTGTTATATAACGATACTAGGACAGTACATAACGATACTAGGACAGTACATAACAATACTAGGACAGTTGTATAACGATACTAGGACAGTACATAACGATACTAGGATAGTTGTATAACGATACTAGGACAGTACATAACGTACGAGGACAGTACATAACGATACTAGGACAGTACATAACGATACTAGGACAGTTGTATAACGATACTAGGACAGTACATAACAATACTAGGACAGTTGTATAACGATACTAGGACAGTACATAACGATACGAGGACAGAACATAACGATACTAGGACAGTACATAACGATACTAGGCCAGTTGTATAACGATACTAGGACAGTACATAACGATACTAGGCCAGTTATATAACGATACTAGGACAGTACATAACGATACTAGGACAGTTATATAACGATACTAGGACAGTACATAACGATACTAGGACAGTTGCATCACGATACTAGGACTGTTATATAACGATACTAGGACAGTACATAACGATACTAGGACAGTACATAACAATACTAGGACAGTTGTATAACGATACTAGGACAGTACATAACGATACTAGGATAGTTGTATAACGATACTAGGACAGAACATAACGTACGAGGACAGTACATAACGATACTAGGACAGTACATAACGATACTAGGACAGTTGTATAACGATACTAGGACAGTACATAACGATACTAGGACAGTTGTATAACGATACTAGGACAGTACATAACGATACGAGGACAGAACATAACGATACTAGGACAGTACATAACGATACTAGGCCAGTTGTATAACGATACTAGGACAGTACATAACGATACTAGGACAGTTGTATAACGATACTAGGACAGTACATAACGATACGAGGACAGTACATAACGATACTAGGACAGTACATAACGATACTAGGACAGTACATAACGATACTAGGACAGTACATAACGATACGAGGACAGAATATTACGATACTAGGACAGTACATAACGATACTAGGGCAGTACATAACGATACTAGGGCAGTACATAACGATACTAGGGCAGTACATAACGATACTAGGGCAGTACATAACGATACTAGGACAGTACATAACGATACTAGGGGAGTACATAACGATACTAGGGCAGTACATAACGATACTAGGACAGTAGATAACGATACTGGGGCAGTACATAACGATACTAGGGCAGTACATAACGATACTAGGGCAGTACATAACGATACTAGGACAGTACATAACGATACTAGGACAGTAGATAACGATACTAGGGCAGTACATAACGATACTAGGGCAGTACATAACGATACTAGGACAGTAGATAACGATACTAGGGCAGTACATAACGATACTAGGGCAGTACATAACGATACTAGGACAGTACATAACGATACTAGGGCAGTACATAACGATACTAGGGCAGTACATAACGATACTAGGGCAGTACATAACGATACTGGGGCAGTACATAACGATACTAGGACAGTAGATAACGATACTAGGGCAGTACATAACGATACTAGGACAGTACATAACGATACTAGGGCAGTACTTAACGATACTAGGACAGTTGTATAACGATACTAGGACAGTAGATAACGATACTAGGACAGTACATAACGATACTAGGACAGTACATAACGATACTAGGACAGTGGATAACGATACTAGGACAGTACATAACGATACTAGGGCAGTACATAACGATACTAGGACAGTACATAACGACACTAGGGCAGTACATAACGATACTAGGGCAGTACATAACGATACTAGGGCAGTACATAACGATACTAGGAGAGTACATAACGATACGAGGACAGAATATTACGATACTAGGACAGTACATAACGATACTAGGGCAGTACATAACGATACTAGGGCAGTACATAACGATACTAGGGCAGTACATAACGATACTAGGACAGTACATAACGATACTGGGGCAGTACATAACGATACTAGGGCAGTACATAACGATACTAGGGCAGTACATAACGATACTAGGGCAGTACATAACGATACTAGGACAGTACATAACGATACTAGGACAGTACATAACGATACTAGGAGAGTACATAACGATACTGGGGCAGTACATAACGATACTAGGGCAGTACATAACGATACTAGGGCAGTACATAACGATACTAGGGCAGTACATAACGATACTAGGACAGTACATAACGATACTAGGGCAGTACATAACGATACTGGGGCAGTACATAACGATACTAGGACAGTACATAACGATACTGGGGCAGTACATAACGATACTAGGGCAGTACATAACGATACTAGGGCAGTACATAACGATACTAGGGCAGTACATAACGATACTAGGACAGTACATAACGACACTAGGGCAGTACATAACGATACTAGGGCAGTACATAACGATACTAGGAATGTTGCATAGCTATACCCGGAAACAACAAACATGCTCACACTGACGTTGCTGCAGGACGAGGTGCTTCTGTAACCTCTTTGTGCGTTCAGCCCAGCAGCCTGTGAGGCGGCCCGGGTAGCTTGTGTGCAGTGCTCACCTATTGGAGGGAAGGAGGCCCGGGTAGCTTGTGTGCAGTGCTCACCTATTGGAGGGAAGGTGGCCCGGGTAGCTTGTGTGCAGTGCTCACCTACTGGAGGGAAGGAGGGAGAACGATGGAGGAAAGGTAGGTCATTACTTCGGTCCGCGCAGGGTGAGAGAAACATGAGGTTTGACACATGTTTTAGAAACAACTATTCTGTGTCAACAACCATGTGGTGTGTCTGTAACCTGTTTAGATACAATATACGGAAATGATCAGGTCTTTATCGACGGTAATCGCGACATGGCAAGTATGTAACGTGCCATATTTGAACAAACTGCAACGTTCGTACAAAACATTGTGAGCGAACACATTTCAGTTTATACAAATATATTAATCAACATTAAAATAATTAGAGAAATTATTTCGATTTTGAACTTACATGTATTTCAGTGTAACACCAGCATCCACATTGGGATACCGTCCGTCAGTGGCTGGAATATGTTTAGGTATCTGGGTTACTGGTTTCATATTGGCTTGCATGCACCATGCATAACCCTGGGCGATTTCACACACATTTATAGGTTTTGAAAAACCTCACTTCGCTCTGTGCAGACACATGGAATTACCATACCTATCAGGTCGGTAGCCCTATGGCATAAAGGATAAACGTATAAACCAACCGCGATCGATTTATGACTTCCGACATATGCATTCATAAGTAAAGCCAACTTACGGAAATCAAAACCGTTTTGACAAAATCATTTGCCCATGTAAGTTGTTGTCCAACCACGTATGGTGAAGACAAGTACAGTACTACCTCATGTGACAATAGATGCATAGATGGGTACGAACACGAGAAGGTTCAAGGACCTCTTCCCGAGGTCAGCCGCGAGACACTCTTTTGTCAGTTTGTACGTAGTTCGTAACAACGGCACAAAAAACAGTTGACTATAAATAAGGCATATAGGTCTTATTGTGGTAGAGCCTCCATTGAATGGACCCTGTTCGACATCGACCATAGAGTGCCCGCTGGTACCAGGACCCTATGTCCCGAGTCCCGTTAGTCGACTGCCGCCCTGTCGTGCCTGCCTTATACAAGTACATGCATAGAGTTGTATACTGTTGTTCCAGCGACTGAGTTACCGCTCAAACTAATAATGGCTGCACTCTGATTGGACACAGCGGTCATCCGAAGACGTGTAACTGACAATGTATACAACCCCTTTTTGCTTACAGTTGAATCTATCGATTGACATGTACATGTACCTGATGGTCAGTTTTAATAATTTAATCAATATACAAGCACAGACTGGACATGCCTAGCAGGTGACGTGTTGCAATCACTAATTACAAAGGACGGAAAGACCATAATGCTATATAACAACACTTCTAACTCAATCAAATCTGCTAAATATATTCATCAATTTCTAAAAATAAACTATTGAATCATGTCAATACAAAATCTAAAATATTTATAAATTCTAAAACTTACTTACTCTACTTACACCCATAGGGACAGGTCAGCGGCCTTTTAAACACTCAAACAAACAGCATCTATAACAATCTGTACATGTAAAAGTAGCTGTATGGCCTCTATGTGCATCGTACGCATCCCTTATGTACAGTATACACTGTATTACAATGTTTGTACAAAGGTCGTTTCAGGGTGCTGTATCACAGCCAGTGTGTTTGGTTTACGAAGAAGTAAATATTTAATGTCTTGATATAAAAGGAAGACACATATTCTCTCGAGAATCTAGTCTACATAACTCCGTGTGTCTGCATATACAATACCATACGTGTGTACGCATATCCTTATACAGGCTTTCTTTCGTCAGTTATGAAGTGTGAAACTGAACAGGCTTTGTTGCAGGATGGACGTAGCAGTCTACATCGTGGTTTTCATGTTAATCTGTCGTTGCGCAGGTGAGCTTGACTCAAATATACATTTCATTATCATGTTGCTTCATCAAACGCCAACGTATGTACAGGATATGTAGACCATAGGCCCAGCTGCGTCACGTGACACACACAGCCAGGAGCGTCACCCGGACAGTATTCTTGTCATGTCATAACACTAATCATGTGTGTACCTGTATTAGACTGACTCGAGAATAACACACCAGGGCATTTAAACTTGACGCGCATATTACACATCTTGCTGTAAACAATAATTTCGGAAACCTCATAGTAGTATGTAAATGTTCTATCCTTTGCACACACAAGTTTATGAACCACTAATTTAAACGTTGTGCATGCGTTGCACTGTCGACAAAAAAGTTAATACCCGACTGCAATCTCCAAGGTGATGCATCGGCTGACCTGGCCAAGCTCCACTCTGATTTCTTCACGTGGCGGATGTCTGACCGGCCCATGGTGGCCACCTACAGAGATGTCCACAAATATGACGATCAGCTGGAGGCATTCACTCTTGACATGTTTGATGTCAGGAAGGTAGGACATGTTTGATGTCAGGAAGGTAGGACATGTTTGATGTCAGGAAGGTAGGACATGTTTGATGTCAGGAAGGTAGGACATGTTTGATGTCAGGAAGGTAGGGCATGTTTGATGTCAGGAAGGTAGGACATGTTCTATGTCAGGAAGGTAGGACATGTTTGATGTCAGGAAGGTAGGACATGTTCTATGTCAGGAAGGTAGGACATGTTCTATGTCAGGAAGGTAGGACATGTTTGATGTCAGGAAGGTAGGACATGTTCGATGTCAGGAAGGTAGGGCATGTTTGATGTCAGGAAGGTAGGACATCTTTGATGTCAGGAAGGTAGGGCATGTTTGATGTCAGGAAGGTAGGACATGTTCGATGTCAGGAAGGTAGGACATGTTCGATGTCAGGAAGGTAGGAAATGTTCGATGTCAGGAAAGTAGGACATGTTCGATGTCAGAAAGGTAGGACATGTTTGATGTCAGGAAGGTAGGACATGTTCGATGTCAGGAAGGTAGGACATGTTTGATGTCAGGAAGGTAGGGCATGTTTGATGTCAGGAAGGAAGGACATGTTTCATGACAGACGGTAGGGCATGTTTGATGTCAGGAAGGTAGGACATGTTTGGTGTCAGAAGGTAGAGCATATTTGATGTCAGGAAGGTAGGACATCTTTGATGTCAGGAAGGTAGGGCATGTTTGATGTCAGGAAGGTAGGACATGTTCGATGTCAGGAAGGTAGGACATGTTCGATGTCAGGAAGGTAGGAAATGTTCGATGTCAGGAAAGTAGGACATGTTCGATGTCAGAAAGGTAGGACATGTTTGATGTCAGGAAGGTAGGACATGTTCGATGTCAGGAAGGTAGGACATGTTTGATGTCAGGAAGGTAGGGCATGTTTGATGTCAGGAAGGAAGGACATGTTTCATGACAGACGGTAGGGCATGTTTGATGTCAGGAAGGTAGGACCTGTTTGGTGTCAGGAAGGTAGAGCAGGTTTGATGTCAGGAAGGTTTGACATGTTCGATGTCAGGAAGGTAGGGCATATTTGATGTCAGGAAGGTAGGGCATGTTTGATGTCAGGAAGGTAAGACATGTATGGTATCAAAAGGTAGGACATGTACGATGTCAGGAAGGTAGGATATGTTCGATGTCAGGAAGGTAGGACATGATTGATGTCAGGAAGGTAGGGCATGATTGATGTCAGGAAAATAGGGCATATTTGATGTCAAGAAGGTAGGGCATGTTTGATGTCAGGAAGGTAGGGTATGTTTGATGTCAGGAAGGTAGGACATGTTTAATGTCAGGAAGGTAGGACATGTTTGATGGCAAGAAGGTAGGGCATGTTCGATAGCAGGAAGGTAGGGCATGTTTGATGTCAAGAAGGTAGGGCATGTTTGATGTCAGGAAGGTAGGGTATGTTTGATGTCAGGAAGGTAGGACATGTTCGATGTCAGTAAGGTAGGACATGTTTGATGTCAGGAAGGTAGGACATGTTTGATGTCAGGAAGGTAGGACATGTTTGATGTCAGGAAGGTAGGGCATGTTCGATGGCAGGAAGGTAGGACATGTTTGATGTCAGGAAGGTAGGACATGTTTGATGTCAGGAAGGTACAAATGTAGGACCTGTTTGGTGTCAGAAGGTAGAGCAGGTTTGATGTCAGGAAGGTTGGACATGTTCGATGTCAGGAAGGTAGGGCATATCTGATGTCAGGAAGGTAGGGCATGTTTGATGTCAGGAAGGTAAGACATGTATGGTATCAAAAGGTAGGACATGTACGATGTCAGGAAGGTAGGATATGTTCGATGTCAGGAATGTAGGACATGATTGATGTCAGGAAGGTAGGGCATGATTGATGTCAGGAAAGTAGGGCATATTTGATGTCAGGAAAGTAGGACATGTTCGATGTCAGAAAGGTAGGACATGTTTGATGTCAGGAAGGTAGGACATGTTTGATGTCAGGAAGGTAGGACATGTTCGATGTCAGGAAGGTAGGGCATGTTTGATGTCAGGAAGGTAGGGCCTGTTTGGTGTCAGAAGATAGAGCAGGTTTGATGTCAGGAAGGTAGAACATGTTCGATGTCTGGAAGGTAGGGCATATTTGATGTCAGGAAGGTAGGACATGTTCGATGTCAGGAAGGTAGGACATGTTCGATGCCAGGAAGGTAGGACATGTTCGATGTCAGGAAGGTAGGGCATGTTTGATGTCAGGAAGGTAGGGCATGCTTGATGTCAGAAGGTAGCATATGTTCGATGTCAGGAATGAAGGACATGTTTGATGACAGACGGTAGGGCATGTTTGATGTCAGGAAGGTAGGACCTGTTTGGTGTCAGAAGGTAGAGCAGGTTTGATGTCAGGCAGGTAGGACATGTTCGATGTCAGGAAGGTAGGGGATATTTGATGTCAGGAAAGTAGGACATGTTCGATGTCAGGAAGGTAGGACATGTTTGATGTCAGGAAAGTAGGACATGATTGATGTCAGGAAGGTAGGGCATGATTGATGTCAGGAAAGTAGGGCATATTTGATGTCAGGAAAGTAGGACATGTTCGATGTCAGAAAGGTAGGACATGTTTGATGACAGGAAGGTAGGACATGTTCGATGTCAGGAATGAAGGACATGTTTGATGACAGACGATAGGGCATGTTTGATGTCAGGAAGGTAGGACCTGTTTGGTGTCAGAAGGTAGAGCAGGTTTGATGTCAGTAAGGTAGGACATGTTCGATGTCAGGAAGGTAGGGCATATTTGATGTCAGGAAGGTAGGACATGTTCGATGTCAGGAAGGTAGGACATGTTTGATGTCAGGAAGGTAGGACATGTTCGATGCCAGGAAGGTAGGACATGTTCGATGTCAGGAAGGTAGGGCATGTTTGATGTCAGGAAGGTAGGGCATGTTTGATGTCAGAAGGTAGCATATGTTCGATGTCAGGAATGAAGGACATGTTTGATGACAGACGGTAGGGCATGTTTGATGTCAGGAAGGTAGGACCTGTTTGGTGTCAGAAGGTAGAGCAGGTTTGATGTCAGGAAGGTAGGACATGTTCGATGTCAGGAAGGTAGGGGATATTTGATGTCAGGAAGGTAGGACATGTTCGATGTCAGGAAGGTAGGACATGTTTGATGTCAGGAATGTAGGACATGTACGATGTCAGGAAGGAAGGACATGTTCTGTGGCAGAAAGGTAGGGCATGTTTGATGTCAGGAAGGTAGGGCATGTTTGATGTCAGGAAGGTAGGGCATGTTTGATGTCAGGAAGGTAGGACATGTTTGATGTCAGGAAGGTAGGGCATGTTCGATGTCAGGAAGGTGGGACATGTTCGATGTCAGGAAGGTAGGACATGTTTGGTGCCAGAAGTAGGACATATTTTGTGTAAGACGGTAGTTCTGCAGCAGGACAGCTGGAAGAATGGCAGGGTAGGACAAGGACCGTGTCTTAGACTGAGACTGACAGTCCCCATCCCCAGTGGTATCGTTCGCTAAGGACTCTCTAGCTCCTAAACGTATCCCTTTCGTGTTGTATTCCTGCACTGTATATTTATGATGCGAGTGTTCTATAGACCAGGGCCGATGAACTACACGCCAGACTAAAGAATATCACAGTAGCTGATCTGAAGAAGTCCGACTTGACCAACCTCCGTATCCTGGACGATATGCTCTCCACCTATATCGCCGGCTACCCGTGGAGAATGTCAGTACCTACCCATAGATGCATTTAGCTATCTAATAGTACCACAGAAGTGACACGTGATACTGTGACGTCACTTCCGATGGCGCAAACTATCCAGTTCTATTTCTATAACCTGTTAAGTAGGCCCAATACTAAAGACACAATCACCACATAGCTGAATGTTTTAACTTTTACAACACCTTAGAAAGTTACATCTGCCACGCTTTATGTACAAAAACGCGTTTAACAATGTGTGCTAAAAGGGCAATATTTTCCAGAAAGTTATCTTGCGTATTATGACAACGACTATCTCATGGTGAGAGCATGGACCAATACCGCTTCGATCTATGAGGATCTGTGCATGTATCCAGTGTTAAAGCATCCCTGTTTTGTGTACAATACCGAGCTCCGCTGGTCAGACTCCTTGCCTTATCACCCAGGTACCAGTACCTCACCCCGGTCAATTTCCTCGAGGGGCCGCAACAAGAGGCTTCCTCCCTGGCTGAGGTCCTACCGTTTTCAACTCGCGGAGACTTTGAGAACTACATCGTCCGTCTACAGAAGACGCCGGGAAAGGTGAGACCCGTCAACACATTTACAATCTTTCAACATGCCTTGTGAGTGATTAGCGAAGACCGACTTTTATGAATGCCTTTGTATTAACATTGCAGATGTCTCAATATAAAACCCTGATGAGGATCGCCATCCAACTCAATCGCACGAACCACCTCGTCTCTATGGTATGTTTAACGTTCGACGTTAGATAATACAATACCATGCAGAACAAGCATAGTCTAGTTAATGTTGGCATACGATCACCATGAACACAAATACACGTTTATAATTATTTGTATGCTAATGCTCTAATTAAGATTTGTTGGTATCCACCAGTCATCTCATACCATTACAACATGTACTTCTCGCTAGAATCGTCTTAGAGAACAGTTCGCCAAGTTGAATGTCAGCGACCCGACACAGTCTGTGCTCTACCTGCCTTTTAACAACACTCTTGCGAAATCCAATATATCTGACGGTGATAGGTGAGTCTGACCTACTACTCAGCCATCACAACACTCCTGATACCAAGGATCCTTTGACCATGTCCAATGGATATTACAGTTCCATACATATTGCTTCTATGGATAATTATATAATTAAATTAAACCTTCGTTCTTGTTTCTCATGGTTTATTCTCCCTGCAGTGTTTTATTGTACGATGAATAATCCCAAATCGTCATTTATTTTTTAAATAAAACATTCATTCTCTGATGATCTAGGTACTTCATATGTATGAACCGGTCGACAACCTTGTGACTAACTATTACTGTCTGTTGACTATGTCGTGTGTGGTATTTGTGTCCTCTAGGGCTGGGCTGAGACAACGTGGGAGTGCTGCTGTCGCCCTCGCCGTACAAGCCTACATGGACTTGTCAGCTTTTATCCAACAGGTAACCTATATATCACGCTAAGCATTGCATGTTAATCAGAAACCGTGAGATGCACATACTCTACCTAGCACCTGGGCATGTTCACAGGAGTATCTGCCCAACACCCGCCCCGATATCGGCATCAGCTCTCTGGACGGAGGACAGGAGTACTATGAGGCTTGCATCAGGTGGTATCTCTCCGTCAACATGACGGCTCAAGAAGTCCACGACATCGGCCTCCGGGAGGTGGACAGGATCGTCGACAACATGCAGAAGGTGAGGTATCCCTGGATCAAGTCCTGATTCACTTTGACAGAGGATGTTAATTAATTCGACACGTGTTGTGATCGTGATATAATAAACATTCAAGGAAACGTATCTTAATTAGTGGAAACAATCTGCTAATAATGTTAACAATGTACAACGTCCAAAAGTTGAAGAGTTCGAAGAGCAGCAGGTGCATAGCCCTAAAAAACATGGAGTGGGATGCCAAACAGCCAACATTCTCCATAAGTAATAGTCATTGAACATATATAATTGTTGGCTATCAAGGTACTAGTGTTAAATCAATAATAAAGATTTGTATAGACGTAAGGTTCCATATTCTAAACGGCCGTTTAAATTTATATCCCCTTACATAACATGGTCTGTTTTTCTTTATTTCAGATTATGACAAAGCAGCGTTTTAACGGGAGTGTTAGCGAATACTTCCAGATGCTGACGACAGACCCCAGGTTCACCTTCACGTCTGCAGTAGGTCGCAAATTGTAAAACATCTCACAACTACCACATGTAGTGGGTGGCTACGTGCTCGCGTGTTTCACCAAGGGATTGCATCACTTTAGGCATCAAACGTGAAATATATGTTATACTGTTCAAAGCGGCGTTAAACCAAATTCACTCACTCAGATTTGCGTGGCGTGCCAGATGATGGGGGACAATACCACATTTGCTATCATTACGGCGCTGGGTTTGTCAGCACTATACACGTGCCCGTGGGTTTCGACGACACAATTCGTGCTGTCCTTTCACAACAACCTGACACCCCGTTATAAAAACTGAGCGGCAAATGAAAGTATAGGTTGGCAATTTGTAATTTTCCTAAAAACAGCGATACCTAGTGGAAAGTGGGTATTGGGAATATGACTGCCTAGGAACAGGTATCAAAAAACACCTCACCCGAACCCGACAATGAAATGGTGAAACAGGTTTCCCGCCTATGGCATATACTGCACGTGCATGTTAGCTGTATAAATGCGTTCGTCTGCAGGGTATAACCACACGTGATGAAAGCACACAAAAGAAATGCCACGACTGTCACAGGAGCAGAGAGAGAGAGCCATCGGTATGGCCGAAATGGGGGCAACACAGGTCTAAATTGCCAGAAGGTTTGGTTGTACACCATTGACAGTAGCCAGGCTGATTCAACGGTACAGACAGACAGGGAGGACACAGGACAGGCCTAGAACCGGACGACCCCGAGTGACAACGACGATCAGATACGGCTCATTCACCTGCGAAACAGATTCGTAACGGCGACGGCGCCGGCAGCAACAGCGTTGGGACATCTCATTAGCCAACGTACAGTACTACGACGACTTCGTGCTGCTGGAATCCGAGCGTATCGTCCTTTCCGAGGAATGGTACTGACTGCTCAACATCGACGCCTGAGACTGCTATGGGCGAGGCAGGTTCGACGCTGGCAAGTGAGAAATTGGCGTCGAGTGCTGTTTACTGATGAAAGTCGGTTTAACTTGTTTCGAAATGACAGCAGAGAACGAGTTTATCGACGCAGAGGGGGACGTTTGGCTCCGGCGTGTATTCGAGGGGTCCATCCATTCGGCGGGGGAAGTGTCATGATGTGGGGCGGTATTTGTGGAGATCAGAAGACTGATTTGGTGATTATACAGGAAACCTGAACGCTGTGCAGTACAGAGACCAAGTGTTGCAGCCAGTTGTGCTTCCGTTCTTACAAAACCAACAGCAGGGGACATTGTTTCAACACGACAATGCCAGGCCCCATACTGCACGACTGACTCGGAACTTTCTAAACCAGCAGAACGTTGACGTTTTGCCTGGCCTGCCCACTCACCCGATATGAATCCTATTGAACATCTGTGGGACCATCTTGACAGACAGATTAGAGCACGCCATCAGCCTCCCGTCAACAGACAAGAATTGCAGCAGGCCCTGATAGACGAGTGGCAACGGATTCCAGTCCACGTCATCAGAAGACTGACGTCATCGATGAGGCGGCGTATCACAGCATGCATTGAGGGAGCTGTAGGTCATACACGCTATTGAAGGCAGCTGCGTCGACAATGAACTTGTAGTGTGTCTGACAATTGTTTGGTGACATTTCAGACAACTTTTGAAAATGAAATTTCTTAACCCACCATTGTTTACCTTGAGCTTACATTACCTGTGATTCCATAAATTTCATTCAAACTGTGGTTGATCAATCATTTCCTACCCCTCCATGATTATATTATAATTTGTTATTTTTTTATCGATCATGGAACTTGACCTATACTTTCTTTTGCCGCCCAGTTTATATTGTAACTTAAACATTGTTCGATGCACCGTTAAACCATATATGCTGTCCATGTATGCAATGCGGCTCCTATGTTGCTGATTTGTTCGTGTTTAGAGTGACATATTGGAGGAGTATCGCCATCAGATACATGACATCATACAGAAGACGCTCCCAAAGCTGTTCGTCAATATGCCAACACTACCTATCGTGTATGTATGTCCAGCCACTCATCTGCCCTGTTCGTCCTTTACATATGCCTCCAATACATATATGCTTATCGTCCCTTACATTAAAATACAAGCTTCTGTTTGTTTAAGGAGCGGGCAGTTACTTTCCATCTAGCCCGCTCATGTAGCCCGCACACATCGTAGGTAACTTGTTTATTTTCGCTTAAGTATCGTTCAGCTGCAAAGAACCGATGTTTTCCAAATGCATTGGGTAAAGCGAAGTAACTCGGTTCGTTTGCGTCGTCTGTTAGCTGTCTGAACGAATGTCCATGAGATAGATTCGTTGTCAACCGAGCCCTCGGGGCATATGGTGTGATGTACCCTGTCTGTGAGCCAAGGTACAATACACACTCAGGGTACATCACACCACATACCCATCGAGATCGGATGACAACTTCTAATGTCTACAGGGTACGTCCACTGTCCTTCGATGGTCCTGTAGGAATGTACTCTACCGGAGCAGCAGACGGATCCAGGCCAGGGATATTCTGGGCCAACGTCCTCAGGCCAAATCAAACGTAAGTGTAAGGACGTTTCAGGTGACGTAACTATGAGGATAGTTCGACGACGTAGTTAAGTCTGAAGTAAAAGACGCACTAGTGTTGCATGCAGTTTTGACGTAAAACAAATATGTATACTACACTCGGCTTGTGTTGTTTTAGTATGGTTACTGCGAACATGTTAGAGTTGTAAGTACAATTCCTGACGTACTTTTCTGCATACATTTCAGTGTGAACTTCACCACTATGGTGTTGACACTCCATGAAGCCAGCCCCGGACATCACCTGCAGGTTACTTGATACGTCTTCAAGAATAGTCAGGATGTCGTTTTGCTTTTGATATTGAACATTGGGTATTACTCGTATACTAGTATACATCTAGAACACCTGCTCAAGTTTAGCATTTCTCAATAAAACAATAATCATAAATATCACATTAGGATACTTCGTTTAAGAACAACATATTTATTTGGTATATTTGAGTAGCAGACTTCACATGCTGGACGATGCTGTTACAGCTCAGCTACTCTATCACTGCCGACACACCCAACTTCCGGCAGAAGATGGAGTTCAACGACCTCTTTCGCGCTCCCTTTGCCTTCCCTGGCTACACATCCTACGTAGAGGTGAGTCCTGATACTGTGTCCTAAGTCTAAAACAGAATACGATGCGTTCTGGTGATATGTCCTCTGTAGGTGTTAGTTCTGGTGATATGTCCTCTGTAGGTGTTAGTTTAGGTGAAATGCCCTCTGCAGGTGTTAGTTCTGGTGACATGTCTTCTGTTGACGTTGGTTCTGGTGATATGTCCTCTGTAGGTGTTAGTTCTAGTGATATATCCTCTGTAGGTGTTAGTTCTAGTGATATATCCTCTGTAGGTGTTAGTTTAGGTGATATGTCCTCTGTAGGTGTTAGTTCTGGTGATATGTCCTCTGAGGGTGTTAGTTCTAGTGATATATCCTCTGTAGGTGTTAGTTCTGGTGATACGTCCTCTGTAGGTGTTAGTTCTAGTGATACGTCCTCTGTAGGTGTTAGTTCTAGTGATATATCCTCTGTAGGTGTTAGTTCTAGTGATATATCCTCTGTAGGTGTTAGTTTAGGTGATATATCCTCTGTAGGTGTTAGTTCTGATGATATGTCCTCTGAGGGTGTTAGTTCTAGTGATATATCCTCTGTAGGTGTTAGTTCTGGTGATACGTCCTCTGTAGGTGTTAGTTCTAGTGATATATCCTCTGTAGGTGTTAGTTCTAGTGATACGTCCTCTGTAGGTGTTAGTTCTGGTGATATGTCCTCTGTTGATGTTAGTTCTGGTGATATGTCCTCTGTAGGTGTTAGTTTACGTGATATGTCCTCTGTTGACGTTACTTCAGGTGATATGTCCTCTGTAGGTGTTAGTTTACTTGATATGTCCTCTGTTGACGTGACTTCAGGTGACATGTCCTCTGTAGGTGTTAGTTCAGGTGATTTGTCCACTGTAGCTGTTAGTTTATGTGATATGTCCTCTGTTGACGTCAGTTCTGGTGATATGTCATCTGTAGGTGTTAGTTCTGGTGATATGTCCTCTGTAGGTGTTAGTTTATGTGATATGTCCTCTGTTGACGTTAGTTTAGTTGATATGTCCTCTATGGTTATTAGTTTAGGTGATATGTCCTCTGTAGGTGTTAGTTTATGTGATATGTCCTCTGTAGGTGTTACTTTCCGTGATATGTCCTCTGTAGGTGTTAGTTTATGTGATATGTCCTCTGTAGGTGTTACTTTAGGTGATATATCCTCTGTAGGTGTTAGTTTATGTGATATGTCCTCTGTGGGTGTTAGTTTAGTTGATATGACCTTTGCAGGTGTTAGTTCTGGTGACATGTCCTCTGTTGATGTTAGTTTAGGTGATATGTCCTCTGTGGATGTTAGTTTAGGTGATATGTCCTCTGTAGGTGTTAGTTCTGGTGATATGTCCACTGTTGACGTGATTTCAGGTGACATGTCCTCTGTAGGTGTTAGTTCAGGTGATTTGTCAACTGTAGCTGTTAGTTTATGTGATATGTCCTCTGTTGACGTTAGTTCTGGTGATATGTCCTCTGTAGACGTCAGTTCTGGTGATATGTCCTCTGTGAGTGTTAGTTCTGGTGATATGTCCTCTGTAGGTGTAAGTTTATGTGATATGTCCTCTGTAGGTGTTAGTTTATGTGATATGTCCTCTGTAGGTGTAACTTTAGGTGATATGTCCTCTGTGAGTGTTAGTTCTGGTGACATGTTCTCTGTTGATGTTAGTTTAGGTGATATGTCCTCTGTGGATGTTAGTTTAGGTGATATGTCCTCTGCAGGTGTAAGTTTAGGTGATATGTCCTCTGTTGGTGTTAGTTTAAGCGATATGTCCTCTGTTGACGTTAGGTTAGTTGATATGTCCTCTATGGTTTATTAGTTTAGGTGATATGTCCTCTGTAGGTGTTACTTTAGGTGATATATCCTCGGTAGGTGTTAGTTTATGTGATATGTCCTCTGTGGGTGTTAGTTTAGTTGATATGACCTTTGCAGGTGTTAGATCTGGTGACATGTCCTCTGTTGATGTTAGTTTAGGTGATATGTCCTCTGTGGATGTTAGTTCTGGTGATATGTCCTCTGTTGACGTGACTTCAGGTGACATGTCCTCTGTAGGTGTTAGTTCAGGTGATTTGTCAACTGTAGCTGTTAGTTTATGTGATATGTCCTCTGTTGACGTTAGTTCTGGTGATATGTCCTCTGTAGACGTCAGTTCTGGTGATATGTCCTCTGTGAGTGTTAGTTCTGGTGATATGTCCTCTGTAGGTGTTAGTTTATGTGATATGTCCTCTGTAGGTGTTAGTTTATGTGATATGTCCTCTGTTGGTGTTAGTTTAGGCGATATGTCCTCTGTTGACGTTAGGTTAGTTGATATGTCCTCTATGGTTATTAGTTTAGGTGATATGTCCTCTGTAGGTGTTAGTTTATGTGATATGTCCTCTGAAGGTGTTACTTTAGGTGATATATCCTCTGTAGGTGTTAGTTTATGTGATATGTCCTCTGTGGGTGTTAGTTTAGTTGATATGCCCTTTGCAGGTGTTAGTTCTGGTGACATGTTCTCTGTTGATGTTAGTTTAGGTGATATGTCCTCTGTGGATGTTAGTTTAGGTGATATGTCCTCTGCAGGTGTAAGTTTAGGTGATATGTCCTCTGTAGGCGTTAGTTCTGGTGATATGTCCTCTTTAGGTGTTAGTTCTGGTGACATTTATCTGTAGGTGTTAGTTCTGGTGATATGTCCTCTGAAGGTGTTAGTTTAGGTGATATGTCCTCTGTGGATGTTAGTTTAGGTGATATGTCCTCTGCAGGTGTTAGTTTAGGTGATATGTCCTCTGTAGGTGTTAGTTCTGGTGATATGTCCTCTGTTGACGTTACTTCAGGTGATATGTCCTCTGTAGGTGTTAGTTTACGTGATATGTCCTCTGTTGACGTGACTTCAGGTGATATGTCCTCTGTAGACGTTACACCGGGTGATATGTCCTCTTCAGGTGTTAGTTCTGGTGATATGTCCTCTGTAGGTGTTAGTTTAGGTGATATGTCCTCTGTAGGTGTTAGTTCTGGTGACATGTTCTCTGTTGATGTTAGTTTAGGTGATATGTCCTCTGTGGATGTTAGTTTAGGTGATATGTCCTCTGCAGGCGTAAGTTTAGGTGATATGTCCTCTGTTGGTGTTAGTTTAGGCGATATGTCCTCTGTTGACGTTAGGTTAGTTGATATGTCCTCTATGGTTATTAGTTTAGGTGATATGTCCTCTGTAGGTGTTAGTTTATGTGATATGTCCTCTGAAGGTGTTACTTTAGGTGATATATCCTCTGTAGGTGTTAGTTTATGTGATATGTCCTCTGTGGGTGTTAGTTTAGTTGATATGCCCTTTGCAGGTGTTAGTTCTGGTGACATGTTCTCTGTTGATGTTAGTTTAGGTGATATGTCCTCTGTGGATGTTAGTTTAGGTGATATGTCCTCTGCAGGTGTAAGTTTAGGTGATATGTCCTCTGTAGGCGTTAGTTCTGGTGATATGTCCTCTTTAGGTGTTAGTTCTGGTGACATTTATCTGTAGATGTTAGTTCTGGTGATATGTCCTCTGAAGGTGTTAGTTTAGGTGATATGTCCTCTGTGGATGTTAGTTTAGGTGATATGTCCTCTGCAGGTGTTAGTTTAGGTGATATGTCCTCTGTAGGTGTTAGTTCTGGTGATATGTCCTCTGTTGACGTTACTTCAGGTGATATGTCCTCTGTAGGTGTTAGTTTACGTGATATGTCCTCTGTTGACGTGACTTCAGGTGATATGTCCTCTGTAGACGTTACACCGGGTGATATGTCCTCTGCAGGTGTTAGTTCTGGTGATATGTCCTCTGTGAGTGTTAGTTCTGGTGATATGTCCTCTGTAGGTGTTAGTTTAGGTGATATGTCCTCTGTAGGTGTTAGTTTATGTGATATGTCCTCTGTAGGTGTAACTTTAGGTGATATGTCCTCTGTAGGTGTTAGTTTAGGCGATATGTCCTCTGTTGACGTTAGTTTAGTTGATATGTCCTCTATGGTTATTAGTTTAGGTGATATGTCCTCTGTAGGTGTTAGTTTATGTGATATGTCCTCTGTAGGTGTTAGTTTCCGTGATATGTCCTCTGTAGGTGTTAGTTTATGTGATATGTCCTCTGTAGGTGTTACTTTAGGTGATATATCCTCTGTAGGTGTTAGTTTATGTGATATGTCCTCTGTGGGTGTTAGTTTAGTTGATATGACCTTTGCAGGTGTTAGTTCTGGTGACATGTCCTCTGTTGATGTTAGTTTAGGTGATATGTCCTCTGTGGATGTTAGTTTAGGTGATATGTCCTCTGTAGGTGTTAGTTCTGGTGATATGTCCTCTGTTGACGTGACTTCAGGTGACATGTCCTCTGTAGGTGTTAGTTCAGGTGATTTGTCAACTGTAGCTGTTAGTTTATGTGATATGTCCTCTGTTGACGTTAGTTCTTGTGATATGTCCTCTGTAGACGTCAGTTCTGGTGATATGTCCTCTGTGAGTGTTAGTTCTGGTGATATGTCCTCTGTAGGTGTTAGTTTATGTGATATGTCCTCTGTAGGTGTTAGTTTATGTGATATGTCCTCTGTAGGTGTAACTTTAGGTTATATGTCCTCTGTGAGTGTTAGTTCTGGTGACATGTTCTCTGTTGATGTAAGTTTAGGTGATATGTCCTCTGTGGATGTTAGTTTAGGTGATATGTCCATTTCAGGTGTAAGTTTAGGTGATATGTCCTCTGTTGGTGTTAGTTTAAGCGATATGTCCTCTGTTGACGTTAGGTTAGTTGATATGTCCTCTATGGTTTATTAGTTTAGGTGATATGTCCTCTGTAGGTGTTACTTTAGGTGATATATCCTCGGTAGGTGTTAGTTTATGTGATATGTCCTCTGTGGGTGTTAGTTTAGTTGATATGCCCTTTGCAGGTGTTAGATCTGGTGACATGTCCTCTGTTGATGTTAGTTTAGGTGATATGTCCTCTGTGGATGTTAGTTTAGGTGATATGTCCTCTGTAGGTGTTAGTTCTGGTGATATGTCCTCTGTTGACGTGACTTCAGGTGACATGTCCTCTGTAGGTGTTAGTTCAGGTGATTTGTCAACTGTAGCTGTTAGTTTATGTGATATGTCCTCTGTTGACGTTAGTTCTGGTGATATGTCCTCTGTAGACGTCAGTTCTGGTGATATGTCCTCTGTGAGTGTTAGTTCTGGTGATATGTCCTCTGTAGGTGTTAGTTTATGTGATATGTCCTCTGTAGGTGTTAGTTTATGTGATATGTCCTCTGTAGGTGTAACTTTAGGTGATATGTCCTCTGTGAGTGTTAGTTCTGGTGACATGTTCTCTGTTGATGTTAGTTTAGGTGATATGTCCTCTGTGGATGTTAGTTTAGGTGATATGTCGTCTGCAGGCGTAAGTTTAGGTGATATGTCCTCTGTTGGTGTTAGTTTAGGCGATATGTCCTCTGTTGACGTTAGGTTAGTTGATATGTCCTCTATGGTTATTAGTTTAGGTGATATGTCCTCTGTAGGTGTTAGTTTATGTGATATGTCCTCTGAAGGTGTTACTTTAGGTGATATATCCTCGGAAGGTGTTAGTTTATGTGATATGTCCTCTGTGGGTGTTAGTTTAGTTGATATGCCCTTTGCAGGTGTTAGTTCTGGTGACATGTTCTCTGTTGATGTTAGTTTAGGTGATATGTCCTCTGTGGATGTTAGTTTAGGTGATATGTCCTCTGCAGGTGTAAGTTTAGGTGATATGTCCTCTGTAGGCGTTAGTTCTGGTGATATGTCCTCTTTAGGTGTTAGTTCTGGTGACATTTATCTGTAGGTGTTAGTTCTGGTGATATGTCCTCTGAAGGTGTTAGTTTAGGTGATATGTCCTCTGTGGATGTTAGTTTAGGTGATATGTCCTCTGCAGGTGTTAGTTTAGGTGATATGTCCTCTGTAGGTGTTAGTTCTGGTGATATGTCCTCTGTACGTGTTAGTTCTGGTGATTTGTCCTCTGTAGGTGTTAGCTAAGGTAATATGTCCTCTGTAGCTGTTAGTTTAGTTGATATGTCCTCTGTAGGTGTTAGTTTAGGTGAAATGCCCTCTGCAGGTGTTAGTTCTGGTGATATGTCCTCTGTAGGTGTTAGTTCTGGTGATATATCCTCTGTAGGTGTTAGTTCTGATGATATATCCTCTGTAGGTGTTAGTTCTGGTGACATGTCTTCTGTAGGTGTTAGTTCTGGTGATATGTCCTCTGCAGGTTTTAGTTCAGGTGATATGTCCTCTGCAGGTGTTAGTTCTGGTGATATGTTCTCTGTTGACGTTGGTTCTGGTGATATGTCCTCTGTAGGTGTTAGTTCTGGTGATATGTCCTCTGCAGGTTTTAGTTCAGGTGATATGTCCTCTGCAGGTGTTAGTTCTGGTGATATGTTCTCTGTTGACGTTAGTTCTGGTGATATGTCCTCTGTAGCTGTTACTTCAGGTGATATGTCCTCTGCAGGTGTTAGTTCTGGTGATATGTCCTCTGTAGCTGTTACTTCAGGTGATATGTCCTCTGCAGGTGTTAGTTCTGGTGATATGTTCTCTGTTGACGTTAGTTCAGGTGATATGTCCTCTGTAGCTGTTACTTCAGGTGATATGTCATCTGTGGGTGTTAGTTCAGGTTATATGTCCTCTGTAGGCGTTAGCTCAGTTGATGAGTCCTCTGTTGACGTTAGTTCAGGTGATATGTCCTCTGTAGGCGTTAGCTCAGTTGATGAGTCCTCTGTTGACGTTAGTTCAGGTGATATGTCCTCTATAGGCGTTAGCTCAGGTGATGAGTCCTCTGTGGGTGTTAGTTCTGGTGATATTCTTGAAATAAATAATAGTGCTTCAGACTGATAAAAATAAAAATTGCTTGCCACAAAATTAGCATTGTTGCAATGTGGTGTTCTCTTTCTCTAAATAACAAAAATTATCTGGTATGTAGCCGTAGCTGAAACAAATATCTCACCTCGATACAAAATCAAAATCCCAGGCCCCAACGCGACAGGTAGGTAGTGTCATTGGGCCAGTGGCCTTCACACGATATCTTAACAAAACTGTTTTGAAAGTTTTGGCTGGATACTATAAATTCATTTATTTGAAGCATTATTTGAATGATTTTCTTTTCTAACAAAACCGGTTTTATTCTCGGGAACGCTTCACGATTGACACAATAGTGGGACGTTGTCTGCCGAGTGAGAGGTAAGGGAGCTCAAAACAGCATATGACAGGAACACTGTAAAGGGTATCAGTGTGAGCAGCTGTGCTCCTCTTGGGTCATGCAGTTGAGGTGTGATCTGTATTACCACGCGTCGTCTACGACTTTATTTGACACGCTTTATTATACAGTACCACCACGAGTAATTTGATCTGGTGATTGTTGGTTTGTGTCGTAGCATATGGGTGGTTGTTTATCAGCGGTTGTGTTATTTCCTGGCAAATTATTTATGAGTAACTGCATGGGGTGGCATTGATCAGTTAGGGTGTAAGTACACGTGGTGTCATTGATGAGTTGTAGTGTAAGTACACGTGGTGTCATTGATGAGTTGTAGTGTAAGTACACGGGGCGTTATTGATGAGTTGTAGTGTAAGTACACGTGGTGTTATTGATGGGTTGCAGTGTAAGTACACGGGATGTTATTGATGAGTTGTAGTGTAAGTAGACGGGGTGTCATTGATCAGTTGAATGTTAGTACACGGAGGTGTTATTGATGAGTTGTAGTGAAAGTACACGGGGTGTTTTTGATCAATTGTAGGGTAAGTACACGGGGTGTTATTGATGAGTTGTAGTGTAAGTACACGTGGTGTTATTGATGGGTTGCAGTGTAAGTACACGGGATGTTGTTGATGAGTTGTAGTGTAAGTACACGTGGTGTCATTGATGAGTTGTAGTGTAAGTACACGGGATGTTATTGATGAGTTGTAGTGTAAGTACACGGGGTGTTGTTGATGAGTTGTAGTGTAAGTACACGTGGTGTCATTGATGAGTTGTAGTGTAAGTACACGTGGTGTCATTGATGAGTTGTAGTGTAAGTACACGTGGTGTCATTGATGAGGTGAGGTGAAATTGGGTTTAACGTCGCGTCCAAGATTATTGCACTTATATAGCGACTGTCATTGATGAGTTGTAGTGTAAGTACACGGGGTGTTATTGATGATTTGTAGTGTAAGTACACGGGGTGTTATTGATGAAGTGTAATGTAAGTACACGGGATGTTATTGATCAATTGTAGGGTAACTGCGGAAACTCCTTCAGGTCTTAGTTCTCGCTACCGCTAAAAAGATATCTGTGGACATCCCATTACGGGTCACTTCAGAACCACCTTTCATCCGACCAATCAGAGTGTCACTTATCAGGTCATGAAAGTGACAGTCGGAATGTGATTTCTGATCATGCAACCTCGAAAGATTTAACACGGGGTATGCCGAACGACAGTTACGGGCTTAATGACTGAAACCATGCAATCTAGGCCATCTATTTGCCATTCCAGAATATTCGTTTGTTCTGTTTTCAAATTTGTAATCGATAATTTGTCATAATATGTTTAAAAGCTTTGTCGCCGGTTAGAAACTGGTGCCGTAAAGCACGAGAAAGCTGCCTTCTGATTGGCTTCTGTCGACTTCCTGTCAGTCATTCCATTGGTCGGTCAAAATTCGCGAAAGGACGGTCTGATGTGACCCGTAATGGGACGTCCTCAGATCTTTGTTTAGCTGTGTAACTGCGTGGGGTGTTATTGATGATTTCCACATGAGGCATCGCCACATTCGCGTTGTTCCGCTTTCATATATTGTCTTACACTTGAGGTAATGTAAGTAACGTCAATACCGAGATGCCACCGTTCTTCCACTCGTGTACTGGTATATTTGTTGTACTACAAATAATTATTTCAAGAGAAATTAAGCTAGGGGTTCAGTAATATGCTTAACCTATGATTGAAAGTGATGACAAAGAGTCGTTGTGTGTGAATCTGCTTGCTGTGTCCTCTAGGGGTGGGGGCTGTACGCGGAGTCGCTGGGCGAGGAGCTGGGGGTGTACCGAGACGACTACGAACTGTGAGTACACACTGTGGCCGTGTATCAGTGTACCACGACGTAACTAGCAGAACAAAAACAAAAACAAAACGTTAATCTGATGGCAGAACTAAACTTTTGAACAGCAGAATATTCAGCAAAAACCAACTAACATATACACAGTAGAAAAAGTGTTGCACCCCCACATTAATACGTTTGATACATCACAACATTTAAAACGCCCGACTCTGGTTTTAATGGTAGGTATTCCTTGGGGATCTGATGTTAAATGTGTAATGTTTTCGGAGGGAAGATGATCACCAAAACGTAGCAATCAGCACGTGAATTGCATGGTGCATGACATTTGCAGATTGCAGTATCTTCTTAAGCTCAACATCGCCTATAAAAGATGTTCTCTGACAGCCCAGTGTATTGTAACCCACAATGCCGGGTAGACGATTGTCAGAAGCAGTCAAGTGGCAGATTATTGGCCTTCATGGAGCAGGTCTTTCGTTCAAGGAGATTGGCAGAAGAACCGGACAACAATAAGCCGTTTGGTCAGAAAACACGCACAAACTAATGATGTAAGGAATCGCAGACCCTCTGGCAGACCACGTAAGACCACAGTTAGAGATGACAGAGCGTTGTTGAGGGTGGTAAGGTGTCATCCATTTGCTACAAGCACAACCTTGAAACGTCTTTGGCTTCCTCGTCAACAGTTCAGTACCCAGACCGTGAGAAATCGTCTTAAAGCTGCAGGGTTGAAGTCCAGAAGGGTTATCAAGCGACCTAAACTCACAGACAACCACAAACGACTACGTCTAGCCTGGTGTAGACTGAGACAGAACTGGAACTTGAAGTCCTGGAGAAGAGTCCACTGGTCGGACGAAAGCAGGTTCCTTCTGCATGTTGTGGATGGCAGAGTGAGAGTATGGAGGCGTCCTGGAACAGCTTATACTGCAAGAAACATCATGCCAACTGTACCATATGGAGGTGGATCTGTTATGGTCTGGGGATGCTTCTCATTTGATTGTAAGCTTGATTTAGTGACCATACGAGGCAACTTGACAGGGGAGCGCTACATCCAAGAGGTGCTGAATCCAGTTGTGGTGCCCCATTTTGACAATCATCCACTGGCCACCAGACCGATATTCATGGATGACAATGCCAGACCACATCGTTCACGAGCTTTGACCCAGGTTATCCACAACAATGCTCTGACGCAGATTCCATGGCCAGCAATGAGTCCAGATCTGAATCCTCTGGAACATGTATGGGACATTTTGGGACGCCTGATTTATCGTCGGGACCCTCCTCCACAGAACTTGCGTGAATTGGAAGCAGCATTACACGAGGAGTGGCAGCAGCTGCCCATGGAGCGATTCCAACGTCTGGTGAGGAGTATGAGACGAAGACTTCAAGCTGTGATCCAAGTGCTTGGTGGAAGTTCTCGATATTGACTTACTGTGTTCGTCAAATCTCCATATGACATTCTTACCCTATTGGATGAATTTGGTCACTAAAAATTATTGAGATGTCACCATACTTAATGCGTCTTCGTTGTTCGTTCATTTTTCGTAAAAGTTCATCATGAGATTATTACATGCCATAAGGTCATGGAATACCCCATTTAAGTTCATTGTATAGACAATACACTGGTTTGTTGGTATACACGAAATCCTGGTTATAATATTAATTCGGTTATCTTTACACCCTTTCAAAACACCCCTCCATGAAAAAGTATAGGGGGTGCAACACTTTTTTTACTGTGTATATAATAAATATTCAAGCAAAATCAGGTCTTGTACAATACCTGTTTTATGCTACTAGTTAAAATGAAGTGCAGTAGTTATAGTGATGTCAACTGTTCAAAGAGCTATTAGAATACACCCAGCTGGTGCACACGTACTGAACGCAACAAGTGTTTTATTTCAGAATGGGCCGCTACAGTTTCGAGATTCTACGAGCATGTCGACTGGTCGTAGACACGGGGATGCACGCAATGAAGTAGGGAGCGTAACTGCCACTCGTTAACACACACAGTAGTCGCAGCGCCATGTGGTTCTTATGGAGATGGGGCTCTGATTCTGTAAGCTGGTAAAACATGCATCTCCACCATGGGGTCTCGACAGCACGCCTCTTACCGTTGTTAGAATGTACAAAGTTGTTAGTGGCACGTGCAAGGCAGTGGCTGTGTTGTTCTTGACATTTGAGACGACTGCAGTTCCAGCTTACCGTCTGTAACCGTTACCAATGTCACAATGTGTAACTAATTGACTGGTTATCAACATGATTTAAAATGTTAGTTGTATAACAAGTAAGTGAGTGAGTTGGGTTTAACGCCGCTTTTAATATCATTCCAGCGGCGCCTAAGACGACTGGGCCACCCGTGCCCCAAGGTGTTTTAGAATGAGCGTCTACGTGCGTCCTAATGTGTTTATAGCTATTGTATTTCTATTGTATTAGTGTCATGTTTCTGCAGCTGGTCCCGCGACGAGGCCATCCAGTATCTCCAGAACTACACAGCAGAATCACTGAACAACATCATTGTCGAGATTGACCGCTACATCACGTGGCCTGGTCAAGCTCTGGCCTACAAGATCGGGGAGATTAAGATTCGGGAGCTGCGTCAAAGAGCAGAGAAGCGACTAGGTGAGACTCCCTAGATAACGCCTTCAGCATCCTTTCGTGTAGGGTCTGAGGGATGCTAGGAGGTAACCTATATGTATTCTGTATAACTTTAGAACCCGACAAAGTGGGTATTTACATCTTTCGAAATATAGACATGGGGTTCTGCTCCAGAAGGCATCGTAGGGACAGATGGACAGTTTTAGTTTCAGTATTTGAACCGCAAGCCTATATTACAATCACGTATGAATGTACAGGCTGTGTGACATGCAAGACCGTATAAACGGTTCACACAGTGACACATTCCTTCCTTGTTCTGTTTACATGTGTCAGATATCTACCAAAACATTATTGTCTTGCGATATGTGCACTGTAATAATAGCACAAAATTAGCAACAGATGGATTTTCACAATATGTGAAGCGAAACACTCCGCCCTTGTATTTCCATAGTGTTTCCACATCACCGATACATGATACTCATCTTCCACTGTGGAACCGTTATTAACATGACAATATAAACAGTCCAGTCTATCACAATATGCAGTGTCGGTAGGACTCTCCCCGCTTCTACAACCAATCTGAAGTTTTTACATCTAAATTTAGCAATTTATATTACAGTGATATGTCAGAAGAACATATATACGTTTCAACACTTAGTAATGGTTGAACTTGACCATGCCTATCATCGCCACACATCATCGTGTGCATTCACTGACATTATCTACAATGGCCTACGGAAACAATCTCAGAAAGCTCTCAGAAAGCTCCAATATGTTCAGAATGCTGCAGCCGGACTTATTGCTCGATGGAAACAAAGGATCCCGCATCACTCCAGTCTTTATGTCCCTGCAGTGGCTTCCAACTGAGGCATGAATCCATTTCAATGTGCTGTGTAAGGCATATCGAACGGACGGGACTCAACCCATAAAAGTACTAGAATCTGTACTTTACTAAGAAAGTGTTATCCCAAATATAACATTTGTTAGATTTTGGATGTATCCAAAAGGACACTATTATTATTAATGCTATTTTGAAGACAAATTAACTATACAGTGCCAAATTGACTCAAGCCGTCATAAAATCTCTGTAAAACGCTAGAAATACTTTCGTACTACCGATGTCCTGACAACCCCACAACACTCCCAAACATTATTGTAATGAAGTATATACTAAGATGTCCCTGTTCTATTAGCTTCGTGGAGCTTTCAAGGCATGATTTAAGATTGATTGGGTAATCAGTTAATGTCAAGATGAAACATTATACACCAGTGTTCAACTGGTTATAACATTTGTTTTAACTTGTATTGTAGGAGAACTCTTCCACATTCACCAAGTGTCACCACAACTTCAAACATCTGTTAAAACCCCGTAGTTCTGCAGCAGAACTTGGTATTGCAGCAGTCGTGGTGATAAATATGTTATTTATATACAAGACAAGGCCATGTGTTTTCTGTAGCGGTATAATAGCAGTTAGGCTTTACCGCTTGTGCCGATAAGTCAATTGACCACGCCAAGGCTGGACGGCATACAACCCCCCAACATATCAGTGATATGCCCCCTAAAACACTACTCCTCGTTGTGACGTGAGCCGACTACGTCTGTGTTTTGGGTTTTCTTTAAGTGTACTACACAAACTGTATGTTCACTTTCCTCTGTCTGTAGCTGTATATCAGTATCAGATACCCCTGTCCCATCCTCTGTAGTTGTATAACAGTATCAGATACCCCTGTCCCATCGTCTGTAGTTGTATAACAGTATCAGATACCCCTGTCCCGTCCTCTGTAGTTGTATAACAGTATCAGATACCCCTGACACATCCTCTGTAGTTGTATAACAGTATCGGATACCCCTGTCACATCCTCTGTAGTTGTATAACAGTATCAGATACCCCTGTTACATCCTCTGTAGTTGTATAACAGTATCAGATACCCCTGTCACATCATCAGTAGTTGTATAACAGTATCAGGTACCCGTCACATCCTCTGTAGTTGTATAACAGTACCATATACCCCTGTCACATCCTCTGTAGTTGTATAACAGTATCAGCTACCCCTGTCACATCCTCTGTAGCTTTATAACAGTATCACATATCCCTGTCACATCCTCTGTAGTTGTATAACAGTATCATATACCCCTGTCACATCCTCTGTAGTTGTATAACAGTATCACATATCCCTGTCACATCCTCTGTAGTTCTATAACAGTATCAGCTACCCCTGTCACATCCTCAGTAGCTTTATAACAGTATCACATATCCCTGTCACATCCTCTGTAGTTGTATAACAGTATCAGATACCCCTGTCCCATCCTCTGTAGCTGTAAAACAGTATCAGATACCCCTGTCACATCCTCTGCAGCTTTATAACAGTATCACATATCCCTGTCACATCCTCTGTAGTTGTATAACAGTATCTGATACCCCTGTCACATCCTCTGTAGTTGTAAAACAGTATCAGATACCCCTGTCACATCCTCTGTAGCTTTATAACAGTATCACATATCCCTGTCACATCCTCTGTAGTTATATAACAGTATCAGATACCCCTGTCACATCTTCTGTAGTTGTATACCAGTATCAGCTACCCCTGTCACATCCTCTGTAGCTTTATAACAGTATCACATATCCCTGTCACATCCTCTGTAGTTCTATAACAGTATCAGATACCCATGTCACATCCTCTGTAGTTGTATAACAGTATTAGATACCTGTCACATCCTCTGTAGTTGTATAACAGTATCAGATACCCCTGTCACATCCTCTGTAGTTGTATAACAGTATCAGATACCCATGTCACATCCTCTGTAGTTGTATAACAGTATTAGATACCTGTCACATCCTCTGTAGTTGTATAACAGTATCAGATACCTGTCACATCCTCTGTAGTTGTATAACAGTATCAGATACCCCTGTCACATCATCAGTAGTTGTATAACAGAATCAGATCCCCATGTCTCATCCTCTGTAGCCGTATGATAGTATCAGATACCCCTGTCACATCCTCTGTAGTTATATAACAGTATCAGATACCCCTGTCACATCCTCTGTAGATGTAAAACAGTATCAGATACCCCTGTCACATCATCTGCAGCTTTATAACAGTATCACATATCCCTGTCACATCCTCTGTAGTTGTATAACAGTATCAGATACCCCTGTCACATCCTCTGTAGTTGTATAACAGTATCACATACCCCTGTCACATCCTCTGTAGTTGTATAACAGTATCAGATACCCCTGTCACATCCTCTGTAGTTGTAAAACAGTATCAGATACCCCTGTCACATCCTCTGTAGTTGTATAACAGTATCAGATACCTGTCCCATCCTCTGTAGTTGTATAACAGTATCAGATCCCCATGTCACATCCTCTGTAGCCGTATGACAGTATCAGATACCTGTCACATCCTCTGTAGTTCTATAACAGTATCAGATACCCCTGTCACATCCTCTGTAGTTGTATAACAGTATCAGATCCCCATGTCACATCCTCTGTAGCCGTATGACAGTATCAGATACCTGTCACATCCTCTGTAGTTGTATAACAGTATCAGCTACCCCTGTCACATCCTCTGTAGTTGTAAAACAGTATTAGATACCTGTCACATCCTCTGTAGCCGTATGACAGTATCAGATACCCATGTCACATCCTCTGTAGTTGTATAACAGTATCAGATACCCCTGTCACATCCTCTGTAGTTGTATAACAGTATCAGATCCCCATGTCACATCCTCTGTAGCCGTATGACAGTATCAGATACCTGTCACATCCTCTGTAGTTCTATAACAGTATCAGATACCCCTGTCCCATCCTCTGTAGTTGTAAAACAGTATCAGATACCTGTCACATCCTCTGTAGTTGTATAACAGTATCAGATACCCCTGTCACATCCTCTGTAGTTATATAACAGTATTAGATACCCATGTCACATCCTCTGTAGTTGTATAACAGTATTAGATACCCCTGTCACATCCTCTGTAGTTGTATAACAGTATTAGATACCTGTCACATCCTCTGTAGTTGTATAACAGTATTAGATACCCATTTCACATCCTCTGTAGTTGTATAACAGTACTTTCAATCCTTGAGCTGTATTTACGGACAATGATAAACTAAATATAATGTTGATGTTTGATAATCTCTTATTTTAGTGGCATAATGCGATCTGTTGTTACAGTCTTAACAGAACATGACATTTTATGTATGAAATATCAATCTATTTAAGGCGACAAGTTTGACATCCGTGAGTTTCACTCTGTGGTGCTCGAGAGCGGGACTGTGCCACTGAACGTGTTGGAGGATCTCGTCACTGATTGGCTGGACACGTACCCCGTGACCACTCCCAGACCGGAAACCCCGACATGTGGAGGGACACATGTTATGGTGCGACATTTGTGGATCGTTCTGGCTACATCGGCGGCAGTTACAGTGTCTGGACTTTACTAGCGGTCTTCATGTGTACAGTGTATGACTTGGGTGTGTAGGTGAGCTAGATGGCGTATGGAACGTGTAACGTGCTGAATATGTGTATTGTTATTTCTTAAGAATCTATAAACATTCATTTAAGTCGGACATGAAATATTCACAGATCAACTGTCGGAGAATAAAGAATTTTGAAGAGATCATCGCATCTGTTACTTTTGATGTGAACACAAAGGTTCGTCTACGAATTACTGCAGGGTAACACGACGGAACACTTGGCAGGGATTCTGCAGAGGGGAGGGTGGGGTGGGTTGGGGTGGGGGGGGGGGGGGGGGGGTGGGGGGGGGGGGCGAGGTGCTATTGTTGGGGGACATTATCCTCCCTTACACTTTAACAAGTCGGTGTGCACCTTGATTCATCGTCTCTCCCGCACAATCACCACGTATAAAACGCTCCTACTAAAACCTTCCTTACCAGATATATACAGAAAATTGCCAATTAAATACTCGGTTGTCTAAATAATTTATGAATACCCCACTCAGACACAGTATACTGACTCCGAGCCGACCAGTCCTTGTTTTAGCCCATTAAAGCCGAGCGCCAGGCTTGGTAACAACAAGTACCATCTTTTAACGTCTTTTGGGATGACCCGGCCGGGCGCTGAATAATATATAGGATATAGGAATAGGATATATGATGTAACATTAAAAAGTCGCATGGAATGTATCGTTATTATTCTGTGATGTCGTGAATGGCGTAATGCTACATGGTTCTCAATACTGCATCCTGTGCTGTCTTTTTGATCAGTTCGAAGAATATCAGAAAGTTATTTCTTTCTATCTTTCAAGCTGTGTGTGAATGTTTAACCTTGAAACAGCTTCTCGCTACAACCAGGACATGGTAACGCCACGTCTAAATATACATAGAGACATCTACATCACCCATTACCTGCGGCAGTTTCATCACTGACTCCCTCCTGTACGTGACCTAGCCATGACCTTGTCGTGGCCTAACAGGTGTGATCGCACATATAACCCTCTGACTTCATCATGTTACATCCCGGACTCCATAGCCATGTCATAACACCCAATGAGACACAGGTCCAGGTGAAACGTAGTTGCCGGATGTAGTCTCACAGTGCTGGGGAAGCCACGACTCAAGCATGTGAAATCAATCCGACTTTGATCCCACTTCTAATAACAATAGATCATAAAAGGCGGTGCAAAAAGGCGGCGCAAGCTATTGGGCGACGACAGTGACACACATTATCCCCCGGACGTAGAGGCAGCAGGTAGGGTTACATTCACTTGCAGGAGAATACTTGCAGATTGAACAATGTAGGTATGCCAAGAGCACGATACGGACAATACATAGTCAAAACTGTTGATTCTTGTTTTGATTATGTTAAGTTAACTTGATCTCAAAATCACTCTTTGAAAATGGTCTTGCCTTATTGATGTTTTAATCTATTACTGGTCACTATTGCTGGGTTCGTATTTTGTTATGCTGGGTTCGTTTCACGAAGATTATATAGCCACAACCTGATTGCATCTGTCCCACCCGACACTGCGGGCGTACGTTTCCTGTTCTCGTGGATCTGGGTGCCGCACTACAATGAAATGGTTGATGCACGTATTGGTCTTGTCAATATGTGTAAGATATGCGCTGAATTGTTACAAACTTTTCATGTTGACTTTCTCTTTGCTAAAGATGAACTCTCCACGATAGCAAAGAAAGTAGGCCATATGCTACAGAACTAATATTTTCATCGTAACTGTAATGTTCACACTTATATTCATTGATCGGAGCAATTGAATAGAGCAGTTATTTTCCTTGCCTTTTCTTAATGTATTCAATAAAATGTATAGTAAAATGAAACATATTGAGTTATTGTCAATTATGAAGCATTTTATGAAATGATACATGTGATCAGTATATTTGTGTTCCAGTTCTCTTGAACCGCTCGTGGGAATGTGTAACTCTGTGTAACTCTGTGTAACTCTGTGTGTGTCCATGTGTGTGTGTGTGTGTTGGTCCGTCTATATAGCTATGTCTATCTGAATCTGGTGTTATTGGCTAAACTGGCGTGTACGTCAACTTGTGTAACATGGTTGGGAAGTCAGGATTGACAGGGAATAGATGATATTCATACTGCCAATCAAATTGTCATGTTTAGTATATGAAATAATGTACAGCAATGTGGCAATACAATATGAATAACCTGTTCACAACATACCTGTTTAATGAATAAAAACTAGATTTCAGTGGAAAGAATGTGGGGTAACATAATCTCAGTCTGAAGTCTATGGAAGAGCAATGACGCCCTCCATCGCTTGATGACTTCATTACATCTCAATGTGGCGGCATTTCTTGACTGCATTACATCCCAATGTGGCGGCATTTCTTGACAACATTACATCCCAATGTGACGGCATTTCTTGACTTTACATCCCAATGTGACGGCATTTCTTGACTGTATTACATCCCAATGTGGCGGCATTTCTTGACAACATTACATCCCAATGTGACGGCATTTCTTGACTTTACATCCCAATGTGACGGCATTTCTTGACGGCGTTACATCCAAATGTGGCGGCATTTCTTGACGACATTACATCCCAATGTGACGGCATTACTTGACGACATTACATCCCAATATGACGGCATTTTTTGACGGCATTATATCCCAATGTGACGGTATTTCTTGACGACATTACATCCCAATGTGACGGCATTTCTTGACGATATTACATCCCAATGTGACGGCATTTCCTGACGACATTAAATTCTAATGTGACGACATTTCTTGACGACATTACATCCTAATGTGGCGGCATTTCTTGACGACATTACATCCTAATATGACGGCATTTCTTGACAACATTACATCACAATGTGACGGCATTTCCTGACGACATTAAATCCTAATGTGACGGCATTTCTTGACGACATTACATCCCAATGTGGCGGCATTTCTTGACGGTATTACATCACAATGTGACGGCATTTCTTGATGACATTACATCCTAATATGACGGCATTTCTTGACGGCATTACATCCCAATGTGACGTCATTTCTTGACGACATTACATCCCAATGTGAACTCATTTCTTGACGACATTACATCCCAATGTGACGGCATTTCTTGACGGCATTACATCCCAATATGACGGCATTTCTTGACAACATTACATCCCAATGTGACGGCTTTTCTTGACGACATTACATTCCAATGAGACGGCATTTCTTGACGACATTACATCCCAATGTGACGGCATTTCTTGACGACATTACATCCCAATGTGGCGGCATTTCTTGACGGCATTACATACAAATGTGACGGCATTTCTTGACCACATTACATCCTAATGTGACGGCATTTCTTGACGGCATTACATACAAATGTGACGGCATTTCCTGACGACATTAAATTCTAATGTGACGACATTTCTTGACGACATTACATCCTAATGTAGCGGCATTTCTTGACGACATTACATCCTAATATGACGGCATTTCTTGACAACATTACATCACAATGTGACGGCATTTCCTGACGACATTAAATCCTAATGTGACGGCATTTCTTGACGACATTACATCCCAATGTGGCGGCATTTCTTGACGGTATTACATCTCAATGTGACGGCATTTCTTGATGACATTACATCCTAATATGACGGCATTTCTTGACGGCATTACATCCCAATGTGACGTCATTTCTTGACGACATTACATCCCAATGTGAAGTCATTTCTTGACGACATTACATCCCAATATGACGGCATTTCTTGACGGCATTACATCCCAATATGACGGCATTTCTTGACAACATTACATCCCAATGTGACGGCTTTTCTTGACGACATTACATTCCAATATGACGGCATTTCTTGACGACATTACATCCCAATGTGACGGCATTTCTTGACGACATTACATCCCAATGTGGCGGCATTTCTTGACGGCATTACATACAAATGTGACGGCATTTCTTGACCACATTACATCCTAATGTGACGGCATTTCTTGACTACATTACATCCCAATGTGACGGCATTTCTTGACGACATTACATCCCAATGTGACGACATTTCTTGGCGACATTACACCCCAATGTGACGGCATTTCTTGACTCATTACATCCCAATGTGGCGGCATTTCTTGACGACATAACATCCCAATATGGCGGCATTTCCTGACGACATTACATCCCAATGTGACGGCATTTCTTGACGGCATTAACCCGAATGTGACGGAATTTCTTGACGTTATTAACCGAATGTGACGGCATTTCTTGACGACATTACATCCCAATGTGTCGGCATTTCTTGACGACATTACATCCCAATGTGACGGCATTTCTTGACGACATTACATCACAATGTGACGGCGTTTCCTGACAACATTACATTACAATGTGACGGCATTTCCTGACGACATTAAATCCCAATGTGACGGTATTTCTTGACGACATTACATCCCAATGTGACGGCATTTCTTGACTTTACATCCCAATGTGACGGCATTTCTTGACGGCGTTACATCCCAATGTGGCGGCATTTCTTGACGACATTACATCCCAATATGGCGGCATTTCTTGACGACATTACATCCCAATATGGCGGCATTTCTTGACGACATTACATCAGAGTGTGGCGGCATTTCTTGACGACATTACATCCCAATGTGGCGGCATTTCTTGACGACATTGCATCCCAATGTGGCGGCATTTCTTGACGACATTGAATACCAATGTGGCGGTATTTCTTGACGACATTACATCCTAATATGGCGGTATTTCTTGACCGCATTACATCCCAATGTGGCGGTATTTCCTGACGACATTACATCCTAATGTGGCGGCATTTCTTGACGACATTACATTCCAATGTGACGTTTTTTCTTGACGACATTACACCCAATGAGACGGCATTTCTTGACGACATTTCATCCCAATGTGGCGGCATTTCTTGACGACATTACATCCCAGTGTGACGGCATTTCTTGACGACATTACATTCCAATGTAACGTTATTTCTTGACGACATTACATCCCAATGTGACGGCATTTCTTGACGACATTACATTCCAATGTAACGTTATTTCTTGACGACATTACATCCCAATATGACGGCATTTCTTGACGACATTACATCCCAATATGACGGCATTTCTTGACGACATTACATTCCAATGTAACGTTATTTCTTGACGACATTACATCCCAATGTGACGGCATTGCTTGATGCCTTTATTACATCCCAATGTAACGACATTGGTTGCCTGGTATCTGATATTACGGGGGAAAGATGCTAGGTCCCAGCCATCGTGGGCAGCAGTGTGTAAGCTGGCCGGGAATGCTATGAAGACGACCCCTAGTCCCGGAAGGCCTGTCACGTCAGCAACACCAGAGAGCATGATGGGCCAGCGAATGCCTGATCGTCATAGTGCTTGTTCAGTAAGCATTGCCTACGAGAGATTACATTCAACTTTCAAAGACACTTTGGAAATGAAGAAGGTGTCAGCTCGTTGGGATCCAAAGATTCTGACATCTAATCAAAAACACACCATGAAAAACAAGACTCGTTCTGGTTGCAGCTGATCCAGAAACACGCCTCGCTCTGTTTAAAACTGATCAAGAAAGGCTCTTGCAACGATTGTTTTAGTATGGATGAAACCTAGGTTCTTAGCTTCTAGCCTGAGTCCAAACAACAATCAAAACAGTGGAAGCTACAGACGTCACCATCACAAAAGAAGACAACGACTGCCCCATCAGTTTGAAAGGTTATCGCCTCCGTGGTTTGGAATGACGAGGTTGTCATCATGGTGGACTATGCTGCAAAAGGCCAGGCAATAAACGGAGTACATTATGCTGCATATTTTAGGCAATTATGGGACGAAATTAAGAGTAAGAGACGTGGGAAGATGAGAAAAGGTGTTGTCTTCCATCAGGACAATGCGACAATGCACAAATCAGTCATTTCTATTAACCACAATCCACGTGTGTGGCTTTGAACTCCTTCAGCGCCAACCGTATTCTTCGATCTGGCTCCGTCAGACTTTGATCTGTTTCCAAACATGAAGAAAGCTCTAGTCGGAACCCATTTCGACTAAAACAATGACGTCATGATGTTATATCAGCTATGGAACCTTGGACATCCAAAAGAAGGATTTCTCCTAAACAGGAATAAAATCCCTTAAATGTGTGATGCGACTCAGAACATATCAGACACCCTTCCTACAACATGAAACATATTCTCATTTAGGTCCTCGTCACATTCGGATGGCGTGGTCCCGACTGCAACAATACAACAACTTGTGACACTAAAATAAGCGGCAGGCCTCTGGGAATCTGCGCATTAACTTGCCTATCATAGTCGTGAATATATGAGCTTTCTAAAAGTAGGATTTATGTTCAAAAGCACTTAGAGTGCGTCCTCTGTTAACATTTTGCACATGTTCGTCACGTGTTGGGAGCCTCGTTTACAACCCCCACATTGTCCACTCTGTAATGATATATGGTAGAACAATGTCTACAGAGTCACGTGTTGGGAGCCTCGTTTACAACCCCCACATTGTCCACTCTGTAATGATATATGGTAGAACAATGTCTACAGAGTCACGTGTGGGGAGCCTCGTTTACAACCACCACATTGTCCACTCTATAATGATATACGGTAGAACAATGTTTACAGAGTCGGGCCTTACCTTAAGCTTAAAGTTTTATGAATGAGGTCAAACTGATTTTTATGATCATCCGAGTGGACCGTCTGACACATGGATTTCCCTTCTTTGAAACACTAATTCTGTATTAACAGCCTGACTTATTGGTGGTCCCGATGTTTCATTGGACGAAATGTGATTGTCATAATGTAGAAACGGTCACACTAATACACACACAAAAAACCTCATTGATAAGGGAAGGGAAAAAACCCATTGTTGATTCCTTTTATAGTGACCGACACAGCATAGCCTGGGAGAAGTACAACAGTGTATCATATAACATACCCCAGAGAAATAAAACTGTATGCAATAAAATATTGCCTGGGAAATTAAAACAAGATAGCGGATGACATAGTTTGACAGAAGAACAACGGTATACAACATTACGTAGCTTGAGGATCGTTGTCAGTCAGATATACCCATGTATCAACATCGTTGTCAGTCAGATATACCCATGTATCAACATCGTTGTCAGTCAGATATACCCATGTATCAACATCGTTGTCAGTCAGATATACCCATGTATCAACATCGTTGTCAGTCAGATATACCAATGTATCAACATCGTTGTCAGTCAGATAAACCCATGTATCAACATCGTTGTCAGTCAGATATACACATGTATCAACATCGTTGTCAGTCAGATATACCCATGTATCAACATCGTTGTCAGTCAGATATACCCATGTATCAACATCGTTGTCAGTCAGATATACCCATGTATCAACATCGTTGTCTGTCAGATATACCCATATATCGACATGGTTGTCAGTTAGATATACACATGTATCAACATCGTTGTCAGTTAGATATACACATGTAACAACATCGTTGTCAGTCAGATATACACAGGAATCAACATCGTTGTCAGTCAGATTATAGAGGTTATCACGCGAGTGTGTTTTGGGATGGTAAATATCCTGCATTAGGAATAAACATTGTATTTAGCGAGCCTTGGCAATATTCCTAATACAGGATATTTACCATCCCCAAACACACAAGCGTGATAACCTCTTTGTCATATAATGTCATTCTTCAATTCTGTGCTTGAAAATCGCTTCCCCTCACTCACAAACATTACCTAAACATTGCGAGTTGTCCTTGAATGCGCGCATTAATATTTATTACGTCACAGGGTAGGTGATGTGTCAATCGGACAGTGACAGTGGCCAATATAGTTGAAACTGAAATCTGTTTCTTATACAGTGGCGAAGCAACATATACGCAAAACAACAATTGTTTTGACTTGCCTTTCGCGAAAATCCATCGGTCTGTCCGCTAGAGTAATTGTCCTTTGTCAAAGGGAAGCTACTCTAACCCTAGTCTATGAGACATCACGGCCACGTTCAGACGTTGTTGACAGTCGGCCTGTTCTGTCATAACGTTAAGAAGTGTAGTCAGATGTACACACAGCGCTAAAACGAAACAAGGTAACAATTCATACATATTTCGCCTAAACCCAACTATTTTTATTTGTGGAAAAGGTTTCAAGCCACAGAGGTCTACAAGCACAGATATGGCTACTGATCCCGCTTGGCTAGGCCAAGTGCCCTCGCAAAATTGTTTCGATATTTGTATCTCCAAAGTTGCCAAAATTGATAAAATGCCTTAGTTACGTCGCAGTTCGACACTGACTTTCAGTATATAAGACTTGTTTTTTTGATAATTGTATCAATTATCCCTGTAGTTTATCCAGATTCACGATGGTTAATTCTGACTCGATCGCCGAATGACAAGTGCGACGCCATGTTTGTTTATAAACACTGAAAGTAGTCCCTACTTGACCTTTGATATTTGCATCTCTGTCCGCATATGACCCCAACGGATATCGTTTTTATCCGTTGGCTTTATCCTGCCGAGAAACCTACCCATTATATGATGAACCCATATATTAACATCGTTGTCAGTCAGATATATAGAGGTTATCACGCGAGTGTGTTTGGGGATGGTAAATATCCTGCATTAGGAATAAACATTGTATTTAGCGAGCCTTGGCGAGCTAAATACATAGTGTTTATTCCTAATACAGGATATTTACCATCCCCAAACACACAAGCGTGATAACCTCTTTATCATATAATGTCATTCTTTAATTTTGTGCTTTAAAATCGCTTTCCCTCTCTCACAAACATTACCGAAACATTGCGAGTTTTCCTGGAATGCGCGCATTAATATTTATTACGTCACAGGGTAAGTGATTAGTCAGTCGGACAGTGACAGTAGCCCATATAGTTCCAACTGAAATGTGTTTCTTATACAGTGGCGAAGCAACTTATAGGCAAAACAACAGTTGTTTTTAATTGCCTTTCGCGGCAATCCATCGGTCTGTCCGCTAGAGTAACTGCCCTTTGTCAAAGGGAAGCTACTCTAACTCTAGTCTATGAGACGTCACGGCCACGGTCAGACGTTGTTGACAGTCGGTCTGTCCTTTCATAACGTTAAGAAGTGTAGTCAGATGTACACACAGCGACAGAACGAAACAAGGTAACAGTTCAAACATATTTCGGCCGAATCCAACCATTTTGATTTGTGGAGAAGGTTTCAAGCCACAGAGGTCTACAAGCACAGATATGGCTACTGATCCCGCTTGGCTAGGCCTCGTGCCCTCGCAAAATTGTTTCGAAATTTATATCTCGAAAGTTGCCAAAACTTATAAAATGCCTTAGCTACATCACAGTTAGACACTGATTTTCAGTATATTAGACTGTTCGTTTGATAATGATAGCAATTATCCCTGTAGTTTATCCAGATTCACGATGGTTAATTCTGACTCGATCGCCGAATGACGAGGGCGACGCCATGCTTGTTTATAAACAGTGAAAGTAGTCCTACTTGACCTTTGATATTTGCATCTCTATCCGCATATGACCCCAACGGATATCGTTTTTATCCGTTGGCTTTATCCTGCCGAGAAACCTGCCCATTATATGATAAACCCATATATCGACATGGTTGTCAGTTAGATATACACATGTATCAACATCGTTGTCAGTTAGATATACACATGTATCAACATCGTTGTCAGTCAGATATACCCATGTTTCAACATCGTTGTCAGTCAGATATACCCATGTATCAACATCGTTGTCAGTCAGATATACCCATGTATCAACATCGGTGTCAGTCAGATATACCCATGTATCAACATCGTTGTCAGTCAGATATACACATGTATCAACATCGTTGTCAGTTAGATATACACATGTATCAACATCGTTGTCAGTCAGATATACCCATGTTTCAACATCGTTGTCAGTCAGATATACCCATGTATCAACATCGTTGTCAGTCAGATATACCCATGTATCAACATCGGTGTCAGTCAGATATACCCATGTATCAACATCGTTGTCAGTCAGATATACACATGTATCAACATCGTTGTCAGTTAGATATACACATGTATCAACATCGTTGTCAGTCACATATATCCATGTATCAACATCGTTGTGAGTCACATATATCCATGTATCAACATCGTTGTCGGTCAGGTATACACATGTATCAACATCGTTGTCAGTCAGATATACCCATATATCAACATGGTTGTCAGTCAGATATATCCATATATCAACATCGTTGTCGGTCAGATATACACATGTACCAACATCGTTGTCAGTCAGATATACACAGGAATCAACATCGTTGTCAGTCAGATATACCCATGTATCAACACCGTTGTCGGTCAGATATACCCATATATCAACATCGTTGTCAGTCAGATATACATATGTATCAACATCGTTGTCAGTCAGATATACACATGTACCAACATCGTTGTCAGTCAGATATACACAGGAATCAACATCGTTGTCATTCAGATATATCCATGTATCAACATCGTCCGTAATTCCAGAAGGTAAGAAATATGAAGCAGCAAAATGCAACTTTATTCATGACGACCCTTAATTTACTTCAAAAGGTAACTTCTTCTGCTTGCTGTATAGGTTGCGTGCACGTCCTCCCGTCTCACGTGCTACTGAACCCGTATTTCCAGCATGAACAGCAGCGTCGTGTTGTGTCTGTGTGCCCTTGTCACCGCCTGCTGTGGTGAGTCACTCATATACATATATATGCATATACACAAAGTGTGCTTTTGATTCTCTTACACTCCATAGTCAGACACTTCTTTCTGTCATTTTTTCGCCGTGTGTTATAAACATAAAGGAACATTTCTAAAATATTCAACACTGAATCTGTCGTCTCCACTTTCTTATTACTCCTTGCACACAATACTGTATAAACGGCACAAATATATGTACAAATGATCAATATTCAAATATATGTAAGCTCAAGTATGGTTTTAAAGAAAAGATAATGTTGTAAGACTTGATCGATAATGCCAGTTGTCCACAGAATTCAGTGTGATTCGTATATTTTAGGGAACATTACGGCAAACATATTTGTCAAACCCCTACCTGGACAAGTCAAAGTCAGTATTGTTTTTCTAACCCGTGAAGATCCGGGTTAGAATAGACCCGTGAAGATCCGGGTTAGAATAGTTCTTCAGCAACTCATGTATGGCGATTAACGGATCTGGTGGTCAGGCTCGCTAACATGGTTGATGAATGTCATCGTATCCCAATTGCGTGGATCGATGCACATGATACCAATCATGGATTTTCTGGTTCAGACTCGATTATTTACAGACCGCCGTCATATAGCTTGAATATTGCTGGGGGCGACATTAATCATACACAAACAAAAACAGAACAGTTTTGTTTCTGTCACAGGCAATGCATCACGGGATCTCGCAAAGCTCCACACCGACTTCTTCGCCTGGCAGATGTCGGACAGCCCAATGAGTGCCACATACCGTGATATACACAAATATAACGACAAGATACGGTCCTACAATATGTCTATGTTCGACATAAGAAAGGTAGGCCAGAAATAATTACTAACGTTATATAACCATCAAGGAAAATAGATAGAACTGAAATTTAACTAAACTCTTCAATAATTGACAGGAATTGTGACATGTTACATGCATGTCACATACAGGTAGTCATCAGCACAGCGTGTCAGTAATTGTACGGGAATACCCCCTGTAGGAATTGAATAGCGCTACTCTCTTGGACTGTGATAGTATTAGATACATATAGATACAACATAACGATGGGGAATATCATCAGTTTTGGACATCTTTAGAGTAAGGCCAGTTTGTTCCGACAGGTATGCAGATTTCCATGCTTGCCATATGTACAGCTTGACCGACAGTATACTGACAATGCTGGTGTTACTCTATCTTCACAGACTTCCATCCTTGCCATATGTACAGCTTGACTGACAGTATACTGACAATGCTGGTGTTACTCTATCTACACAGACTTCCATCCTTGCCATATGTACAGCTTGACTGACAGTATACTGACAATGCTGGTGTTACTCTGTCTTCACAGACTTCCATCCTTGCCATATGTACAGCTTGACTGACAGTATACTGACAATGCTGATGTTACTGTCTCTTCACAGGATGAGATCGTGTCCTTCCACACCCGCCTGGTGAACATCACACAGGAGGACCTGAGCAAGTCTGACCTGGTCAACTACAAGATCTTGGACGACATGCTGACCACCTACATCCGGGGTTGGGAGTGGAGACAGTAAGGCGATGAAAGATAGTTTGGGGAATAGTGACTGTGTCGCCATGTGTCCAGGGTGAATGCTATAACTCATGTACTGTCAGCAATCGGCAAGTTGTTCACTGCTGGTATACTTTCTGGCGGGCGGGAACCGATAATGAAATGACGTACATTGATTTAATATCTAGGTTACTATGACCGACTTTGAATACTGAGTTAGCCTACGAACACAACTAGCAGAACAAGAACAGTCGATACAACGTTGTTAAAGTTATAATTCTGATTGTCCAGCCCGACCCCTGGCAGTGCTTGTGTCAAACTCACATGTTCGTAATTAATGTTCTTCAGTTTCAATTTTCGTATACTATATTGCGTTCATTTACACAGTCATTAGACCTTCCCATAGGACGACACATGTCTCAGTCAAGAGTCGTCATTGTTTTAATTTAATGTCTTTTAGGTGGATTCGATGTCAAATTGTGTGATCTAAATGAAATCTAGGTGTAGCTTGACATGTATATACAACGCTTGCAGTTTTCAGAGCCTGAATCCTGTCACTTTTCTGGAAGGTCCACAGTCGTACATAGAGTCAATGGTCCAGTCCATCCCTTTCTTCACTTTCGGCGACTTTGAAAACTATATTGTCAGACTCCAGAAGTTCCCTAACCAGGTAGATGTCAACATGCATAAGGGTTCTTGATAATTACAAGTATCCACGTGCATATCCATAATGCATAAACATATATTTACTTAACATACACTTACATACACATAGCGCATTCCAACACCACAATAACACACAGCATATGAATGTTATTGACGCTGTCTATATAGGTGTTAACTTGCTCTGTATTATCTTCCAGTATGAAGAGTTTAAAGAACGAATGAGGGAGGCGGTTCGATTGAACAGGACGTATCACTCGCATTCAATGGTGGAGTAGAATTGCTTTTTCTATCAAAACTTGTGATTGTTGTATTGCATTGTTTCTAAATATAACCAGACGCTTGATCAGTGGCACTGATAACATCCGCAAACATTCTGATGAGTAGACAGCAGGACACTATAAGTGACGTAATAATGTGTACTTCCATCCTTCCTCATTCACAAGGGACACTACAGTAAAATACGTTTATTACGAACACTCTTATACGAAACTGATGGATATAACGAACATATTTTTGGGTCCCGACGATTGCGGATTAGATGCTATATATAAGCTTATAACTACGGTTATAACGAACTAAAATTAATGGTCCATTTGAGTTCGTATAACAATAGTTTACTGTACATATATATTACAAACAGCCGTCACCTCTCATACCGGTGTCCTACATTACAGAGTCGGGTTGAGGGTCAGTTCGCCAAGTTACAGGTGGCGGCCAATGAATCGGACTTCTTCTGGCCATTCCGAGACACCCTGGAGAATAACACAGACATATCAGTGGAGAAGAAGTAAATATAGTATCTGTTCATTGACATTTCAACTTGAGTTTCTAGGTTATAAATGAGATGAAATGCATGTTGTACATTGAGTCACATGTCCTGGACATCTTGCAACCAGATAAGTGGAAACACATTTACATGAGGTCTCACACGAAAGTCCACATACACAAAGTCTGTATACACATGTATGAACTGTCGGTAAGAAGGAAGCATATGTATTCCAGTGCTGCGTGATATCTCATGACAGCATGCCATCTGACTTGGCACACACCAGTCACTACGGTAACCATTAGTGTTCTTCGTTTCAGAAATGATCTACGAGCCCGTGGACAGGACGCTGTTATTGGCCTATTAAAGTCACTGGCAGACCTCTGGTTGTTCATTGAAGAAGTGAGTTACAGAGACTGTTGGCGATCACTGGTTATAAAGATCACATACATATATTCATATCCATAATACAGCATGAAAAATGTGTTTGGAGAACATATATACATATGGCGAGAACGACATCCTGGGTACATGTGACACATATACCAACCTTTGTATGTTATTTTTTAACTCAGGACTATATGCCTAACACTCGCCCCTCCATCGGCATCAGCTCTCTGGACGGAGGACAAGAGTACTATGAGGCTTGCATCAGGTGGTATCTCTCCGTCAACATGACGGCTCAAGAAGTCCACGACATCGGCCTCCTGGAGGTGGACAGGATCGTCGACAACATGCAGAAGGTGAGGTATCCCTGGATCAAGTCCTGATTCACTTTGACAGAGGATGTTCATTAATTCGACACGCTTTGTGATCGTGATATAATAAACATTCAAGGAAACGTATCTTAATTAGTGGAAACAAATCTGCTAATAATGTTAACAATATCTAACGTCCAACTGTTGAATGTTCGAAGAGTAAAGTGTTAGATTGCCTATACTCTTTTAGAAGTATTACCAAAAGACTGTTTACTACAGGTGTGTACTCTCCCAGCAATCAGTTAGTCTGTATTGCCGTGAATGTTGTGTGTGTGTGTGTGTGTGTACTATTCCAGCAATCAGTTAGTCTGTATTGCCGTGAATGTTGTGTGTGTGTGTGTGTGTGTGTGTGTGTGTGTGTGTGTGTGTGTGTGTGTGTGTGTGTGTGTGTGTGTGTGTGTACTGTCCCAGCAATCAGTTAGTCTGTATTGCCGTGAATGTTGTGTGTGTGTGTGTGTGTGTGTGTACTGTCCCAGCAATCAGTTAGTCTGTATTGCCGTGAATGTTGTGTGTGTGTACTGTCCTAGCAATCAGTTAATCTGTATTGGCGTGAATGTTGTGTGTGTGTACTGTCCCAGCAATCAGTTAATCTGTATTGGCGTGAATGTTGTGTGTGTACTGTCCCAGCAATCAGTTAGTCTGTATTGCCGTGAATGTTGTGTGTGTGTGTGTGTGTGTACTGTCCCAGCAATCAGTTAGTCTGTATTGCCGTGAATGTTGTGTGTGTGTGTGTGTGTGTGTGTACTGTCCCAGCAATCAGTTAGTCTGTATTGCCGTGAATGTTGTGTGTGTGTACTGTCCTAGCAATCAGTTAATCTGTATTGGCGTGAATGTTGTGTGTGTGTACTGTCCCAGCAATCAGTTAATCTGTATTGGCGTGAATGTTGTGTGTGTGTACTGTCCCAGCAATCAGTTAATCTGTATTGGCGTGAATGTTGTGTGTGTACTGTCCCAGCAATCAGCTAGCCTGTATTGCCGTGAATGTTGTGTGTGTGTGTGTGTGTGTGTGTGTGTGTGTGTGTGTACTGTCCCAGCAATCAGTCTGTATTGCCGTGAATGTTGTGTGTGTGTGTGTGCCGTCCCAGCAATCAGTTAATCTGTATTGCCGTGTATGTGTGCTTTGTGTGTTGTGTATGTTGTGTACGTTGTGTATGGTGTGTATGTTGTGTGTTGTGAATGTTGTGTTTGCTTCGTGTGTTGTATATGTTATGTAAGTTGTGTATGCTGTGTATGTTGTGTGTTGTGTATGTTGCCTGTGCTTTGTGTGTTGTGTTATTATGTACGGTGTGTATGTTGTGTATGTTTTGTGTGTTGTGTACGTTGTGTATGTTGTGTATGTTTTGTGTGTTGTGTATTTTGTGTAAGTTGTGTGATTTTTGTATGTTGTGTATGCTGTGTGTGTTTTGTGTGTTGTGTACGTTTGGATGCTGTGTATGTTGTGTGTTGTGTATGTTGTGTATGGGGTGTATGTTATGTACGTTGCGTATGTTGTGTATGTTGTGTGTTGTGTATGTTATGTATGTTGTGTATGTTGTGTGTGTTTTGTGTGCTTCGTATGTTACGTATGTTTTGTGCGTTGTTTGTGTTGTGTGTGTTTTGTATGTTGTGTATGTTGTGTGTGTTTCGTATGTTGTGTATGTTAACGTTGTGTATGTTTTGTGTGTTGTGTATGTTTTGTATGTTGTGTATGTTTTATCTGTTGTGTGTGTTTCGTATGTTGTGTATGTTTTGTGCGTTGTGTGTTGTGTGTGTTGTGTATGTTGTGTATGTTTTGTGTGTTGTGTACGTTGTGTACGTTGTGTACGTTTTGTGTGTTTTGTATGTTGTTTATGTTGTGTATGTTGTATATGTTGTGTACGTTGTGTGTGTTTTGTCCAGCAATCAACTGGTCTGCATTTACTTTACACGCATGTTGTTGTCTGAGCAGATCATGACGAAGCAAGAGTTCAATGGGAGTGTCAGCGAGTACTTTCAGACCATCATGAATAACACGGATTTTTTCTTCAATACTGCGGTACGTGTAGTTTCTGTGTAATTATATCACATTCACAAACGACCCGAAGTACTTACAATTTTGTAGAATCAAGGGTCTCCTGGTGGCAATGGGAATTGTTCGGTGGAGTTGAAAGTGTACGCTTATATGTTTACAGTTGCAGGTTCGTGAGGTTATCCGGACAATAATTCTTATCTAACCCCAACATACCCCAGATGTCATATACTGATTATTTCTCTAAATTTACAATTCTTTCGGATATTGACATGTCGCCACAAGTGTCTATAATTCACTTTAACCTACTTTGAACATCATTTTGCCACGAAGGGGGTCACAAACATGCAAACACATCGCAAACACTCATTGCGTATCCCGGGTAGTGAATGGGGATTGTATATAATCATTATGTTCTTTTTGGTCTATTGGTCAAGGGATTGACAACAGAACCCACATTCCTTTACTTTAGAATAAAGGATCTTGTCTCGCTGAACAGATATTCTACAAGTATCCACGTGTGTCTTCCATTTCAAAACGATGACATTCAGCCGTATCACGTCGGAATACTTCTGAGGTGCTACAATCACAATGAAATGGCTAGATACGTGTTTAGACAAAGAAACTGTCTCAATAAGTATTATCACCAGTTTCTGGTTACAATAGCTTCCGTAGATTTACTTGTATACATTAGGTGAACCAGATTCGCGAAGGGCTATACCTACTATACCTGTGGTTCGTACCTGGATAATCTCCCATCGTGTGCTGTCAAATAATACACAGACGATGTTTTGAAAAATAGTAATATCATATATACAAGTTCAAATGTCTTGACTATGGACATGGCGTGAGTGTCAGGCTAATCAAGCTTGCTGAATATCAATGACCATATTACGAACATGACAGATCACCCAGCTCCGCATATTTCCATATAACATTACCTGTTACAGGAGGACATCTTAGCGGAATTCCGTCATCAGATATTTGATGTCATAGAACCAACACTGGAACGCTTCTTCGTCAACTTGCCCGGTCTTCCTCTAGAGTACGTAGATCTTTGCTCACAATATCGATCACTGGATTGTCTGGTCCAATATAAAAGCACACCTGTAATTACGTAATGGTAAAGCCAATGTAACAGGAGATAGTTGCAGTAGTTGTCGAACTACACAGGAAGACTTTTGTAGTTTCTTTTAATTGAATAGATGGCGATCCCGTTGTAATAGTTAGGTTTCTAACAAGGCATTATCGCTAAGGCATGTCCCATAAGGTCATGAAACTAAACTGAACACTGAAACATGGAAACTCTAGTGTCGGGACACACCTCTAGAGACGCACGTGGAAACTGTAGTGTCGGGACACACGTCTAGAGAAGCACATGGAAACTGTAGTGTCGGGACACATGTCTAGAGAAGCACATGGACACTCTAGTGTCGGGACACACCTCTAGAGAAACACATGGAGACTCTAGTGTCGGGACACACGTCTAGAGACGCACATGGACGCTCTAGTGTCGGGACACACCTCTAGAGAAACACATGGAAACTGTAGTGTCGGGACACACCTCTAGAGACGCACATGGACACTCTAGTGTCGGGACACACGTCTAGAGAACCACATGGAAACTGTAGTGTCGGGACACACCTCTAGAGACGCACATGGACACTCTAGTGTCGGGACACACGTCTAGAGAAGCACATGGAGTCTGTAGTGTCGGGATACACCTCTAGAGACGCACATGGACACTCTAGTGTCGGGACACACGTCTAGAGAAGCACATGGAGACTGTAGTGTCGGGATACACCTCTAGAGACGCACATGGACACTCTAGTGTCGGGACACACCTCTAGAGACGCACGTGTAAACTGTAGTGTCGGGACACACGTCTAGAGAAGCACATGGAAACTGTAGTGTCGGGACACATGTCTAGAGAAGCACATGGACACTCTAGTGTCGGGACACACCTCTAGAGAAACACATGGAGACTCTAGTGTCGGGACACACGTCTAGAGACGCACATGGACGCTCTAGTGTCGGGACACACCTCTAGAGAAACACATGGAAACTGTAGTGTCGGGACACACCTCTAGAGACGCACATGGACACTCTAGTGTCGGGACACACGTCTAGAGAACCACATGGAAACTGTAGTGTCGGGACACACCTCTAGAGACGCACATGGACACTCTAGTGTCGGGACACACGTCTAGAGAAGCACATGGAGACTGTAGTGTCGGGATACACCTCTAGAGACGCACATGGACACTCTAGTGTCGGGACACACCTCTAGAGAAACACATGGAGACTCTAGTGTCGGGACACACCTCTAGAGAAACACATGGAAACTGTAGTGTCGGGACACACCTCTAGAGAAACACATGGAAACTGTAGTGTCGGGACACACCTCTAGAGAAGCTCATGGAAACTCTAGTGTCGGGACACACGTCTAGAGACGCACATGGACACTCTAGTGTCGGAACACACCTCTAGAGAAACACATGGAGACTCTAGTGTCGGGACACACGTCTAGAGACGCACATGGACACTCTAGTGTCGGAACACACCTCTAGAGAAACACATGGAGACTCTAGTGTCGGGACACACGTCTAGAGACGCACATGGACGCTCTAGTGTCGGGACACACCTCTAGAGAAACACATGGACACTCTAGTGTCGGGACACACATCTAGAGAAGCACATGGGGACTGTAGTGTCGGGACACACGTGTAGAGAAGCACATGGGGACTGTAGTGTCGGGACACACCTCTAGAAAAACACATGGACACTCTAGTGTCGGGACACACCTCTAGAGAAACACATGGAAACTCTAGTGTCGGGACACTTGTCTAGAGAACCACATTGGGACTGTAGTGTCGGGATACACCTCTAGAGAAGCACATGGAAACTGTAGTGTCGGGATACACCTCTAGAGAAACACATGAAAACTCTAGTGTCGGGACACACGTCTAGAGACGCACATGGAAACTGTAGTGTCGGGATACACCTCTAGAGAAACACATGAAAACTCTAGTGTCGGGACACACCTCTAGAGACGCACATGGACACTCTAGTGTCGGGATACACCTCTAGAGAAACACATGGACACTCTAGTGTCGGGACACACGTCTAGAGAACCACATTGGGACTGTAGTGTCGGGACACACATCTAGAGAAACACATGGAAACTGTAGTGTCGGGATACACCTCTAGAGAAACACATGGAAACTCTAGTGTCGGGACACTTGTCTAGAGAAGCTCATGGAAACTGTAGTGTCGGGATACACCTCTAGAGAAACACATGGAAACTGTAGTGTCGGGACACACCTCTAGAGAACCACATGGAAACTGTAGTGTCGGGACACACCTCTAGAGACGCACATGGAAACTGTAGTGTCGGGACACACCTCTAGAGAAACACATGGAAACTCTAGTGTCGGGACACACCTCTAGAGAAGCACATGGAGACTGTAGTATCGGGACACACCTCTAGAGAAGCACATGGAGACTGTAGTGTCGGGATACACGTCTAGAGAAGCACATGGAAACTCTAGTGTCGGGATACACGTCTAGAGAAGCACATGGAAATTGTAGTGTCGGGGCACACATCTAGAAAAATCATATGGCGTCTCTAGTGTCGGGACACGTCTAGAGAAGCACATGGAAACTCTAGTGTTGGGACACACCTCTAGAAAAGCACATGGAAACTGTAGTGTCGGGACACACCTCTAGAGAAGCACATGGAGACTCTAGTGTCGGGACACACCTCTAGAGAAGCACATGGAAACTGTAGTGTCGGGATACACCTCTAGAGACGCACATGGAGACTGTAGTGTCGGGACACACGTCTAGAGAACCACATGGCATGGAAACTCTAGTGTCGGGACACACCTCTAGAGAAGCACATGGAAACTGTAGTGTCGGGACACACGTCTAGAGAAACACATGGAAACTGTAGTGTCGGGATACACGTCTAGAGAAGCACATGGGGACTGTAGTGTCGGGACACACGTCTAGAGAAGCACATGGGGACTGTAGTGTCGGGACACACGTCTAGAGAAGCACATGGGGACTGTAGTGTCGGGACACACGTCTAGAGAAGCACATGGGGACTGTAGTGTCGGGATACACCTCTAGAGAAACACATGGAAACTCTAGTGTCGGGACACACCTCTAGAGAAACACATGGAAACTCTAGTGTCGGGACACACCTCTAGAGAAGCACATGGAAACTTTAGTGTCGGACACACGTCTAGAGAAGCACATGGAAACTTTAGTGTCGGGCGGGACACACCTCCAGAGAATCCTGCAACATGCAGTCACTTATAGAATAGAAACATAAAATAATAAGGTCTGGAGCATTATGCTCGAAATGAACGTTTAATAAGTTTACCCTAGACAGGTATGTTTTTGCTGCACAAAGTATATCATTTTTGTTTGCATCACAACAGGGTGCGAGAGATGCCTAACGACGGCCCAGGTGGCGCCTACTCCACAGGCTCTGCTGACGGCTCCAGGCCAGGCGTGTTTTGGGCAAATGTGTTCCGGCCCCATGAATCGTGAGTTTTGTCATGTGCCTCGTGCATATAGATAGGAATGTACATGTGAAGGTGGTATGTGTGAGTGTATGGTGTGCATGGTTGTGTGTGTGTGTGTGTGTGTGTGTGTGTTTTTTGTGTGTGTTTTTTGTGTGTTTTGTGTGTTTTGTGTGTGTGTGTGTGTGTGTGTGTGTGTGTGTGTGTGTGTGTGTGTGTGTGTGTGTGTGTGTGTGGCTGTGTGTGTGTGTGAGTGTGTGTGGCTGTGTGTATGGTTTATGTGTGTGAGGTGTGTTGTGTATGTGTGTGTTTATGGTGTGTGTGTGTGAGTGTGTGAGGAGGATTTGTGTGTTGTGTAGTGTGTGTGTGTGAGGAGGATATGTGTGTTGTGTAGTGTTTGTGAGTGTGTGAGGAGGATATGTTTGTAGTGTAGTGTGTGTGTGTATGTTATGTAAGTGTATAAGTATAAGTGTAAGTGTTTATCTGCTGTGAAATGCGCCAATACTTGTTCACTGTACGTTGATTGAGCCTTTAATAATATATAGTTAGCACATTATTACATTTAATTTATACACGTCTTTCACAATACTCGCAATAGCAAATCCCCTAAATGTGATGTCCCTATGTCCATGATGTGACCCCGCTTCCTCTTGCAGCCCCAACCTGACCATGATGGCGTTGTCCATCCACGAGGCCAACCCCGGACATCACCTGCAGGTGAGTCACCAAGATGTTACACGGATAACCCAGTCGTCGAAGGTGCTGAAATTTGCTGTTAAGGGTTGCGTCCCTTTACCGTAACAGGATTATCTGATTCGCCCTGATAAGGATCCTTGCTTTTACAGCCTACTCGTGGGTTTCACATGTCTTGGGCCTTTCGTTACAGCCTTTCCTCATACACTGACGCATAGTGACGTCACTGAGATAACGCGGTAACGCTATAGGATCAGAGCATGTTCTGTTCGCATTACAACGTCTTTCAACACCGACGGTTGCTGCAATCCGTCTCTCATACCACCTGACATGCACCTTTCAGCTCAGCTACTCCATTACATCCGACACCCCCGACTTCCGGCAGAAGATGGTGTCGTCTGCTTTGTACAGTGTCCCCTTCGGCTTCCCCGGATACACGTCCTTTGTCGAGGTAAAGCTGTGCTCTCCCTTCATATGTGCTTGCATCAGTCGTTTTCTGTTGACTCATGTGCCAATATTACAATGTGAGAATACAGTTTTCAATTTCCAAATTGGTAATTGTTAAAATTTGCCATATAGATATCTTATTTGGATCAAAATGCGTGAAACGATCGGGTGTAACATAATCCACCGGCAGCGTAGGGCGCCCTGTTAACATGCCCTCTTCACAGGTACTTAGTGCACACACTGATCCGAGGTCTCTTTGACACCAACTCACCAAGGATGATGAGATGCATTCTCGCATACAACAGACCATTACAAAGTTAATGTCGTTCTATCCACTCCAGGGCTGGGCGCTGTACTCCGAGTTCCTGGGCGAGGAGATGGGGCTGTATAGAGATGACTATGAACTGTAAGTTGTATAACCATGCATATTGTGTTCTATAATCGGTCGAGGAATACTAGAGCCATAAGTACATTCATGCATAAGGATGCTTGTCAGTGTGAGAATCTTCATGATAGGGTAAAATCTAGCTTGTGCAATAATCCAACCTAATGTATCTGAAACAAGTTAGAACTTTCTCTGCCTTAATCTTGAACGTGACTAATTACAATTAGCATCGATATCGCTATGACGTTACTCTCCCGTCTTATGCTGCTTCTCCTTTTACATTGGTGTCAGCATGGGGCGCTACAGTTCTGAGATATTCCGGGCGTGTCGACTTGTGGTGGACACGGGCATCCATGCCTTCAAGTACGTACAGCATTCACACCATCACATCAATCACGTGAAATTACCCAACGATGGCAAGCAATACTTACACTGGTATTATAGAATATATAACTCGCTTCATTTCTTCCACTTGTACATATTTTTTACGCAACCCATTTTATAATTATCAGCTGGACACGTGATGAGGCTATTGACTACATGCTCAAGTACACAGCGGAGTCCTACGACAACATCGCAGTAGAGATTGACCGCTACATCACGTGGCCTGGTCAAGCTCTGGCCTACAAGATCGGGGAGATCAAGATTCTGGAGCTGCGACGAAAAGCGGAGCAGCAGCTCGGTGAGAACCGACACTCTACACATGTAGCTGATGACTGAAGCAGTTAACACATGGACACACAAGCCATTTAGAACGCTTTCTTAGTAAAGTACAGATTCTCGTACATTTTGGCTGAACCTACACTGCCAGAGTGAGGCACCTAATCGCGAGCACACAAAGTCAGCGATCTAACCCCCTCAGCCTCCGAGGCTTCAACAAAATCGTGTACTTCGTGTACCCCTCTGACAAGTGTAAATTTCCTCGGCTCCCATGGCTAAAAGCTATGAACACAAAGTGGTCAAAGTAACAAATGTTATATTTGCGATAAAACTTTCTTAATAAAGTACAGATTCTCGTACCTTTTGGGGCTGAGTCCCGTCCGGGTTTCGAACCCACACTACCAAGAAAGTGTTATCCCAAATATAACATTTGTTATTGTTAACACATGTTGAAATTCTATTTGTAAACATCAAAAACAACACCCAAGTTGTCAAGCTTGAGTGAGCAATCATTATGATAGTTTATGAAGACATGGGTTTTCAATGAGTCAATAGTCAACAACGATGTACCTCTGGGTAGAGAGGTATATCTTAGTTGGTCGTGAGTTCCATCCCTCAAACACATCCATGGCACTTTTGGTTGTCAGCATCATAACCATGTGTCTGTCTGGAGCTTTGTGAAACTGGTGGATTGAGATGACACTTTGATTAGGTGTCGTGATGAAGCTGTGACTGTGACCTCCTCAGTCTTCTGTAGTGGCGATATACCAGCTGGCTACGTGTTAGCTAGCAGTGAACCGGTCCTACCCTGTACTCAACATGCTGTATCAGCAGCTCTGCTCTTCCTTGGACGACAATCATATGTATGTCACTATAACCTGTCAATTTTTGTCAATTTTATGCTAAATACTGTAATTCCAGGCGACAAGTTTGACATCCGTGAGTTTCACTCTGTGGTGCTCGAGAGCGGAACTGTGCCACTGAACGTGTTGGAGGATCTCGTCACTGATTGGCTGGACACATACCCCGTGACCACTCCCAGACCGGACACTCCGACGTGTGGAGCGGCATTCGATGTACCAATGTACATGTTAAGTCTTGTATCATTTTACCTGTCTGTCTACTTGTACATTTAGATACAGCTCAGTTCCATCTTCTATTATTACGTAATAAAAGCAGTCATATTCCTTATAGTACAGATATACTTTTTACTTTTTAACATGTATGTCTCCGATAAATGTTTAAATTTAATATGAAGAACATGTCCTCAGACTTCATGATAATTTGATTATTTCACAATTGGACAGTTGCATCTGTGATTTTGGGTGCTATCATAATTATTTTTAGCCCACCTGATCAAAGGTCAAATGTTGTTATATCTTGGCCTGTTTGCCCCTCGTCATTCGTGCATCGTGCGTCGTTAACATCTTCTTGGAAACCCCTTGCGCTGATACAGCTGACATAGGGCTTGCATCTCCCCATCAGTTGTGACATCCAATATGTTGAAGAGGTTAGAATCCGATTGTCAATATGGCCGCCGTGGAACCTGTACTGAACCCACAAGGCCAAGTCCGGATACAGTACGGCGGCACTGTTTAGTTAAATCCTGATTGTACAGGTAGTAGCCCGAAATTATTTGTATTTTTAAATAAATAAAATTATAGATATCTCTTGTCAAACATGTGTCACGTCAACCTATTCACACGTTGAGCATCAGACATTAGCGAAGTACTTTGCAATAATAAATGTACTGACAAGTGAAGTTCAGTGGATGTCACTGTAGCTGTTCACATGTTTACCTTAATGACTCACGACACTGTAATCTGACATGTGAAGCACTCACGACACTGTAACCTGACACGTGAAGCATTCACGGCTGTGTAACCTGACACGTGAAGCACTCATGGCTCTGTAACCTGACACGCGAAGCACTCACGACACTGTAACCTGACACGTGAAGCATTCACGGCTGTGTAACCTGACTCGTGAAGCACTCATGGCTCTGTAACCTGACACGTGAAGCACTCATGGTTCTGTAACCGGATATGTGAAGCACTCATGGTTCTGTAACCTGACTCGTGAAGCACTCACGGCTCTGTAACCTGACAAGTGAAGAACCCACAGCGGTGTAACCTGGCACGTGAAGCACTCACGTCACTGTAACCTGACATGTGAAGAACTCACGGCTCTGTAACCTGGCACGTGAATCACTCACGACACTGTAACCTGGCACGTGAAGCACTCACGTCACTGTGACCTGGCACGTGAAGCACTCACGTCACTGTGACCTTGCATGTGAAGCACTCACGACACTGTAACCTGACATGTGAAGCACTCATGACACTGTAACCTGACACGTGAAGCACTCACGGCACTGTAACCGGACATGTGAAGCACTCACGACACTGTAACCCGACACGTGAAGCACTCACGGCTGTGTAACCTGACACGTGAAGCACTAACGTCACTGTAACCTGGCATGTGAAGCACTCACGACACTGTAACCTGACATGTGAAGCACTCACGACACTGTAACCTAGCTGGCACGTGAAGCACTCACGGCTGTGTAACCTGGCACGTGAAGCACTCACGTCACTGTAACCTGACACGTTAGCACTCACGACACTGTAGACTGGCATGTGAAGCACTCACGGCTCTGTAACCTGGCACGTGAAGCACGCACGGCTCTGTAATCTGACACGGTGGCACTCACAACACTGTAACCTGACTCGTGAAACACTCACGTCACTGTAACCTGGCACGTGAAGCACTCACGTCACTGTAACCTGGAACGTGAAGCACTCACGGCTGTGTAACCTGACTCGTGAAGCACTCACGACACTGTAACCTGGCACGCGAAGCATTCACGGCACTGTTACCTGACACGTGAAGCACTTACGGCTCTGTAACCTGACACGTGAAGCACTCACAGATCTGTTACCATGTAAGCATGTATGTCTTGAAAAGCGTGTTTATATAGAAATTCCACCTACAAGTGCAATTCACAGTGAACACGTCGTAACTGAAAGACGTGTAGCATCGGTCGTGTTGAACACGACATCTACAGTAACAGCTCGATGCATAACAGCAAAGAAGATGCATTTTAACAATGGGGACAGGTTTAAAACGCTATATGAGATAAATAGATAACGAGAATGCAAACAGCGACTACACACAATACGTACATCATTTGCTGATACACACAGCGACGAAACATCCTACCTACATCTGGTGCTGATACACACAGCGACGAAACACCCTACCTACAATGTACATCTGGTGCTGATACACACAGCGACGAAACACCCGACCTACATCTGCTGCTGATACACACAGCGACGAAACACCATACCTTCATCTGGTGCTGATACACACAGCGACGAAACAACCTACCTACATCTGGTGCTGATACACACAGCGACGAAACAACCTACCTACATCTGGTGCTGATACACACAGCGACGAAACACCCTACCTACATCTGGTGCTGATACACACAGCGACGAAACACCCTACCTACATCTGGTGCTGATACACACAGCGACGAAACACCCCACCTACATCTGGTGCTGATACACACAGCGACGAAACACCTTACCTACATCTGGTGCTGATACACACAGCGACGAAACACCCCACCTACATCTGGTGCTGATACACACAGCGACGAAACACCCTACCTACATCTGGTGCTGATACACACAGCGACGAAATACCCTACCTACATCTGGTGCTGATACACACAGCGACGAAACACCCTACCTTCATCTGGTGCTGATACACACAGCGACGAAACACCCTACCTACATCTGGTGCTGATACACACAGCGACGAAACAACCTACCTACATCTGGTGCTGATACATACAGCGACGAAACACCCTACCTACATCTGGTGCTGATACACACAGCGACGAAACACCCTACCTACAATGTACATCTGGTGCTGATACACACAGCGACGAAACACCCGACCTACATCTGGTGCTGATACATACAGCGACGAAACACCCTACCTATATATGGTGCTGATACACACAGCGACAAAACACCCTACCTACATCTGGTGCTGATAAAGTACACACAGCGACGAAACACCCTACCTGCATCTGGTGCTGATACACACGACGAAACACCCTACCTATATATGGTGCTGATACACACAGCGACGAAACACCCTACCTATATATGGTGCTGATACACACAGCGACAAAACACCCTACCTACATCTGGTGCTGATAAAGTACACACAGCGACGAAACACCCTACCTGCATCTGGTGCTGATACACACAGCTACGAAACACCCTACCTACATCTGGTGCTGATACACACAGCGACGAAACACCCTACCTACAATGTACATCTGGTGCTGATACACACAATTAAGAAACACCCTACCAACGTCTCGTGTTGGTACATAAAGCAAAGAAAGCACAACAGCAGTCATTTGAAATATGTCCTCCAAACAAATTAATATGGGATACGAGTAATCGAAAATACCAGATGATTACAGAAATAATAGTGAGTGAGTATGGTTTTACGCCGCTTTTAGCAATATTCCAGCAATATCCGCTGGGGACACCGGAAAAGCGGCTTCACACATTGTACCCATGTGGGGAATCGAACCCTGGTCTTCGGCATTACGAGCCAACGCTTTAACCGCTAGGCTACCCCACCGCCCTACAGAAATAATACGAGGGATTCAGTTATGCACGTTTAAACGATTGTAACGATAATGGGTTCCAACGTTCGCCGTGTACGACGATTAATGATCCGAATCTCCCAATGACACTTTGAGGGAGCTTTGTCCACTGTTCGGCTCACGTAGCGGGTAGCCCTTGACGTCGGCGTACACGTCCCCCGCTCATGCTCCAGACGTGCTCTATAGGGGAAAAGGTCAAGACTCATGGGCAGCCATTGCATTTGCATTCAGGTGATGTTTCGCTGCTAGGGGTGGTCAGTTACGATGTGTGCACTGTGGGCACGAGTGTTGTCCTCACAACACAAACCGTGGACCAGCATTGCGCGCAAACGCAAACTATTAGCCCCAGCATGTTGTCTCCGTTGTCCTGCCAAGTGACCCATCTATGTACTGTATGCAGTGGCGTTCTGGTAGTCATAGTGATCATACCCCATATCATTACAGGCCCATCCCCAAATCTGTCACGTTGCCTTACGTTGACGTTTGTTAGGTCGCCCCAAGACACGTCCAAAATGAATCTGGACTCATCTGACGCTCGAAACACCATTTGTGTTTGTGTCGATGTGTTAACGGTGGTACAACACGTGGTTGCCGAGCATGCAGATTAATTGCAGACGATTTCTAATCTTCTGGTCAGTAACCTGAGCTTCGGTGGCTTGGCGCAAGTTAACAGCAATTTCATTGGCTGTGTTTGGGCTTGATTTCTAAAAGTCTGGTTTCTGATTAATCGATCCTCGACTAGTGCTACTGACCTCGGACGCATACCGATCATTTGTGAGAATGATGACTGGAATACATACAGATCCGATAGGCCGCATTGAGCAGATAAAAGTAGTTGGTGAGGTGAGGTAAAATGGGGTTTAACATCGCGTCCAAGATTATTGCACTCATATAGCGACGTGCATGTACGTGTGTGTGTTAGTGTGTGGCTGCTTGTACTAGTCCGGACTGATGCCGATTTATAGTGCTACCCAACTGAGATACCATGCCGCAGATTAACATGAATACCCCGGCCACTCAGACACAGTATACTGAATCCGAGCCCACCAGTCCTTGTTTTAGCCCCTTAATGCCGAGCGCCAGACAGGGTTACAACAAGTACCATCTTTTAACGTCTTTTGGTATGACGCGGTCGGGGATCGAACCCCGGACCTTCCGCTCTCCGGTCGGACGCTCTATCACTTAGCCACGGAGGCGGTCTAATAGTATCTGGATAAGTGCGTTATGGAAATGTATAAAATTAATAACAAATAATAATAATAATAATATGTGTACTTATATACATGCCCAAATGAAAATGATGATTACAAAAAGTTATAATACACTAGAAAGCACTGCGTCTCTAAAATTGTGATTATAGTTCATGGAATTGCCTGAATAGGAATGTCTTTAACTTTAAAGCTGTCAAGAGATAGAGGGCCCTTGATACTGATGGAAGAGAATTCCAGAGAATAGGATCAGTAAAGCGGACGCCCTGTCACCAAACGATGCATAATATAATAATGATAATAATAACTGAACATATTCAAGTTCTACGAGATTGAAGTATGCTGATAACACTTAGGCGTTCATCACCTTGTAGACCAATGTGTCAACCTTTCCCTGAAGTGTCAAATCAAGAACGAGAGGGATATTCATGTTAAACTGCGACATACTTCAACTTAGGCTTGCGATAGAGTTTGTAGCGCTGATGTCGCCTTGGTCGCTTGTAGCGTGATCGACTACATATTAAAATAATTGGGAAATACGATTTCTAAAGTCAAACATGATCTACATACACGACAACAAGCACTTAACATATACATAATGTATTGCTTCCAACGAGGCAGGTGTCAACTGGCATGCATCAAGTACCCTCGGATCAGTACAGGTGAGCTTTCTGTGTCTCGTTCCGAACTCCTTAAGGGGAGTATTTGTAAGCAGCTGCCTACATTTGTTCCCGATTCAAAAATGCTGTTGGTCGTACTCAGTATACTTACTCAGTACACTTCTTATTCATTGATCAAGTATGTGTGTCCAGCAGCACATCCAGAGACATACTGTTAAACTGCCATACTGCTACAGTGCCTCCGGATGAAGGGCGACTTGCCTGGAAGAACACGTCACATATGTTTAAACTGTTTGTCATATTCCTTCTCTCGAAACGAAGCCTGTCGGATATTGCATCCTGTTTCTGTAGACACCAGTGGAAATGTATGGAAGACGATGGAGATATTAATAAATGTTTGAAAAAGCAAACACAACTAATAAAATATTGAGTTTATCAGGGCAGGGAAAACCACGAATTGCCTCCACACATTGAACCCATTCAGAGAATCGAACACATTACCCACCCTGCTTCCCAACCATCAAGGGCGCTTCCTTCTTTAAGATATTTCTGATCTACATGAATAAAAACTACATGAACGGACATAAAACTATTAATATACATATGTTTAAAGAGAAGTGCCAGTAAACCATGTCCTTGATATAGCGGAATTAGCCCTTGACACGGATAGGCATGTGACGACGCCGACCTGCCAGAGTTATCCATGACAGCACATCCCTGTCACAAGAAGTAGAACATCCGTGTTGACGAGACACCTGTCCAGATCTGTCATACCAGGTAAGATCAGTAGTATATTCAGGATAGCTTACTGTCTTTGAAGTATCACCACAGGGTGTATTACACATGGCAGAGAACGTCCCTCTGTCCCATCATTAAGCGTGCCCTAAAAGATGTACTCGTCAGTCTTGTGTATTGAAGTAGGATTGTTGACCACCAGGCACACAGCCTGCCTTCTCGCTGATCACAATGTTACCCTGGCGGGGAACTGGTCGCTTGTCTCGTCCACGTGGATGTACATGATGACAAGCTGACACGAGACGTATATACATGTAGTTATTCATGACTGAATGACAAGGTAATCCATGGTATGACCATCTGCAAATGCTAAATTCAAAATTGAGAAAACTAAAGATCATTGAATAAGAAAGTGTTCATGTGACATCAAGTACGGACTGAACAACTGCAACCTCGGGCGCAAATTAATCTCTCATCCCGTGGCCTGCACTTTGCGCAGTCTTCCAAAATGGCGGCGCCACTACCACTTGGTTGCCTGGCCCTAATGAAGAACATAATAGAAGAAGCTCGATGACGATGTATTTATGACTATTATGAGCACCTTGAAGACGCTGGGATGTTAGCTGTCGTTGCTCATTTCCCAGTTGATCCAGTGAAGAAATTATAATTCCGCTGTCAAATTCAAGTTTTCGTCAGCCGCCACCTTGGTTTGAGAAAGAAGCGAACTCAGCTAGAGATTGGTGCGATTGCAAGCGGCTGAAGGTTAGCGCCCCGTTGTAAGACAAATCGCTGTAACTCGCTTGCAAGTGTTTTGCATGTCAGTGTACGTCCGTTCGTGCATGTCGTAGCAACTAAAAAATGAAAACAAAACACTTATTGTGCTGCATATAAAGAATATATAAAGTGATACAAGGTAAGAACCTCGAAGGGACGTAAACACAAGTTTCTTCACATACAATTCGATATGAAGAGTATAGACTGAACTGTGTTCTACATATTTCAGGATGTGGACCTCGCTGTCGATCATCATTTGCGTCTTATCAGGGGCTGACATCTGCAGCGGTGGGTACCTGACGGCCTAAGTGGACATATTTAGGAGCTGAAAGCTCTTGGTTGTGATTTATTATTGATATGACACATAGACGATTACGGTCATGTTAACCATATTACTTTAGTTGTATACGAGAAGAATTATATGAGAGAACAATATGTATAAAAACCTCTATGTTATGTTCATGTTTCTTTCAGGGAGTGCTTCTAGAGATCTCTCCACGCTCCATAATGAGTTCTTTGCGTGGCGAATGTCTGACAGACCAGTAACGGCCACGACGAAGGGTATACACAAATATGATGATCAGCTGGAGTCCTTCAACATGTCCATGTTCGACATCAGAAAGGTAGATGTCAGTTCAAATTGATGTGTTTAAATAAAATATCTGACAAATAGATTTATGTACATTTACATCTTTGTTGAGAAAACTGATCTGCCTGTGTCCTTGTCTCCCCAGGAGAAGGCCGAGACCCTCCACGCCCGACTGCTGAACATCTCACAGGAGGACCTGAGCAAGTCTGACCTGGTCAACTACAAGATCCTGGACGACATGCTGACCACCTACATCCGGGGCTGGGCGTGGAGACAGTAAGGGGGACATCAGACGTGTTTAATGAGTCAGCGAGTTACATTTAACGCTGCCTTGGACAGTGTTTCATTCATATCACGGCTGTTAAGCTTGCTGTGAGAGAAACCCCGAGGTGACGCAGGTATTTGACATTTACCCCCCTTTTTTATGGATATGGGACTGACAAATCTAAAACATAATCAGTGAGTATCTGGGATTCGAACCCAAGAACAGAAATTTCTTGTATGACTAAGGGATGCAACTCTGCACAGTGAATTGCGGCTGCATAGAGGACCGGGCCAGCCGTGACCCCTGATGAGGTCATGTACATATAGGACCATAAACAGCACCTATCATGCACACATCATGCACGCATCACGCTTGAGGAAACATGTTAAACTGAGACCAATGTTATATCATATCATATAGAACTTTGGCCGAAATCCTATCCAAATGTGGTATTGCCCAATCCCTATTGACTATGGTATTTATTCTCTGGTGTAAATGTTTGCAGATATCAGAACCTCAATCCGATTAGTTTCATGGACGGCATTCAAAGGAATCCCTCTTCGTTTGTCAACTCCTTACCATTCTTCACTCGCGGCGACTTCGAGAACTACATTGCCAGATTGCAGAAGATGCCAGACCAAGTACCCACTTTGCTAACAAAAATGCTATCACTGTTTCTTGATCTACCCGTTACAAGTTAAGATAAAAGATTAATTTGATACATTTTGTTACAAAGTGACCGGCACACGTGCAACAACCAACATGACATCCTGTCCATCAATATATAGCATGATTTCGTTATCGTTTCAGTACGAGGAGTTCAAGGTTTTGATGACGACAGCAATGCAGCTGAACAGGACCTTCCACAGGCAGTCAATGGTACTTATAACAATGTGGTCAAGTGAGTGAGTGAGTGAGTGAGTGAGTGAGTGAGTGAGTGAGTGCGTGAGTGAGTGAGTGAGTGAGTGAGTGAGTGAGTGAGTGAGTGAGTGAGTGAGTGAGTGAGTGAGTGAGAGAGTGAGTGAGTGAGTGAGTGAATGAGTTGGATCTACGCAACTTTTAGCTATATTCCACCCATCTACGACTTAGACATTTAACGCTGTGATTGGGCTTTTCCCGTCATGTGGGGAACCAAACCCTCGTCCCCGGCGTGACGTCACCACCAGACTAACACACTGCCCCTTTTAATACAAACAGCATGTATACTCTGACATGATGTATGCGTTTTCAGTTCGCAAAAATGAAAGGGATAGATATCATGTAAGCTACAAAATAGTCTATAAGCTGCGCTATATTTACGATTCTGACATGTCCGAAATTCAGATTCGTGTTGAGGACCAGTTTAATGCCTTAATGGGTCCGACGAATGAATCTGTCTTCTACACTCCCTTTCTGGATACCTTGGACAACGGTACAGTAGACCCGGATGTCAGGTAGGTCCTTCGTTGTCCGTGAGGCTGTCACGCTAGTCCAGCCTAAACATTAGTCAGGTAGACCACAACAGTCACGCTAGTCCAGCCGAAACAATAGCCAGGTAGACCACTACAGTCACGCTAGTCCAGCCGAAACATTAGCCAGGTAGACCACAACAGTCACGCTAGTCCAGCCGAAACATTGGCCAGGTAGGCCACAACAGTCACGCTAGTCCAGCTCAAACATTAGCCAGGTAGGCCCGACGGTCACGCTAGTCCAGCCGAAACATTAGCCAGGTAGACCACAACAGTCACGCTAGTCCAGCTCAAAAATTAGCCAGGTAGGCCCGACGGTCACGCTAGTCCAGCCTAAACATTAGCCAGGTAGACCACAACAGTCACGCTAGTCGAACCGAAACAATAGCCAGGTAGACCACAACAGTCACGCTAGTCCAGCCGAAACATTAGCCAGGTAGACCACAACAGTCACGCTAGTCCAGCCGAAACATTGGCCAGGTAGGCCACAACAGTCACGCTAGTCCAGCTCAAACATTAGCCAGGTAGGCCCGACGGTCACGCTAGTCCAGCCGAAACATTAGCCAGGTAGACCACAACAGTCACGCTAGTCCAGCCGAAACATTAGCCAGGTAGACCACAACAGTCATGCCAGTCCAGCCTAAACATTAGCCAGGTAGACCACAACAGTCATGCTAGTCCAGCCTAAACATTAGCCAGGTAGACCACAACAGTCACGCTAGTCCAGCTCAAACATTAGCCAGGCGGGCCACAACAGTCACGCTAGTCCAGCTCAAACATTGGCTAGGTAGATCACACCTGTAAGAGGTTTTATTCGTCTACGTTATTCCGGCACATTAAGCGTAACCTAATGTTTTTTGTACTTCTCCGCACAAATATTTCCACAGATATCGTTGACTTCAATTCACACAGAGTTGAACGCCTGGACATTAGGGCCGGGACGAGTCCCGTGGTACCGTCGTGCATGCACTGGGGCCGGGACGAGTCCTGTTGTACCGTCGTGCATGCACTGGGGCCGGGACGAGTCCTGTTGTACCGTCGTGCATGCACTGGGGCCGGGACGAGTCCTGTTGTACCGTCGTGCATGCACTGGGGCCGGGACGTTTCCTGTGGTACCGTCGTGCATGCACTGGGGCCGGGACGTTTCCTGTGGTACCGTCGTGCATGCACTGGGGCCGGGACGAGTCCTGTGGTACCGTCGTGCATGCACTGGGGCCGGGACGAGTCCTGTGGTACCGTCGTGCATGCACTGGGGCCGGGACGAGTCCTGTGGTACCGTCGTGCATGCACTGGGGCCGGGACGAGTACTGTGGTACCGTCGTGCATGCACTGGGGCCGGGATCATCATCTTGGATGCAAGACTCCAGTATGATCTCAGTTTGCCTTTATACACAGCTACACAATCCTGTTGTACCTATCCTTGAGAAAAGGGCAGCTAAATTCATCAGTTTGACATCTTCAGGAAATGAAGAGCTAGTCGACGCGGGCCATATATAATCTCACTTGATGGGTAAATATAGATCTAGAGTTGGTGCACTCCTATTTGTAAACACACAAAAACCAATGTTTGCACAGTAACATCAGCATTTGTTTCTGACACAGGGGCCGCCTGAAGGAGCAAGGGTTGATTGCAGTTGCTAATCTCCAGACAGCTATACAGAATATGCAGCAATTCATAAACGATGTAAGATCTTAATGTAATATCTATCAACTATAATGCGTTGTAAATACTCATAGAACATGGCTCTGTGTTGATACATGTTAATGGTATCTTATCCTGTTCTCGTACCAACCATATGCTACATAAGTACTGCATAAGTACTAAAACTGGCAACACATTTCCCTACTACAATATATCCTTGTTGTACCCAACTGTTCCATAACTAGGGTGTACAAAGAACTATGAAATATATTGGACTAGCATGATTTATTTGATGCTGATATGTTGTGCACATCTTCTAAATGCCGATCATTAATTTGTAATGAAACTGCCTATGAACGAACAATGTTTCATGCTAATGACGCGTCCAATTCCTAATGTTTAGTATATGTTTCAGTTCAGAAAAGGCTTTATTGCGTAGAACACGGATATAGCGAACACGGTTAGAGCGAACAAACGAATACAACGAACTGTTACAAATTCCTGATTTATCTCCTATATATTGTCAAATAAAATTTACGTACATAACGAACTCTCAACAGCGACCAACTTTAATATCATGGTTGACATCTGCATAAACATGTTGCTGCTTCCCGCAGGTGTATCTGCCCAACACCCGCCCCGATATCGGCATCAGCTCTCTGGACGGAGGACAGGAGTACTATGAGGCTTGCATCAGGTGGTATCTCTCCGTCAACATGACGGCTCAAGAAGTCCACGACATCGGCCTCCTGGAGGTGGACAGGATCGTCGACAACATGGAGAAGGTGGGGACTGACTGGCGTGGGCGTGGGCGTGGGCGTGGGCGTGGGCGTGGGCGTGGGCGTGGGCATGTATGTGAGTTTGTCCGTGTGTGGTGGTTGGTGTGCGTGCACGTTCACATTTTCTGTTTGAACACAAAGTGTGTACCTCCACATCAATATACTGACTACATTGCATTTGCTTTCCAGATCACGAAGAAGCAGGGTTTTGAAGGCAGCGTCAGCGAATACTTCAAGGACATCATGAATGACACTCGTTTCTTCTTCAACACAGCAGTATGTTAATTACAAGCTAACTCCAACACTTATACTCTATACTCTATTTCAGCTGCTAGATGTTTGTTACACTATCTCAAATACGGATCTCTGTTTAGTTCTACATTTGTAGGGCATTACTCTGGAACATTGATTCCCCAATACATTACTCTGGAACATTGATTCCCAGATACATTACTCTGGAACATTGATTCCCAGATACATTACTCTGGAACATTGATTCCCAGATACATTACTCTGGAACATTGATTCCCAGATACATTACTCTGGAACATTGATTCCCAGATACATTACTCTGGAACATTGATTCCCAGATACATTACTCTGGAACAGCGATTCCCAGATACATTACTCTGGAACAGTGATTCCCAGATACTTTACTCTGGAACATTGATTCCCCAATACATTACTCTGGAACAGTGATTCCCAGATACATTACTATTCCCAGATAAATTACTCTGGAACATTGATTCCCAGATACTTTACTCTGGAACACTGATTCCCAGATACATTACTCTGGAACATTGATTCCCAGATACATTACTCTGGAACATTGATTCCCAGATACATTACTCTGGAACATTGATTCCCAGATACATTACTCTGGAACATTGATTCCCCAATACATTACTCTGGAACAGTGATTCCCAGATACATTACTCTGGAACATTGATTCCCAGATACATTACTCTGGAACAGTGATTCCCAGATACATTACTCTGGAACATTGATTCCCAGATACATTACTCTGGAACAGTGATTCCCAGATACATTACTCTGGAACATTGATTCCCAGATACATTACTCTGGCACATTGATTCCCAGATACATTACTCTGGAACATTGATTCCCAGATACTTTACTCTGGAACAGTGATTCCCAGATACATTACTCTGGAACATTGATTCCCAGATACATTACTCTGGAACATTGATTCCCAGATACATTACTCTGGAACAGTGATTCCCAGATACATTACTCTGGCACATTGATTCCCAGATACATTACTCTGGAACAGTGATTCCCAGATACATTACTCTGGAACAGTGATTCCCAGATACATTACTCTGGAACATTGATTCCCAGATACATTACTCTAGAACATTGATTCCCCAATACATTACTCTGGAACATTGATTCCCAGATACATTACTCTGGAACAGTGATTCCCAGATACATTACTCTAGAACAGTGATTCCCAGATACATTACTCTGGAACATTGATTCCCAGATACATTACTCTGGAACATTGATTCCCCAATACATTACTCTGGAACAGTGATTCCCAAATACATTACTCTAGAACAGTGATTCCCAGATACATTACTCTAGAACAGTGATTCCCAGATACATTACTCTGGAACAGTGATTCCCAGATACATTACTCTAGAACATTGATTCCCAGATACATTACTCTGGAACAGCGATTCCCAGATACATTACTCTGGAACATTGATTCCCAGATACTTTACTCTGGAACAGTGATTCCCAGATACATGACTCTGGAACATTGATTCCCAGACACTTTACTCTGGAACATTGATTCCCAGATACATTACTCTGGAACATTGATTCCCAGATACTTTACTCTGGAACAGTGATTCCCAGATACATTACACTGGAACATTGATTCCCAGATACTTTACTCTGGAACATTGATTCCCAGATACATTACTCTGGAACAGTGATTCCCCAATACATTACTCTGGAACATTGATTCCCAGATACATTACTCTGGAACAGTGATTCCCAGATACATTACTCTAGAACAGTGATTCCCAGATACATTACTCTGGAACATTGATTCCCAGATACTTTACTCTGGAACATTGATTCCCAGATACATTACTCTGGAACAGTGATTCCCAGATACATTACTCTAGAACATTGATTCCCAGATACATTACTCTGGAACAGTGATTCCCCAATACTTTACTCTGGAACAGTGATTCCCAGATACATTACATTGGAACATTCATTCCCAGATACATTACTCTGGAACAGTGATTCCCAGATACATTATTACAGTCATTTTACACATTGACTGATTTTACACATTGAATGTAACATCTTGTTTCACAGGAAGAAATGATAGAGGAGTATGAGAAACAGATCTTCACCGTGGTGGAACCCGAGCTGGAGACGTATTTCAGTGACATGCCAGGGTTGCCAATTGAGTGAGTGTTCGACACACAGCACTTGGGCAAAAACATGTAAAGGAAAAGTGCATCAATGTAATTTATTTATTTGTTTATTTTTTTTGGGTAGGGGTGGGGTGATCACTGACGGGTGTATATGTTGATGTGATTATGCGCAGGGTCCTGCCGACTCCCAACGATGGTCCAATTGGCTCCTACAGCAGTGGGTCAGCAGATGGGTCCAGACCTGGCATTTTCTGGGCCAATGTCCTCCGCCCCGAGTCGAGGTATGTACCAACATCGGTATTTACATATGTCACCTGTCTTGCAATTTGCGTTGTCTTATTTCTTAGTCCGCTGTACACACAAAACATGAGTTATTGCATGGTAACTGTAAGTATGTGGGATGGATACTGGGCGGATGTCATGTTATGACATCGGTTTGTTGCAGCCCCAACCTGACCATGATGGCGCTCACCATCCACGAGGCCAACCCCGGGCATCACCTGCAGGTGCGTGATCAGTCATAGCAACTGAACAGTTGACAAAGTGAAAGAAGCACCCTGCAAATATCTCTCCGAGGTGTTGATGAAGAACATCAACGCTTATTTTACACAAACCATTTCACTCCAACTGTGCTGAATACTCTCTAAGTAAACTATCACCATAACACTCTAACTGTAATTAATACTCCCTATGTAAACCATAACCATAACACTCTAACTGTAATTAATACTTCCTATGTAAACCATAACCATTACACTCTAACTGTAATTAATACTCCCTATGTAAACCATAACCATAACACTCTAACTGTAATTAATACTTCCTATGTAAACCATAACCATTACACTCTAACTGTAATTAATACTCCCTATGTAAACCATAACCATTACACTCTAACTGTAATTAATACTCCCAATGTAAACCATAACCATTACACTGTCGCTGTAAGTAATACCCTCTAAGTAAACTGTCATATTTATGCGATGGAGTTGTATCCAGTCAATAGTTTATTGGTCGTTCAAATATATGGCCGTAATTGAATACGAGTGATTAATTCATGACGTCATTCTTGTAACAAGACATGTTCATTAAACTCATACATGTTGTTTTCTTGTGTTTGAACACAGATCAGCTACTCCATCACATCAGACACGCCCGACTTCCGCCAGAAGATGGAGTCCTCGGCTCACAATAAAGTCCCTTTTGCCTTCCCAAGATATACTGCCTTTGTGGAGGTATGTCCGCTGGACCGCCCGATGTACACTCCGATTGGAGATATATGTCCTCTGGCCCACCTGATATACACTCCGATTGGAGATATATGTCCTCTGGCCCACCCGATATACACTCCGATTGTAGATATATGTCCTCTGGCCCACCCGATATACACTCATATTGTACATATATGTCCTCTGGCCCACCTGATATACACTCATATTGTACATATATGTCCTCTGGCCCACCTGATATACACTCCGATTGGAGATATATGTCCTCTGGCCCACCCGATATACACTCCGATTGTAGATATATGTCCTCTGGCCCACCCGATATACACTCATATTGTACATATATGTCCTCTGGCCCACCTGATATACACTCATATTGTACATATATGTCCTCTGGCCCACCTGATATACACTCCGATTGGAGATATAAGTCCTCTGGCCCACCCGATTTACACTCATATTGTACATATATGTCCTCTGGCCCACCTGATATACACTCCGATTGGAGATATATGTCCTCTGGCCCACCCGATATACACTCATATTGTACATATATGTCCTCTGGCCCACCTGATATACACTCATATTGTACATATATGTCCTCTGGCCCACCTGATATACACTCCGATTGGAGATATATGTCCTCTGGCCCACCCGATATACACTCCGATTGTAGATATATGTCCTCTGGCCCACCCGATATACACTCATATTGTACATATATGTCCTCTGGCCCACCTGATATACACTCATATTGTACATATATGTCCTCTGGCCCACCTGATATACACTCCGATTGGAGATATAAGTCCTCTGGCCCACCTGATATACACTCCGATTGGAGATATATGTCCGCTGGCCAACCCGATAAACACTCCAATTGTAGATATATGTACCCTGGCCCGACCGATATACACTCCAATTGTAGATATATGTAGGCTGGCCCACCATATATGCACTCCAGTTGTAGATATATGTCCGCTGGCTCAACCAATATACACTCCAATTGTAGATATATGTCCTCTGGCCCACCCGATATACACTCCGACTGTAGATATAAGTCCGATGTCCCACCATATATGCACTCCAGTTGTAGATATATGTCCGCTGGCCCTCCCGATAAACACTCCAATTGTAGATATATGTCCGCTGTCCCACCATATATACACTCCAATTGTAGATATATGTCCGCTGGCCCACCCGATATACATTCCAGTTGTAGATATATGTCCGCTGGCCCACCCGATATACATTCCAGTTGTAGATATATGTCCTCTGGCTCAACCAATATACGCTCCAATTGTAGATATATGTCCTCTGGCCCACCCGATATACACTCCGACTGTAGATATAAGTCCGCTGTCCCACCATATATGCACTCCAGTTGTAGATATATGTCCGCTGGCCCACCCGATAAACACTCCAATTGTAGATATATGTCCGCTGTCCCACAATATATACACTCCAATTGTAGATATATGTCCGCTGGCCCACCATATATACACTCCAGTAGTAGATATATGTCCTCTGGCCCATCCGATATACATTCCAATTGTAGATATATGTCCGCTGGCCCACCCGATATACATTCCAGTTGTAGATATATGTCCTCTGGCTCAACCAATATACGCTCCAATTGTAGATATATGTCCTCTGGCCCACCCGATATACACTCCGACTGTAGATATAAGTCCGCTGTCCCACCATATATGCACTCCAGTTGTAGATATATGTCCGCTGGCCCACCCGATAAACACTCCAATTGTAGATATATGTCCGCTGTCCCACAATATATACACTCCAATTGTAGATATATGTCCGCTGGCCCACCATATATACACTCCAGTAGTAGATATATGTCCTCTGGCCCACCCGATAAACACTCCAATTGTAAATATAGGTCCGCTGGCCAACCCGATAAACACTCCAATTGTAGATATATGTACCCTGGCCCGACCGATATACACTACAATTGTAGATATATGTCCTCTGGTCCACCCGATATACACTACAATTGTAGATATATGTCCTCTGGCCCACCCGATATACACTCCAATTGTAGATATATGTCCTCTGGTCCACCCGATATACACTACAATTGTAAATATATGTCCTCTGGCCCACCCGATATACACTCCAATTGTAAATATAGGTCCGCTGGCCAACCCGATAAACACTCCAATTGTAAATATAGGTCCGCTGGCCAACCCGATAAACACTCCAATTGTAAATATAGGTCCGCTGGCCAACCCGATAAACACTCCAATTGTAGATATATGTACCCTGGCCCGACCGATATACACTCCAATTGTAGATATATGTAGGCTGGCCCACCCGATATACACTCCAATTGTAGATATATGTCCTCTGGTCCACCCGATATACACTCCAATTGTAGATATAAGTCCTCTGGCCCACCCGATTTACACTCATATTGTACATATATGTCCGCTGGCCCTACTGATATACACTCCGATTGGAGATATATGTCCGCTGTCCCACCATATATACACTCCGGTTGTAGACATATGTCCGCTGGCCCACCCGATATACACTCCAATTGTAGATATATGTCCGCTGTCACACCATATATACACTCCAGTTGTAGATATATGTCCGCTTGTCCACCCGATATACACTCCAGTTGTAGATATATGTCCGCTGGCCCACCCGATATACACTCCAATTGTAGATATATGTCCTCTGGTCCACCCGATATACACTCCAATTGTAGATATATGTCCTCTGGTCCACCCGATATACACTCCAATTGTAGATATAAGTCCTCTGGCCCACCCGATTTACACTCATATTGTACATATATGTCCGCTGGCCCACCTGATATACACTCCGATTGGAGATATATGTCCGCTGTCCCACCATATATACACTCCGGTTGTAGACATATGTCCTCTGGTCCACCCGATATACACTACAATTGTAAATATATGTCCTCTGGCCCACCCGATATACACTCCAATTGTAAATATAGGTCCGCTGGCCAACCCGATAAACACTCCAATTGTAAATATAGGTCCGCTGGCCAACCCGATAAACACTCCAATTGTAAATATAGGTCCGCTGGCCAACCCGATAAACACTCCAATTGTAGATATATGTACCCTGGCCCGACCGATATACACTCCAATTGTAGATATATGTAGGCTGGCCCACCCGATATACACTCCAATTGTAGATATATGTCCTCTGGTCCACCCGATATACACTCCAATTGTAGATATAAGTCCTCTGGCCCACCCGATTTACACTCATATTGTACATATATGTCCGCTGGCCCACCTGATATACACTCCGATTGGAGATATATGTCCGCTGTCCCACCATATATACACTCCGGTTGTAGACATATGTCCGCTGGCCCACCCGATATACACTCCAATTGTAGATATATGTCCGCTGTCACACCATATATACACTCCAGTTGTAGATATATGTCCGCTTGTCCACCCGATATACACTCCAGTTGTAGATATATGTCCGCTGGCCCACCCGATATACACTCCAATTGTAGATATATGTCCTCTGGTCCACCCGATATACACTCCAATTGTAGATATATGTCCTCTGGTCCACCCGATATACACTCCAATTGTAGATATAAGTCCTCTGGCCCACCCGATTTACACTCATATTGTACATATATGTCCGCTTGTCCACCCGATATACACTCCAGTTGTAGATATATGTCCGCTGTCACACCATATATACACTCCAGTTGTAGATATATGTCCGCTTGTCCACCCGATATACACTCCAGTTGTAGATATATGTCCGCTGGCCCACCCGATATACACTCCAATTGTAGATATATGTCCTCTGGTCCACCCGATATACACTCCAATTGTAGATATATGTCCTCTGGTCCACCCGATATACACTCCAATTGTAGATATAAGTCCTCTGGCCCACCCGATTTACACTCATATTGTACATATATGTCCGCTGGCCCACCTGATATACACTCCGATTGGAGATATATGTCCGCTGTCCCACCATATATACACTCCGGTTGTAGACATATGTCCTCTGGTCCACCCGATATACACTACAATTGTAAATATATGTCCTCTGGCCCACCCGATATACACTCCAATTGTAAATATAGGTCCGCTGGCCAACCCGATAAACACTCCAATTGTAAATATAGGTCCGCTGGCCAACCCGATAAACACTCCAATTGTAAATATAGGTCCGCTGGCCAACCCGATAAACACTCCAATTGAAGATATATGTACCCTGGCCCGACCGATATACACTCCAATTGTAGATATATGTAGGCTGGCCCACCCGATATACACTCCAATTGTAGATATATGTCCTCTGGTCCACCCGATATACACTCCAATTGTAGATATAAGTCCTCTGGCCCACCCGATTTACACTCATATTGTACATATATGTCCGCTGGCCCACCTGATATACACTCCGATTGGAGATATATGTCCGCTGTCCCACCATATATACACTCCGGTTGTAGACATATGTCCGCTGGCCCACCCGATATACACTCCAATTGTAGATATATGTCCGCTGTCACACCATATATACACTCCAGTTGTAGATATATGTCCGCTTGTCCACCCGATATACACTCCAGTTGTAGATATATGTCCGCTGGCCCACCCGATATACACTCCAATTGTAGATATATGTCCTCTGGTCCACCCGATATACACTCCAATTGTAGATATATGTCCTCTGGTCCACCCGATATACACTCCAATTGTAGATATAAGTCCTCTGGCCCACCCGATTTACACTCATATTGTACATATATGTCCGCTGGCCCACCTGATATACACTCCGATTGGAGATATATGTCCGCTGTCCCACCATATATACACTCCGGTTGTAGACATATGTCCGCTGGCCCACCCGATATACACTCCAATTGTAGATATATGTCCGCTGTCACACCATATATACACTCCAGTTGTAGATATATGTCCGCTTGTCCACCCGATATACACTCCAGTTGTAGATATATGTCCGCTGGCCCACCCGATATACACTCCGATTGTAGATATATGTCCTCTGGCCCACCTGATATACACTCCGATTCGAGATATAAGTCCCCTGGCCCACCCAATATACACTCCAGTTGTAGACATATGTCCTCTGGCCCACCCGATATACACTCCGATTGTAAATAAATGTCCTTTGGCTCCCCCGATATACACTCCAATTGTAGATATATGTCCTTTGGCTCCCCCGATATACACTTCATTTGACCTATATTGTAATCAAACGGGTCTTACCGCACAATGTGCATGAAATATCTTGAGCACCTTGATAAAAAAAAACATGGAAAGATTTGGAAAATATCTGTTGACTCCCAGTTGACGTACGTGCTTTGCAATTCCTGCAATCGACCGTAATCTGCAGGGCAGTCGCCATGTCTTTGACAAACCGAATTTCGGTACGCAATTTTGATTAGACTATGCATAGACCTGCATTGTCGCATAGTCCAGCCAAAACATAGCTCAGAAATTCCAGCCCAGGCAAAGGTGAAAACTGGACATACCTCTTAACTCCCTTGCCTCGGGACATGTGTATAGGTTCAGGAATATATCCTATGTTGTGATGTCAGTCATCATATTGTCTGTGACAGGGCTGGGCGCTGTACTCCGAGTTCCTGGGCGAGGAGATGGGGCTCTACAGAGATGACTATGAACTGTAAGTGTGTTCCCTTCGACAGAACAATTTACTCACGTGTAAGGGCTCCAAGCTTATCCCTACCATACCAACAACCTAAATACAACCGTTTGCTACACAAGACATTTGTATAATACGTTAAAGTTTATTCCAGGATGGGACGATACAGTTCTGAAATGTTCCGAGCGTGTAGACTGGTTGTGGACACGGGCATACATGCCTTCAAGTATGTATTGATTTGCGTACGTGACAGTGAACTTAAAAATATGTAGAAGTAAATGAGATCTTGTGCGTTAATCAGTTGGAATCTCCCGAATATATCCTAGTTTCAAACTGAAACCTTCTTAGAAATAGCGTTTAATCTAATACGGCATATTGATAATATCTATGTCCTTGTACACAGTTAATACTTCTTCCGCACTGTCCACGTTTTTTACATATTCCCTGTCGTGTAATCAGATGTCATGTTGGCACAGCTGGACACGCGACGGGGCCATCGAGTACATGCTTAACTACACGGCCAGGTCGTATGAGGCTGTTGCAGTAGAGATTGACCGCTACATCACGTGGCCTGGTCAAGCGCTGGCCTACAAGATCGGGGAGATCAAGATTCTAGAGCTGAGACGAAAAGCGGAGCAGGAGCTCGGTGAGAACCGATGTACTGCTTGTAATTTTAGTAGTAGTCAAATTTGTAGGGAATTTTTCTTTCATTGACGATATCAAGAACACCAAAGTTTTGTTCTTTCAAGCAGTTATCTAATCATAACTGAACCGTTTTTCGGGGAAACCCTGGCTGCCTTGTTAATGTACCCGAGTCAATACGCATCTACGAATGTATGTTGGTGGAGGTATATATTTACCGGATCCTGGAATGCTGGCCATTTGTGAGTAGAAGTCTTTAAGTTAGTCGTTGAAGACTGAAGGTATGGAACTGACCCACATATATATTTGTCCTGTTGAGCTCGCTATTGTTACCATTAGGTTAAATGTACATAAGATATATTTTCAACTGTTTTCAGGTGACAGGTTTGACATCAGGGAGTTTCATTCTGTTGTCCTCAAAAGTGGAACCCTTCCCCTGACAGTACTGGAGGACCTCGTGAATGATTGGCTTGATTCCTACCCCGACCCAGCCACCCCTGCCCCAGCTACCCCTGCCCCTACCACATGTGGCACTGTGGGTCTTGCGTCGTCGCTTGTGTGGGTGTGCGGGGTTCTCGGCCTGTACGCCCTCCCTGCAAACCTATAGGAGGGCATCACCCTCATGTGTGTTCCCTGTTACATTGATTGTTGTTGACTGTCTAGTATGTGTTGATTCCTGGTTGTGTACTGCATAGCACTTATCTGTATGATCCAGATCTCGTTTTATCGAAAAAATATAAATAGTCAGGCTCATAGGTTCAATTAAAAAAATATCTGGTTTTGCAGCTGTAACTGAAAAAAATATCTAATCTCCAGACAAAATAGCAACACTGATAAACAGACTATCGTCATCATCTCACCTATGTTCAGGTCAGGCAAGTGTTTTTAGAATACAACATAAAGGGAATTTGGAATCTACAATCTGTATACACTATGTCTCGATGCCATCCCGTGAATACTACCTGTATCTATCATTCACCCGATGAAGAGTAGATTTTTTCAGTTATCATAGTCTCAGTATAACTCTGACAGATGTTTCGTTCGTGTTAATGCTGCATGTGTATATGCCCAACCCCTGTGGTATATGTATCATGTATGTTTCAAAGTGCTATATAACGCTCCATGTGGCGGTCGTATATATCCACATAAGGATTTATCAAGCAGCACCTGATTAAAAAGACAGTTCCGAAAAATATGTACAAAACATGATCTGAACCCAACTGAACCACTTTGGGATTACACTGGCCACCAAGTAGGAGCTAGAGACCCTCCACTTCAAGCTGAACGAACTGACCCAGGCACTGCACCCGGGGGATCGCAGTGTGGAACGAACTGACCCAAGCATTTCCCCCGGAGGATCCCAATGTGGAACGAACTGACCCAGGCATTGCACACGGAGGATCCCAGTGTGGAACGAACTGACCCAGGCATTGCACACGGAGGATCCCAGTGTGGAACGAACTGACCCAGGCATTGCACACGGAGGATCCCAGTGTGGAACGAACTGACCCAGGCATTGCACCCGGAGGATCCCAATGTGGAACGAACTGACCCAGGCATTGCACCCGGAGGATCCCAATGTGGAACGAACTGACCCAGGCATTGCACACGGAGGATCCCAATGTGGAACGAACTGACCCAGGCACTGCACCCGGGGATCCCAGTGTGGAGTGAACTGACCCAGGCACTGCACCCGGGGATCCCAGTGTGGAGTGAACTGACCCAGGCACTGCACCCGGGGATCCCAGTGTGGAGTGAACTGACCCAGGCACTGCACCCGGGGATCCCAGTGTGGAGTGAACTGATCCAGGCACTGCACCCGGGGATCCCAGTGTGGAACGAACTGACCCAGGCACTGCATCCGGGGATCCCAGTGTGGAGTGAACTGACCCAGGCACTGCACCCGGGGATCCCAGTGTGGAGCATCAGACGTCTGAAAAGCAGCATGAGGAAATGCCTCGTGAGTGTCATCACTGAGAATGCAGTTTGTGTTGCTCTTCGGTGCCTTTGAGAACAATTCAGTGAATAATTTTGTTTCTAACTGTACATTTTGTCATTTGTAATATATATTTTGTCTTTTGATGGGGATATCGTCCTTCTTGGTATTGTTATCCCAAATTACCCTATCATCCTGAACTGCCATACCATATACGTTCACTCAGCGAAATACATAATCAGCTGCATGTGCATACTTAAAATAAAATATTGTTTTACCGCTAAAGTTCTACACCATTTTACCATACAATTACAAATAAACATTGCTTCAGTTTTTGTGTGTTTCAGACCAGTATACCACGTGTTGTGTATTTGTTGTCATTCATCCAGAATAAACTCTAAACATTATTTAACACTTTGCTATCCCCACGTAGACTTATTCTAAAGAAACTGCAGCTCACGATGAACCCGCGTTCTGATTTAAATAATGAATTAAAAATATATTAATTACTTTATCTATGAAAACACCCCTCTCCATAAAACAATAGAATCGAGTGTTTGGTTTGAAGCTGTCTGATATCACAAATCATACATTTTCATTATTTAAATCAGAATTTGGGAATTATGTGACGGGACTAAACGGTGGGCATATGTTTCGTTCTGGAAGTAGAATATGTTCAGGGCCAGACATAACATCTACAGATAAGCCTTGAGTAATCTCTCACGTTACAATGGAGAATCTCCACGTAGCAGGGACGATAATCTAAGACAAACCAAAGACAGCATACCCTTTAAACACACAACACATTTTAAAAACGGTAAAATTTAATTGATAAAGTAATAACAATACAAATATATTATTCATTTGCAATAACGCAATTCAGATTCTACATGAAAGAGATCTACAAAGAAAGACAAGCACCCTGTGAAATGCACACGTGTATTCTGTGCGGCAGTCGGTGTTGGCAGTGTGACTCTCCGTGGCGTGAGACACCATCTGCCTCCACACTGCATCCCCTTCACGTCTCTGAAGACATGCTAAAACATCAATAAATCATACTGTGCCCTGCCTGACTTCAAGAACACCTATACTTCACCCCATCCAGGTTCCTGCATAAAGTGTTGACCATCACCTGGGTGCTATAGCACACAACGTCATAGTAACATCATACATACTTCACTCCAAAAACCTTGAACATATTCCAGCCGACCGCGTGTAGCATGATAACGGTGCTGATGTGCTCACACATACCAAAAGTAGAAGTATCTACTCTCACATGCATATAGTGTTACTAAGATAGACACAGTGAATAATCGAGACAGCTAAAGCCTGCCGGAGAACTCCATGAAGACGACCAATATGACAATCCGTGTGATGCAATGGTTCACACAAACAGGCTATTTGTATAGTAAGAGTATCGCAATCCACTACAAAAGATTATATGGAATGTATTTGACAGGCGCAGACAGTTGCCATTTTCCTATAATCAGAAAATGCTTTAAATAAATGCGGAATGTGATTACTATATTATTAAAATACACGAAATATCATTGTAGCTCATTGACAACATACTCATCAATTAAATATACAGCTATTTGTTAATATTTACTTCATGGGTAACAATCAGCACCATTAGTTAGTATTACTTCTTCAATCTATGAAATCAAAACTTCTTTGTGAGGTCATCAATGATGGCGTTCCTTGTGGTGAAGATAAACTGCTTGTAAATCTAGCAAATCCTTCTACCATCAACCATGTTAGCTATTTGGTGTCACTCTTCAGCAGTTAAGGCAGAGGTTTTCCAAGGGACTTAAACGCCTTCATGGCCTTCACACCTCTCATCAACTTGGTCTTGGCATTTTCAAACTTCTGTACAATGATCTTATTCTTAGGGTCAATATCCAGTTTGCTTGGGTCCGCCACCACCCTGGCTTTGATGAAGCCCTTCATGATGGCTTCGTGCACGGAGATCTTCTGATGGGTCTTGTTGTTGATGTACTCACCGGTCTCCTTGTCCAGAAGCCCCTGTCTGATGGCGTCACTGAACGGCACCTTTTCCTTCCGCAGCTGGTCAACCACGCCACTCACGCTGTACGTCTTCGTCACAACCTCTGGCTTTACATGTGGCTGATGCTTTTCGTCATACTCCACCACCACTAGTCCGCTGGAGATGGCGTCAGCTATTGCCATCTTCTCCCCAGAATCAGTCTTGTATTCCGCACAGCTGCTGTCCACGACTCCCCTTTCCATTGCCAGGTCGAGAGACAGTCTCTCATCTGTGTGTGGGTCAAGAACAGCCAGGATGCTGAAGGGCCGTGTCTCGTGAGTGGTCTTGATAGTGATCAAGCCAAAGGTCTTCTTCTCTTCACGGATCTTTTGCTTCGACACAATCTCCATGAGTATCTTTCCGTCATTGATGGCCTCGTTGACATCCATAGACCGCCCGGAACGTGGGTTAATGTACAGACCCTTAGCCTGGTCGATGATTCCCTTCAAGATGGCTTCCTGTAGAGTCATCTCGTTGTTGTTGTTCGGATCTAACACTCCCTGGGGAAATATCAATACACATTCAATTTCACAAAGTTAATAGCAAAATGGCTGATCGCTTTAAGAGTTTTTAGCAGCTGTAGTAGGAATAAGACAGGGTTGACTTTTATACATCAACTTCTTTTGTATGTCAGTGCTTCACGTTCTTGGTACACTGTTACCTAAAGTACTTGTATCTCTATAGTTGTAATGAAACGACAAGCGTTGAAGTCCTTCAGTCCTTAACCGGTCTTTGTTTGATTGATTGTTTGTTTGTTGTTTAACGCCGCACTCAGCAATATTCCAGCTATATGACTGCGGTCTGTAAATAATCGTTCTGGGCCAGACAACCCAGTGATTGATATCACGAGCATCATTCCACGCGATTGGAACACGATGACATGCATCAACTAAGTGAGCAAGCCTGACCACCCGATGCCGTTAGTCTCCTCTTACGACAAGCACGGGTTAGTGAAGACCTATTCTACCCCAGATCTTCCCTGGTCTCAAACCTGTTTTCACTCAATTGCAATTGAAGTTTTTTATATACATTTTGCATTTCATGGAAGATTATACTGGGGTGTGACTCCTACCTTGACAATAAAAGTGTGACATTCCTCCACCTCCTCCGACACAACCTCCTCGGAGGTCGTCTCCTCATGCTGTGTCTCCACGGTCACCTCACTACTGACTGGCATCGCCTCCCGTGGCGTCTCGTACAGCGCCAGCGATGCTTGCGACTTCTTGATGTCCTCAATATCCAGGTGTGTGTCCCAGAACCTGACAAACATACACACAGTTACGATCCATCCGTGAATACACCCCTGAGTTCATCTGACAAACATACACACAGTTACCATCCATCCGTGAATACACCCCTGAGTACATCTGACAAACATTCACACAGTTACCATCCATCCAAGAATACACACACTGAGTACATCTGACAAACATTCACGCAGTTACCATCCATCCAAGAATACACACACTGAGTACATCTGACAAACATTCACGCAGTTACCATCCATCCGTGAATACAAACCCTGAGTAAATCGGACAAACACGCAAACTTCCATGTACCAATTATCCATCCATGAAGACAAACGCTGTTTAAATTTATACCCATTTCTAAACGACTTGATGAACCTTCTAATGCATACAAATACTGAGATCATATTGTTGTAGTCTTATGAACTAATGACAGTGTGTGACAGTGTAGTGGCATTTGATATTGTTACTAATCACTAATCAGTAACAGCGACAAGTTGTTAAGTGTCAGGATGAGGAATGTGGACTGACTTGACGAAGTGGGCTGTTGTGATGTATCGGAGCTGGTCCCACTTGTCACACACCAGCAGGTGCTTGGGCTGTTTCAGAAGCTCCACGATCACCTTGAACGTCTCCCAGTACGCCCAGAAGTCCTACATCAGCAACACAAGTCAAGCATGATAGTCAGAGACACTGAGCTGAATCTTTTGCATCTCTGGTCAGACAATAAATGAATACATCTTAACTACACATGTGCTTTTATTCGTCATTTTAGTGTAAGAGTCTACTACAACCCCTTGAGCATTTTAATGTTAAGCTCATTTAAGGAACTATATGTCCATACACTTTTGACTTTACGAGTAGTTATTGCTATGAGGTATGTATACCTCTTTAATATTTGAACGTATGATATGATTAATATATAAGTACATAACTTTGCCTTAATGTGTAAGAAAGGTTGATTTTGACCTTTTAGGGAACATCTAAAGAAGAGAAAGAGATCTTTTACTACAGGTATGTTTTATTTCTTAACCAACATCTCCTTTGAAAATTACCCCAAGTCTCACTCTCAAGTGACAGAAAACGCTTCACAAAAGCGTATTCACACTTTTGAAATATTTTGGCCTAACACTTCACAAAAGCGTATTCACACTTTTGAAATATTTTGGCCTAACATATTCATTTGGTGTTGTAAGTCCTGCACGTATTGAAAAATGATGACAAGAACTCATTCCCTTCCGTGCGAACACATCTTTTTAAATATTAAGGTTAAAAACATCTATTTCTAACATAGATGCCATTTGTTTGGGGGGGGGCAAGTGTCGTTATCATACGTGGTCGAATGTCTGTGTGCGATCTATACACCAAATGCTATGTAAATCCATGTCGATGTACGTACACTGTATTTCATCAGCATCTCCTCCAGTGTCTTGATCTGCACCACGACAGTCGACAGCAGCTCGTCATCTGCAACCCACCAACATGTCCATCATTTACACCCATCCACCTGTCATCCTACTCGGGTTCTCTGGCCACATAACGTATACATACACACCAATGATCTGCATCAATATATTGATGTCTGTGTCAGTAAGACAGATATAAGCGCTTCTATACACGCAGTTTCTCCATACCGGAAACACCCCCTTCCGGCGCCTCTTCCAGAATCATACGCAGTCTTGCCATTCGTTCCTCCAGCTCGCTGTAGTCGGTGTAGCCTGTCCAGTTCTTGCCCAACGTGTCCTCGATGTACTTGAGTATGCGCAGAAGCTCCAGCTTGTCCGTCTTCTTCATACACTGGAGGATGGACACCTGGACACACGTCACGTGATACGTCAGTGAGGTGGACATGAGAGGAGAAGTAACAAGGACATAACAACTAATCATTTAACAAGAAGGTTGCCATGATAAATCTTATTTACACCACGTTTTATGTGGAGAGAATATTTACACATATTATTGAAGGATAAAGTTACAAGAAGTATCTACAAGGGATGTATTCTCACAATATTTTTGACAATATACTGCTTTATCTTTATTGTAAAGTTTGGTGAATTTTAACAAGAAGCTATGGGAAATCTGTTCTTCCGCAGCCACTGTACAAACAGTTTGGTTAGTACAAATCACAAAGATGATCAACACCGAAGTGAAATTGTTAGTAAAAATGTGGGTGAGGACAATAGCGAGCTGTGTAGTGAAAGTCTTCAGGTAAAGTATGCGTTGATGTTACCGTGGACCCCTGCAGCCACTATCATTTGTTATCAAATATTTCAATTGACCATAAGTGTAAATGATTGGGTGTATATCGTTATGTATTGTGATGGTTTATAATGACTCCTTTCGGCAATACCTTACGTTCTGCTAGTGCATTCGAAAGCTACAATGTATCTGCCCGAAGAAGAATGGGCTGTTGAATTGTCTTGTGGATGAATGGAATAGGGTGTAGGATTGGCTTGTGGATGGAAAGAATAGGGTGTAGGATTGGCTTGTGGATGGAAAGAATAGGGTGTAGGATTGGCTTGTGGATGGAAAGAATAGGGTGTAGGATTGGCTTGTGGATGTGTAGATGGAATGGATGAGATGTGGAACTGGCGTGTAGGTAGAGTAGATCGGATGTAGGTGTGGCTGTAGACGGAAGGCAGTGTGTGCCTCGTGATAGTTGATACAATGCAAATGTCGAAAGAATGACGTAAGAGAAATAATGGCCGGTCCCTATATGATAGTCTTCAAAGATACCATCAACAGATATTCCTAGAAAGTATGTGTATATACCAGGGTTGATTGACAGGTTTTAAGTGCGTTATAGTGAATAATTTATTGTGGACATCACATGATGTCATGGAGGTACTAGTATATCCACAAAACTGGAGTCAACTGAGCAAATGGTTTCGCTGTGACATCCACCTGTCATAAAATAAGCAGCGGTCTGTGAATACACTTTGTGCTACAAATAGCGTGTTGTGTCGGTTGTGCCAAAGAAAGGATGCTAAATTGGACAAACTTGAGGAACGTGCTTAGAACTTATCAATCAACCCTCCTGAGTATATATTTACAAAAGATATTCAATTCAGATAAATATCTCCCCAAGAGTGCGTAATTCAACAAAAGCCTAGGCGATAACACAACAGTGCGCGTCGGCAACACAACATTATCACATCAACACAACGTAATTGACACATGCACAGTCAATGGAAAAAAGCATCGCCTACTACACACAACATTTTAAAATGAACATTTGTAACCAGATTTGATATGCCTATCACGTTTATCTTATGCGCTTTAGAAACACCAGAACCTTGGTTGAGGCCGGCCACCCAAGTATACACATGCACAGTCTGCATACAATAGCTCTCTGATACAATCAACAGTTTGCATCCCATAATAGTCGTGTCCTTAGCCCGAAACATTACTTTCACCTTTATACATTTCTTATGATTACTACTGCGCACTTGACGTGTTACAATATGTGTTTGATATAGAGGAGTTCCAAATACGTGGAAAACGTGTTGTTACATTGTTATACACGACACAGGACGAGCTGGAGACAACACAGACAAGCACATGGCCCGTTACCTTGTCCTTAGAGTTGGCATTCTGCGTGAAGAGATTAGGTTATCAGTTTATGGAGATCAACAGTACGTCAATACAGGATATAATGCATACCATAGATGGACATAGGGCATCAAGTTAACACAGAGAAGCGTCATTCTCCTATCCCATGCATGGTTTAGCACAGCAACAAAGCAGACATAACCAGCAAAGCTTGTACCCTAGACAGCGAGGAGCATACCACCCTCAACAGTCCTGAACTTCGTTGTAGAGGCTATGTTAACCGCGGCGTGCTTCCGTCTCATTATGTTAGTATAGATGCCTCCCTCCCTCTCCTCAAGTCTGTGACTACTAGGTGCTGCATGCTTAAGTCTCATTATGTAACTGCTGATCGATGCTTATCAACACTCCCTCACTCCCCTAAAGTCTGTGACTCCTAGGTGCTGCATGCTTAAGTCTCATTATGTAACTGCTGATCGATGCTTATCAACACTCCCTCCCTCTCTTTAAGTCTGTGACTCCTAGGTGCTGCATGCTTAAGTCTCATTATGTAACTGCTGATCGATGCTTACCCACACTCCCTCCCTCTCTTAAAGTCTGTGACTCCTAGGTGCTGCATGCTTAAGTCTCATTATGTAACCGCTGATCGATGCTTATCAACACTCCCTCCCTCTCTTTAAGTCTGTGACTCCTAGGTGCTGCATGCTTAAGTCTCATTATGTAACTGCTGGTCGATGCTTACCCAAATTCTCTCTCTTCACACCTGCCACTACTAGGTGTTGCATGGTGCAGATGTTTTGCTCACGGTTAAAACTCACTATGATACAAATCCATTTCTAAATCTCTAATATATACTTTAAAGGCAGGTGTCCCTGGCATATTTGACGACAATGTTGTATTTAAGAGGAGGAGGCTACTGTTACTATAAGGTGAGACTACTGCTCCCATCTGTCCTCGGCCACCTACCTCATCCTCGTCCCAGTCCTTGAAGACGATTAGCATGAAGGCCAGCATCTGGTACCCAAGGCGCTTCACTGAAGTCGTCCACAGTGACAACAACTGCAGTCGGAGTCTGGACAACACAAACAGGATCGTCACTTTAGTGTAAGACAGGTTGGCATAATTTAGACAGTTCGTAGAAACGAGTGCGTTTTGGTTGAATGCTGCTTTTAACATTGTAACAATTTTATATCATGAGGTTCCATGTGGTCGTCTAGCGTGAATCCGATGGTACATAACAGCTGATTCAGGGGGTAAAGGGACATAACTCTGCTCAGCGGGTTGTGTTGCCCTAAACCACTATGGACCCATTGTAGACGTGTCCATGTGATGGAAATAAATTATGTGTCGCAGTAAGGGAAGACAATTACCTTATTATAATGATTTATTTCAGTACCTGATCGCAGCGTCCACTGCCTCGCCGGACGGCCCCGGGATCACCAGTATTACGGCCGGCACTTCTCCAGTCTGACCACGACTGTTGGTCACCTAACAAAGCACCAGGTAATTACTAACCGTCACTAGCATCCTGTACAATAATAACATACCGTCACTAACATGTTGTACAATAATAACATACCATCACGAACATGATGTAATATAATATCATACCGTCACGAACATGATGTACAATAATAACATATTCTCACAAGCATCCTGTACAATAATAACATACTCTCACAAGCATCCTGTACAATAATAACATACCGTCAATAACATGTTGTACAATAAAAACATACCGTCACTAGCATCCTGTACAATAATAACATAGCGTCACTAGCATCCTGTACAATAATAACATAGCGTCACTAGCATCCTGTACAATAATAACATAGCGTCACTAGCATCCTGTACAATAATAACATACCGCCACTAACATGATGTACAATAATAACATACCGTCACGAACATGATGTAATATAATACCATACCGTCACTAACATGTTGTACTATAATAACATACAGTCACTAGCATGTTGTACTATAATAACATACCGTCACTAGCATGTTGTACAATAATAACATACCGTTACTAACATCCTGTACAATAATAACATACCGTTACTAACATCCTGTACAGTAGTAACATACCGTCACTAACATCTTGTACAATAATAACATACCGTTACTAACATCCTGTACAATAATAACATACCGTCACTAACATCCTGTACAATAATAACATACCGTCACTAACATCCTGTACAATAATAACATACCGTCACTAACATCCTGTACAGTAGTAACATACAGAACCACTCATCGATGTTGGACAATCAAACATGCAGTTACGTAGCAGCTGAAACACTGGCAAACATTGGTTAGCGAGCTGAGAACCACAACCTAATGTGTTTCGCCTGAATCTGAAAAGCGCATGCTTACCCTCCACTTCCGGCGGTTGGTGTTGTCAACGACGGTAATAGTCTCCCCTTCATTCAGCTCGATCTGCAAGCACACGTAGATATGATTGGTCAGTGAAATTAGCTTAATTTGTCAGTTCGAACCACTAGCTCCACATCACAGAATTCCGACAGGTACACTGGGTGACAGCCTTACCTCGTCTGAGCGGAAGTCGGTCAGCACCAGAGCAGGACGTGGGTCAGTCAGCTTCTTGAGCCTCAGCGGCACGGGGACTATGTTCCTGCTGCGGTCAAACAGATTGTCCACCTTGGTCTGCCACTGTAGGTAGGCCAGGAGCACGTCCTGGACACAGAGACGGGGATATTATAATACATTCTACCATGGATTTGCCAAAACATAACTAAATCGGACTGGTAAGTCAGAAGGTTCAATTACAATTACCAAGTTTGGTTGAAACAACAGATTTGACGTCTGCATCGCCGCCACAGCCGACATCAAATAAAAGAGTACTTCTTCATTTGCCATACTCGGTGGGCATTTTGAAGAAGTGATATAAACAATTATAGGTTATAAGGTGCAGAATTGTGGGAAAATAGTTAAAGTATTACATATTGTGAAAAGACGTCAGCAATCGACTAGTGCAACGAGAGTGTAATTTAAGTATGTTGACAACCGAATGCTTGTCAAACATTTTTTGTCACAGAGCGGTGGAACGACTTTATTTATGATCGAATTAAAAAACAATATTTGACCATCTACTGTTATATAAGTTTACATGTTTTAATTGATGTTTATTCAAGACATTCAAAAGACTGGACACAACCCCTGCCGCGTAACTCAATATTCACGTTTTATATTGTCATGGTAGAATGGAGACTAACATGCCATTTTCTCAATGGTGAGGTATGTTACCTGAAGACCTAACCGCACTGACACGCACACGCACACAGTACGTTTATCCCGAACTTTACAACAATGTTGTCAATAAAAAGGGATTTAGTGTTACTGATTCCTTTATTCTAAACGCCTTGATGTATCGACGTGCTGTGGGTTGTGCAATGACAAAGTTGACATTACACCAAGTTGATGAGTCCTTGTGGACCTACCCTGATCTCATTCAGAATGGCTCTGGCGTCCGCCCTGTCTCCATTGAGCTTCTGTCGGTCGAACGAGAGATGGATCCGGGACAGTGTGGTGTTCATCCAATACTCCGCCTCCTCCACCTCGTGGAAGTACTGCAACACCAACCACACTGAACTCAAAGCACGGGGAACCGTTACATGGCAACACCAACCACACTGAACTCAAAGCACGGGGAACCGTTACATGGCAACACCAACCACACTGAACTCAAAGCACGGGAACCGTTACATGGCAACACCAACCACACTGAACTCAAAGCACGGGGAACCGTTACATGGCAACACCAACCACACTGAACTCAAAGCACGGGGAACCGTTACATGGCAGCACCAACCACACTGAACTCAAAGCACGGGGAACCGTTACATGGCATCATCAACCACACTGAACTCAAAGCACGGGGAACTGTTACATGGCAACACCAACCACACTGAACTTAAAGCACGGGGAACTGTTACATGGCAACACCAACCACACTGAACTCAAAGCACGGGAACCGTTACATGGCAACACCAACCACACTGAACTCAAAGCACGGGCAACCGTTACATGGCAACACCAACCACACTGAACTCAAAGCACGGGCAACCGTTATATGGCAACACCAACCACACTGAACTCAAAGCACGGGGAACCATTACATGGCAACACCGACCAAACTCAACTCAAAGCACGGGGAACCGTTACATGGCAACACCAACCACACTGAACTCAAAGCACGGGGAACCGGTACATGGCAACACCAACCACACTGAACTCAAAGCACGGGCAACCGTTACATGGCAACACCAACCACACTGAACTCAAAGCACGGGCAACCTCTACATGGCAACACCAACAACACTGAACTCAAAGCACGGGGAACCGGTACATGGCAACACCAACCACACTGAACTCAAAGCACGGGGAACCGTTACATGGCAACACCAACCACACTGAACTCAAAGCACGGGGAACCGTTACATGGCAACACCAACCACACTGAACTCAAAGCACGGGAACCGTTATATGGCAACACCAACCACACTGAACTCAAAGCACGGGGAACCGTTACATGGCAACACCAACCACACTGAACTCAAAGCACGGGGAACCGGTACATGGCAACACCAACCACACTGAACTCAAAGCACGGGCAACCGTTACATGGCAACACCAACCACACTGAACTCAAAGCACGGGCAACCTCTACATGGCAACACCAACCACACTGAACTCAAAGCACGGGGAACCGGTACATGGCAACACCAACCACACTGAACTCAAAGCACGGGGAACCGTTACATGGCAACACCAACCACACTGAACTCAAAGCACGGGGAACCGTTACATGGCAACACCAACCACACTGAACTCAAAGCATGGGGAACCGTTACATGGCAACACCAACCACACTGAACTCAAAGCACGGGGAACTGTTACATGGCAACACCAACCAATCTGAACACAACGCTCGGGAAACCGTTACATGGCAACACCATCCACACTCAACACAACGTTCGGGGAACAATTACATGGCAACACCATCCACACTCAACACAACGCTCGGGGAACCATAACATGGCAACACCATCCACACTCAACACAACGCTTGGGGAACCGTTACATGGCAACACAATCCACACTAAACACAACGCTCGGGGAACCGTTACATGGCAACACCATCCACACTCGGCACAACGCTCGGGGAACCATAACATGGCAACACCATCCACACTCAACACAACGCTCGGGGAACCGTTGCATGGCAACACCATCCACACTCAACAAAACGCTCGGGGAACCGTTACATGGCAACACCATCCACACTCAACACAACGCTCGGGGAACCATAACATGGCAACACCATCCACACTCGGCACAACGCTCGGGGAACCATAACATGGCAACACCATCCACACTCAACACAATCCTCGGAGAACCGTTACATGGCAACACCATCCACACTCGGCACAACGCTCGGGGAACCATAACATGGCAACACCATCCACACTCAACACAATCCTCGGGGAACCGTTACATGGCAACACCATCCACACTCAACACAACGCTCGGGGAACCGTTACATGGCAACACCATCCACACTCAACACAACGCTCGGGGAACCATAACATGGCAACACCATCCACACTCAACACAACGCTCGGGGAACCATAACATGGCAACACCATCCACACTCAACACAACACTCGGGGAACCGTTACTTGGCAACACCATCCACACTCAACACAACGCTCGGGGAACCATTACATGGCAACACCATCCACACTCGGCACAACGCTCGGGGAACCGTTACATGGCAACACCAGCTTCACTCAACACAACGCTCGGGGAACCGTTACTTGGCAACACCAGGTTCACTCAACACAACGCTCGGGGAACCGTTACTTGGCAACACCAGCTTCACTCAACACAACGCTCGGGGAACCATTACTTGGCAACACCATCCACACTCAACACAACGCTCGGGGAACCGTTACTTGGCAACACAATCCACACTCTACACAACGCTCGGTAAGCACATACATTGCAACACAACGCTCGGGAACACTTACATGGCAACACAACGCTCGGGAACACTTACATGGCAACACAACGCTCGGGAACACTTACATACTTACATGGCAACACAACGCTCGGGAACACTTACATACTTACATGGCAACACAACGCTCGGGAACACTTACATACTTACATGGCAACACAACGCTCGGGAACACTTACATACTTACATGGCAACACAACGCTCGGGAACACTTACATACTTACATGGCAACACAACGCTCGGGAACACTTACATACTTACATGGCAACACAACGCTCGGGAACACTTACATACTTACATGGCAACACAACGCTCGGGAACACTTACATACTTACATGGCAACACAACGCTCGGGAACACTTACATACTTACATGGCAACACAACGCTCGGGAACACTTACATACTTACATGGCAACACAACGCTCGGGAACACTTACATACTTACATGGCAACACAACGCTCGGGAACACTTACATACTTACATGGCAACACAACGCTCGGGAACACTTAAATACTTACATGGCAACACAACGCTCGGGAATACTTACATGGCAACACAACGCTCGGGAACACTTACATGGCAACACAACGCTCGGGAATACTTACATGGCAACACAACGCTCGGTAACACTTACATACTTACATGGCAACACAACGCTCGGGAACACTTACATACTTACATGGCAACACAACGCTCGGGAACACTTACATACTTACATGGCAACACAACGCTCGGGAACACTTACATACTTACATGGCAACACAACGCTCGGGAACACTTACATACTTACATGGCAACACAACGCTCGGGAACACTTACATACTTACATGGCAACACAACGCTCGGGAACACTTAAATACTTACATGGCAACACAACGCTCGGGAATACTTACATGGCAACACAACGCTCGGGAACACTTACATGGCAACACAACGCTCGGGAATACTTACATGGCAACACAACGCTCGGTAACACTTACATACTTACATGGCAACACAACGCTCGGGAACACTTACATACTTACATGGCAACACAACGCTCGGGAACACTTAAATACTTACATGGCAACACAACGCTCGGGAATACTTACATGGCAACACAACGCTCGGGAACACTTACATGGCAACACAACGCTCGGGAATACTTACATGGCAACACAACGCTCGGGAACACTTACATACTTACATGGCAACACAACGCTCGGGAACACTTACATACTTACATGGCAACACAACGCTCGGGAATACTTACATGGCAACACAACGCTCGGGAACACTTACATGGCAACACAACGCTCGGGAACACTGACATACTTACATGGCAACACAACGTTCAGGGAAACACAGCGCAAGCAGGATAACACATGTAGGTTTACAGTAGTTAGTACACGTTAGTGTGTGCACTATGTCATTGTACAGATGGCGCCAAAATTTTGGATGGCTTCCATACGTTAAATATTTCGCACTTATATAGAAAGTAGCCTGCGTGCTGGTAGGATGGTGCCTGGTGTTGTGTTATAGTACTGACCTCCTGGTAGGATGGTGCCTGATGTTTTGTTATAGAACTGACCTCCTGGTAGGAAGGTGCCTGATGTTGTGTTATAGTACTGACCTACTGGTAGGAAGGTGCCTGATGTTGTGTTATAGTACCGACCTCCTGGTAGGATGGTGCCTGATGTTGTGTTATAGTACTGACCTCCTGGTAGGATGGTGCCTGATGTTGTGTTATAGTACTGACCTCCTGGTAGGATGGAAGCTGATGGTTATAGTACTGACCTCCTGGTAGGATGGTGCCTGATGTTTTGTTAAAGTACTGACCTACTGGTAGGATGGTGCCTGATGTTGTGTTATAGTACTGACCTCCTGTAAGGATGGTGCCTGATGTTGTGTTATAGTACTGACCTCCTGGTAGGATGGTGCCTGATGTTGTGTTATAGTACTGACCTCCTGGTAGGATGGTGCCTGATGTTGTGTTATAGTTCTGACCTCCTGGTAGGATGGTGCCTGATGTTGTGTTATAGTGCTGACCTCCTGGTAGGATGGTGCCTGATGTTGTGTTATAGTACTGACCTCCTGGTAGGATGGTGCCTGATGTTGTGTTAAAGTACTGACCTCCTGGTAGGATGGTGCCTGATGTTGTGTTATAGTACTAACCTCCTGGTAGGATGGTGCCTGATGTTGTGTTATAGTACTGACCTACTGGTAGGATGGTGCCTGATGTTGTGTTAAAGTACTGACCTCCTGGTAGGCTGCTGCATTCTTCAGTTGGACCTCAGCACACTGCATCGTGGTCAGGATCCACTTCCAGTTCTTCCTCACAGCCGTGATGCAGTTCTACACATTGAACACACTGTTCACTTACCGGAAACAAAACATGCAGCCTACCCCATGATGATACACACATGCATTTAACTATACTCACGAAAAAGAGAAACTGTGCTTCATAAATATTTCAATAAAAATTTATTCTGAAATTAAATAATGCATCTTCAATACAAGGCATCTAATCTCGTCGTGATTCACAATTGGCACGTGCATGTCAATGCACGTCGCACAATTTGGATGTTCGCGTGTTTGTCGGGAGCATGTTATTTACACCCGTGGTTCTTAAATGTGAACAGCACACAATGACTCTTTAGTTGTCAGGTGCTCCTCACAACACCTTTGTTTAATCGTAAATAACGCATAAGCGAAGCCCCCTTATGCGGTTGGTGCATCTACGGAATCGATAATACATTGATCTGACGAATGGCCAAATATTATGTTGTTATTTTCAATAACATAACAGTTACATGTCACATGCGTTTTGTCCTTTTTCTAACTCTGACTATCTATTACTGTTCGGTGTGTGATGACTCAGCTATCAAGGAGTACCTGTGCAGTTCTTGCCATGCTCTCGTTAGTTTGGTCAACGCTGCCCTTGGTTTTTCCAGCCTCCCCGGTGTTGACGAGGTGCACGGCCCGGGAGTCGAACTCGGTGGACATGTTCTGTAGTACAGGAAGGCAGGGACACGTAATCAATACGGTTCGTGTACAATATTATCTTGGATTGAATGTCATATAAATCTAATGAATATTACTTACCTCAACCAATTCCTGCAGCCCTGAGATTTGCGAAATGACCTCAAAGCATGAACCTCGTTTGGATGACAGCGCCTGTCAGATATAGAAACAACAATAATAACAACAACAACAATACTAATAAACAATAAAATAAAAACATTGTTTAACAAAATGTCATCGTAGTGAAGTATTCATGTAAAATAACATTCTATGGGCAGGTAGGATATCAGACTGCATATGACACACCTGGTACACAAATTGATAGAAACAGGTAGTACGGACTAAGAGTGAACTTGCTCCACGGCACAGGTAAGGACATTTGAGCCCAAAGCTGAAAGGCGATACTTCAAAGTTGTCTCCCTTACTTCTACTGAGTTGTATCTGCCCTTCAGATCAACCGCCTCATCATCGCCAACTTTCTGTCAAATGAAAAGAAATACTGAGGTCATTTATTCAATATCATTACGGTGTCTATATTCATATAATATGACAACTGAAGGCTTATGCATACTGTTCACTTAAAAGTTAACATTCATTGCGCTTGTGTCTTTTTTCGACATGTGATATTGTTGACTGGTAGTAGAGAAGACTCACCGGGTTCTGAACGACCTTGTCTATCTGCTGACTGAATTCTTTGATCTGGACCGCCTTCGCTCTCTGCAGACCCAGTGCCCGAATGACACCGCTCTCCCCCTGGCCGAAACTGGCGCACTCCAGTTCCCCCTGCAGATAGAGAGTGACAGCTTACTCGTGGTGTGATACGATACACATATAGCTCAGTCGCTGTATTATACATTGACAGCTTACTGGGGTGTTATACAGTGACAGCTTACTCGTGGTGTGATACGATACACATATAGCTCAGTCGCTGTGTTATACATTGACAGCTTACTGTGGTGTTATACAGTGACAGCTTACTCGTGGTGTGATACGATACACATATAGCTCAGTCGCTGTGTTATACATTGACAGCTTACTGCGGTGTTATACAGTGACAGCTTACTCGTGGTGTGATACGATACACATATAGCTCAGTCGCTGTGTTATACATTGACAGCTTACTGTGGTGTTATACAGTGACAGCTTACTGTGGTGTTATACAGTGACAGCTTACTCGTGGTGTGATACGATACACATATACCTCAGTCGCTGTGTTATACATTGACAGCTAACTGTGGTGTTATACAGTGACAGCTAACTGTGGTGTTATACAGTGACAGCTAACTGTGGTGTTATACAGTGACAGCTAACTGTGGTGCTATACAAAGACAGCAAACTGTGGTGTTATACAGTGACAGCTAACTGTGGTGTTATACAGTGACAGCTAACTGTGGTGTTATACAATGACAGCTTACTGTGGTGTTATACAGCGACAGCTTACTCGTGGTGTTATACAGTGACAGCTAACTGTGGTGTTATACAGTGACAGCTTACTGTGGTGTTATACAGTGACAGCTTACTGTAGTGTTAGTGACAGCTTACTGTGGTGTTATACAGTGACAGCTAAATGTGGTGTTATACAGTGACAGCTTACTGTGGTGTTATACAGTGACAGCTTACTGTGGTGTTATACAGTGACAGCTTACGGTGGTGTTAGTGACAGCTAACTGTGGTGTTATACAGTGACAGCTAACTGTGGTGTTATACAGTGACAGCTTACTGTGGTGTTATACAGTGACAGCTTACTGTGGTGTTATACAGTGACAGCTTACTGTGGTGTTATACAAAGACAGCTAAATTTGGTGTTATACAGTGACAGCTTACTGTGGTGTTATACAGTGAGAGCTTACTGTGGTGTTATACAGTGACAGCTTACGGTGGTGTTAGTGACAGCTAACTGTGGTGTTATACAGTGACAGCTAACTGTGGTGTTATACAGTGACAGCTTACTGTGGTGTTATACAGTGACAGCTTACTGTGGTGTTATACAGTGACAGCTTACTGTGGTGTTATACAGTAACAGCTTACTGTGGTGTTATACAGTGACAGCTTACTGTGGTGTTATACAGTGACAGCTTACTGTGGTGTTATACAATGACAGCTTACTGTGGTGTTAGTGACAGCTTACTGTGGTGTTATACAGTGACAGCTAACTGTGGTGTTATACAGTAACAGCTTACTGTGGTGTTATACAGTGACAGCTAACTGTGGTGTTATACAGTAACAGCTTACTGTGGTGTTATACAATGACAGCTTACTATGGTTTTATACAGCGACAGCTTACTGTGGTGTTATACAGTGACAGCTTACTGTGGTGTTATACAGTGACAGCTTACTGTGGTGTTATACAGTGACAGCTTACTGTGGTGTTATACAATGACAGCTTACTGTGGTGTTAGTGACAGCTTACTGTGGTGTTATACAGTGACAGCTTACTGTGGTGTTATACAGTGACAGCTTACTGTGGTGTTATACAGTGACAGCTAACTGTGGTGTTATACAGTAACAGCTTACTGTGGTGTTATACAGTGACAGCTTACTGTGGTGTTATACAGTGACAGCTTACTGTGGTGTTATACAGTGACAGCTAACTGTGGTGTTATACAGTAACAGCTTACTGTGGTGTTATACAGTAACAGCTTACTGTGGTGTTATACAGTGACAGCTTACTGTGGTGTTATACAGTGACAGCTAACTGTGGTGTTATACAGTAACAGCTTACTGTGGTGTTATACAATGACAGCTTACTATGGTTTTATACAGCGACAGCTAACTGTGGTGTTATACAGTGACAGCTTACTATGGTGTTATACAGTGACAGCTTACTGTGGTGTTATACAGTGACAGCTAACTGTGGTGTTATACAGTAACAGCTTACTGTGGTGTTATACAGTAACGGCTTACTGTGGTGTTATACAGTGACAGCTTACTGTGGTGTTATACAGTGACAGCTAACTGTGGTGTTATACAGTAACAGCTTACTGTGGTGTTATACAGTAGTTTGCATAGAGAGTGCACTCACCTGTTGTTCAAACAGCCAATCCAGGCATTTCTGTACCTCAGACTTCGCCATTTTCCTCTGAAAGAAAACGAAAGCCACAGTTATACACATGACAGAAAAGAGTCTGACACAGATACAGTCACACACATGACAGACAAGAGTCTGACACAGATACAGTCACACACATGACAGACAAGAGTCTGACACAGATACAGTCACACACATGACAGACAAGAGTCTGACACAGATACAGTCACACACATGACAGACAAGAGTCTGACACAGATACAGTCACACACATGACAGACAAGAGTCTGACACAGATACAGTCACACACATGACAGACAAGAGTCTGACACAGATACAGTCACACACATGACAGACAAGAGTCTGACACAGATACAGTCACACACATGACAGACAAGAGTCTGACACAGATACAGTCACACACATGACAGACAAGAGTCTGACACAGATACTGCCACACACATGACAGACAAGAGTCTGACACAGATACAGTCACACACATGACAGACAAGAGTCTGACACAGATACAGTCACACACATGACAGACAAGAGTCTGACACAGATACAGTCACACACATGACAGACAAGAGTCTGACACAGATACAGTCACACACATGACAGACAAGAGTCTGACACAGATACTGCCACACACATGACAGACAAGAGTCTGACACAGATACTGCCACACACATGACAGACAAGAGTCTGACACAGATACAGTCACACACATGACAGACAAGAGTCTGACACAGATACTGCCACACACATGACAGACAAGAGTCTGACACAGATACAGTCACACACATGACAGACAAGAGTCTGACACAGATACAGTCACACACATGACAGACAAGAGTCTGACACAGATACAGTCACACAGACGACGACAGCATTGATGGTAGCAGTAGATACCGACTGGGTGCAAGTGACAGGAAGCGAGTGTCACACCCTGTCGGACTGACATTTAGAGGGAGTCGTGTGCAGGCAGCTGGGTGTTCTGCTACCACTGCCGTACCCCGGCACACTACAGGCACAACAATACATATAGCTCCGTGGTCATAACTGTACATTGTGGGGAACCGATGAAACACCCTGTATACAGTATTATGACAAAGTTTCCTTTCAGCTAAAGGATCGACACATACGTGTAGGTTCACTTCAAGACAGGACACACAGGTTGAATGGAGGCTTGTCTAAAGCACGGGGCCTACTCTATGCCTACTCTATGCCTTGAATGCTGTCAGTGTTGTGAAGCTGGTTGAAGTGCACAGACCATATCATTGTTACCTCTGGTTTATGACAACACAGCCTTTATACGCAACATCTCATGCACAGTACTCGCACTCACTATACAGCTATATAATCACAGCTAATCATTTCTATTCAGTGATCAGAATCGCATCAGCTTAAGGTAAAGATTAACCTAGACGTGTCGTAATGGGTAAAGTTGATACACCACGTGTACCCTGTAAGTAGACCTCATTCGTAGAACACTACCTCTGTACACCCAGCCAGACATCAAATGAACAATAGGGCTGTTTCCGTCACTAGACTGGTGACGATCTCTCATTGAAGTCGGTGATGACTACGCCAATCTTACATTCACCAAATGAAGTGAGTGCCACATAAGGTACGAAAGCAGTACTTCTCACTGCCCTACCCCTGAACACGACCCCTATAATTCAGTCGTAAGCTCATTATGCGAAATTTTCAGCGGGCTAATTTATTTACAATGGATTCTAACACCAGACACCGACCTGGTTTCTCTATTTGCTGAATAACACGTAAATTATGAGAGCCTGTATCCATGGAAACTGACGCCCTAAGTTAACCCTGGAGCGTAGTGCAAGTTAAAATATAACAAAACCGAAACCTGTGTATGGACGAGGATGATCTGTCGCCTCTACCACGTGTACATGTCTATCTTTTATATCCAGTAAGGTTTTGGATTATATTTTGGTTTAATCATTTTGGATTATGTGTTGCGCTCTGGGTACCCACTAATCCTCTGGTTTTAATAAGATCATATAAATCTGGTTCTGGTACTGACTATATATTTACACCTGCCCCACCTGTGGCATGACACATCAGTGTCTGTCCCGGCACAGGTTAATATTGAGTTAATAAACACCCGCTGAGTGTGGCGGCAGTTTCACCTGTCCCTGTACAGTTCTGCAAACCAGTCCTACGGGTTTTCTCTCTCACTACACACACTCAAACACATCCACAAGACAGAGTTATGTGGCATTAAGTTATCACAAAGAAAGGACCCCTTTAAAAAGTCATTGGTTTAGACCATATACCCACCCCCGTACCTGGACTATAAACAGCAGGACGGAAACCACCTCAACGGAACGTAATACGTACGGAATGTGAATTATTTCAGTGATTTCATCCTGTATTTGATAATCCCTGAATATGTTACATTACATTTTGTATGAAGTGGTGTAAAAACATTATTATCCAAATGATTTCAGGTTATAAATTTCGAACACTCAAATTAATTCAACAACCTGAAAGCGGTCACATTTGAGACTCGACTGTAACATTGTATAACACGGGTCAAGTATGGCTTCTCTGCTCCAAACACTAGGGGCTGGTAGGAGCAATACTGAGTATCAACCTTTTCTAAAGACGATATCTCAAGAGTCGCCACGTACTCCTACCTGACATATAACTCGGAAACATTACTCTACTGATCTATGTATGAATGATATCAACGATGTAATACTTACATGTCTATACCCGTGGGGTGTCGGCGATGGTGAGCGTGTGCGTGTGGTGCTGTGTTGTACTGCCTCGATAACCCGACACACCTATGCGACTCTTGCATGACCTCCTTAAGCTTTCAAAAATACCAGAAGGCGGTTTGATCTCCGTGTAGACCACTTTTCCTCTTTACGTGTGAGTTAGCTATAAGGTGTAGCACTTGACTTGGGTATTGTTATTTGGACATGCTCAACATACTCACGAGTTATGTATCCTTACATGCATTGACTCGTCTTTTTCAAAATGCATTGTACTGATGAGCACAGCAGCTAGGAGTGGTTAATTGTATATCTGTATGTCACAGACCCTAATGGAAACGTCAGTCATTGTGTGTTTTTTCTAGCCTGTTAAAAATATTATTTAGGACAGATTTCCCAAATATGGACATACTATCCTGGGCCAGGTAGAGCTGCTGCTGATGTCAATCAGGCCTTCCAGCTTCAAGCACGGGTGGGCGGAATTGTTTGCTTTGTAGATTTTGCGGTGCGTTAAACCACTCACCTCACCATCAAACACTATTGTGCAAGGCACGGACAGTATTTTATTTCTTGAATTCGGCCAGAGATTGAATTCAGGTATAAGGTATTTGTCCTTGTACCTGTTTTAAAACATTAAATATGGATCGATATTCTTACAGTCCTGGGCGGACGGATACAAGCTTGTTAGGTACTGAAATGTACATTTCGAATAATCTTGTCTAGAATGATGAGAATTCTTAATCCATCCTCACCAGAGCCCAGTCAGAGCCGCCTTGTCCGGGCCCACAATACCCACGCCGGTACAGAGAGCGTGTCAACAGCCCAGAGGAAACCCGTTGTCAATATACCTGACATGGTCAATAGAGAGGGACGGTCGGCGCACTTGAATCACAAACCACATACATCAATCTAACCCTCTTTCATATACATGAGTGTCTACTCAGTAAAGCAGAACTACAACATTCCCAGTGTAATGAATCGTAGCCCTGGTTTCCAATTTTAAATAAAACGCAAATATTTCCCTCACCTCTGAGCTTGACATAACTGGAGTGGTCTCCCCTTTGTCTGAGTAGGTGTAACTATTGCGCGTGTACCCTCTCTTCGAGAGGACTCTCCTACAGGTGACATACAGTTTAGACCCCTGGGGATGGGTGATTGACACATTGATGGATATTTTGCTGATGTCCTGGCAGCGGCGTGGCTGGAATGTCCACGACTGACACTGTGCTGCCTCCAGCACTCACACAATTACTTACTCACCTGTAACAAATTTATGCCCCGATTGATCATCCCTGTCTCATGTTGTTTTAATGTTTTTTTCAAAAAGGCATCTAATGAGGCAACTCGTTATATTCATCCGTCTATACCAGAAATATGGGGGTGATGTTTATTCCGCAGTCAAGTTGTGCGATCTGTATCACAAACCGAACCACTTTAGTGGCTCGATAACTGCACCTAATCACAGCTTGAACCGCTGTGCCCCTGTACGTACGTTACTCCACGTGACAGTTATCTAATAGTAACACAGGCGTCATTCCATGGCAATTTCTTGAATACAATGCTCAATTCTATCAAACATTGTGACGGCCAGGAAATGCCAGAATTCGTAGACCGTGTTATGAAAGGGAATAATAAGATGAAGAAGTGCTAAATAAATCAGGTATTTTCGAGAACATGTACCATTTTCTACACAACATTCCCCGAAGCCAATTTCTGGTGTCCCTTGTTGTGATATTGCTAGAGTAATGGTTAATGTAGCGTAAAACCTGCTCACTCACTGTATTCCCCGATCTACAGTAGTGAGATATGACACTAATCCCGCCGAATGTCCCACTATATTCCCCGATCTACAGTAGTGAGATATGACACTAATCCCGGCGAATGTCTACCTACATGTATATACATCGAACTACAGCAGTGAGATATATGACACTAATCCCGGCGAATGTCCCACTATATTCCCCGATCTACAGTAGTGAGATATGACACTAATCCCGGCGAATGTCTACCTACATGTATATACATCGAACTACAGCAGTGAGATATATGACACTAATCCCGGCGAATGTCCCACTCTATTCCCCGATCTACAGTAGTGAGATATGACACACATCCCGCCGAATGTCTCACTATATTCCCCGATCTACAGTAGTGAGATATGACACTAATCCCGGCGAATGTCTACCTACATGTATATACATCGAACTACAGCAGTGAGATATATGACACTAATCCCGGCGAATGTCCCACTATATTCCCCGATCTACAGTAGTGAGATATGACACTAATCCCGCCGAATGTCTA